CCCCATACACTGGTCAGTGACGGCGGCACTGCGCTGTTACCAGTACAGTCATCAAATGCGCCTACAGGCGAACCTTCTTCTGGTTCTACCGGATTAGTGCATGATGCCTGTGGAGTGACAAGGCCAGCGTGTGTGAAGCAATTCGTTATCACGGCTGGACTCGTCGCAATCCATGCGGCGGCGATCATCTCTAGCGCCATGAACAAGTCCACGTCAGTCGGGTGCTTCATATGTATATTAAGCAGCAAACGCTGAATCAGCCTCTCTCTGTAAGCACACTTCAATGCTGCGAATAACTCCCTGATCGAGAGACTGCAGCACCGAAGTGCAGTTTGGTGGGAAAAACACGAGGCACACATTTCCGAGCTGTACGTCAACGTGATGGGCGCTACAGTTGTTGAGAAGAAGGCAGACTGACCTGTTTGCCTTCCGCATGTCGGCATCGAAAGACTGGAGCCAGCTGCTAAAAATAGCACGCGTCATCCACGACTTCAAGTTCGCGGTGTAGCTTACTGGCAGCCTGCGATTCCCCTTGAAACAGCAGGGCTTCTTGCTCCTGCCAATAACAAGCAGTGGCCGTTTATCTGTGCCATTCATGTTGGTGCACAATAAAATCGTCACGCGCCGCTTGCTGTGCTTTCCACCATGGCACTTCTGGCCTTTAATGTCCAAGGTCTTGGATGACAGCATTTCATAAAACAATGCCGTTTCATCGGCATTATATATGTTCGAGGGCTTGTACTGGCTGAGCAGTTCTTTGTTGCTCAGCAGCCACAACGACATTGTCGCCGAGTCGACGGCTGCTGCCTCCCCAGAGATGACTTTGGCAACAATGTCGTGGCGAGCTTTGAAACGGCTCAGCCAGCCGGGACTCGCCTTAAAGTTGTCGTGGCTGAGCATACAAGCGAAGTCCAGCGCCTTCTGTTGCAGGATCTTGCGAGATAAAGGCACCTTGTTGGCACGTTGTTCACAAAAACACGCGAACACCGCCTTGTCCACGTCCGGGAAAGCTGCTGCCATCGCGGTTTTGTTTCTTGCACACGCGCCGCTTTCAAGTGCACCAAGAATGGAGGCCTTCTTCTTGAAAATCGTGGACAACGAGCTGCAAGCAACGCCGAATTCTTCGGCGATGACAATTTTTTTTCTGCCCTTTTCCACCTCGCTGATGATTGCAGCTTTATCTTCCAGCGTGATGAACTTCCGCTTTTTCGTTGGGGGCAGCATATTCGCAGGCAGCGAAATCTGATGAAGCAACACACGGTTCACGTTGCACCAATCGACCACGCGAACTCTCCACAAATGGCTCCACACACGTGACCATGTGTGCGCAAAGCCGACAAACCCAAGCACAGAGCCAAGCCAACAAATGACACTCCATGAGGATTGTGGCTTAGGCTACGTACGTAGTCCGCAAAAATGAGCAGGTGTTTCGGCAAGCCAACATCATCATCATTGCCGCGAGCCTTACGTTTTTTTTTTTTTTTTTGTAAACAATGATGGCAGATGTTTTGCAAGTGCGCTTAGTGATAGTTTTGCACAATTTAAGTGTGGCATGAATGCATTTCAGCAGTTTTTGAATGTAAATGTTGCGAGAACATATTAGTATTTACGCACTCGAGTTTCAAAAATTTCGTGAATGAGGGACTGCGGTATGAATATTTTTCGTAGTCACGAGTTAAGAAATGCATTGACTCCTATGGGCGTTCGCCGGTGCTCCGAAAATATTTCGTTGCGGTGAGAATTTAGTTCCCTCGGGATTTCGTTATCACAAGTTTCGACTGTATATACATGCACATATACAAACATACATAGTTATGGTTGAACCCACCACCCCATTCCTGAAAAATATTCTGGCTGTGCCTTTGCTGCAGGGCAAGAGCGAGTATAGACCGGTGCACAGGGAACAGTATCAAGGCTCTTAGTGGTTTGGCAGTGTGCATGGACGGACGGCTCTTGGCGAAATCCATGGGCATGATTCTGCTAGTCACCCTATGGGACCTTGTAGTGAATCGATGGTCGGTTATGCCGCGTTCACGGTACCATGTATGCATTATGTTTTCTGTGTAACAGTATTGGCTTTAGGTAATCAATCATGTACAGTCGCCGACCGATTTTTCGGAATTGGCGGGGACCAAAAAAAGGTACGAAAAATCAAACAGTCCGAAAAATTCGTTTTCGCCAAAAATCTGAAGTTTATTGCATCAGGCAGGTTTAAAAAAGTCCTTGATGCTGCCTTGCCTCAAACTACGCTTGGAGGCAATTTGGTTTGCCCGTATTTGCGCCAAGGTGACATCGTTGCCATAAACGCTCGACAAAATTGTCACCGCGTTGGCGATCTCCGCCGCCGACGGCTGCGGGCGGTCGTCGTTGTCGTCATCCGAGCCGCTCTCCGGCTCCGGGACAACCTGGCGAAGAATTTCGTCGTCAGTGGCCTCCGCGCACGAAACAATGTCGTCGTCCGCACGAGTGAAGTCTTTAAATGTCATTGTGGCAGGTAGAGAATCCTTCTTTCGCCTCCTCCCCGTGCGATGTGATGACGATAGTGCTGACCGAAGACGAAAAAACGGCATCCATCACCGCGTCTTTGAAAACGCAAACACGGCCTCCGAAACTTAAAATATGGCGTGCGCATTCCAATCTCGGAGGCAGGAAAAGCATCTGAAGATCAAGCTTAGCCAAGCCGACAGAAAATCCAACATGGCAGCGTTCACAATGGCTTGGGGCGTGGCACAAAACGAGTGATTTAGTCCGAAACATCGAACTTTCAGGGGCAAATTCGCCCGAAAAATCGGTCGAAACGATGCATTAGCTCTATGGGATCCCTGACGGTGCATTTATGAAGTCCGGAATATCCAACAAGTCCAAATTTTTGGAGTCCGGAAAATCGGTCGGCGACTGTATACTGAAATCTACTCCCATTACAATGAACCGTCATAATCCGGCAAAATGGTTCTGTGTTATCCGCAGTCCATACTATCACTCTCTGTGCAGGGGTGGAGGTGGGAGGGAGTGCACGTCAGCACGTTGCCGGGTGAGAATTGTTTGTATTACGCTCAGCAGTATAGGGCAGGCTAGTTCCGCTAATACAGGCTGAATGTATTCGACAAGATGGTTACAAATGACTTCAACCCCTGCAGCGATTATTACCAAAATTGCAACGAAGTTCAAAATGAGCGAATGCAGTTACAGTAAGTGCAGAGACGCTATACAGCCCCTGCACTGCAATAAAGCTTGGCCCAATAAAGAGTTTCTAGCAGGCTTTTTCAGCCACTTCTCTTCATTAGCTTGGAATAAATTGCTATTTTTGCAGACGGCAAGCCAAATTGGCTTAAATTGGGCCGCCTATTGGCCACTAGAAGCTGTTTGCTCCTGTACAGTCTTGGCAGCTCACTGGATGGTCCAAAGTTGGTAGGAGAATTCTGAACTGAGCAGCATCAAGGTGCTTCTCCCTCCCCCCTCATATTGCCAATTACTGAGGCTGAGACATTTGCAACCCACTGTTGTAACTTCCATCTATTGAAATTGTGAAAGCATGGTGTTTCAATACTTCCACCATTGTATTTTCAGCACCTGCAGCCCCGATGATGGCAGTTCTTCTTAAACACACACACTAGTACCGCTTCGTGTCCTCGCACATCCGAATAATCCGCACATCCAAAACAAATAATCACTAACACTTAGCGGCAAGTTGTGTTTCACAAGAAATCCTGTGAATACGCATTCTGTGCAAATCGCGCTGTCTTCGCAGCTCTTTTTGGAAGAAACTTTCATTGTTGCCCTGCTCTTCCGCAGCAAGAATGTAGTTTTGATTCTTCTGTGAAGAGATGTGCACTTTTATGCTGGCCTTGCCACCGTGAGAAATGTTTACATTACAGGCGCACATGGTACAGAATTCGTTCTTGTCACCTTTTCACGAAGTCACAAAGCAGGAAACTCGGGTATGTACACGTCCAGAAACACTTGCAAGTACTTCTTTTGCTTTTGACAGCAATCTCTTCCAACTGAACTCGTGGAAATACGCGACCTCCACAACCACGCAAACAACACAACTGACACCTAGGCAAGCGGCGTAGGCCTAGTGTACAAAATGTGGTGGCAAAGACAGACAGATGCAAAAGTTGTTCTACCTTTTCCCTTGCCTTCTTACAGTACAATGGCGAGTGCTCTTAACGGTCACCGGCCTTTTCAAAGATGCACGGTACTACAGTGCCTAGAATATATTATGCAGAACTCTACAGTGTGTTTACAATGTACTAAAAGTGTAGTGGCGAGTGCTCTTCAGCAGCACCGCAATCATCACACCAGGAAAGGCTGACATATGCGTGCGATTAAGAAAAAAAAACATCACTGCTGTGGCGGCCACTTTTTGGGAGATTCGAGATGGCATTCATAGAATCAGGAGATGAGTTCAAAATTCTGAAATCTCCCAGGCTATTCGGGAGAGTTGGAAGGTATAAAGTGGCGACAGAGAGAGGTGAAGATAAGTTGAAAGTGCGGCTCAGGGGCATCTGGCTTGGCAGTGTCACTTGCACTCTTCACCTGATCGCCTTCTGTGAAAGTTCCATAAGTGATACATGGACTACAGCGTAGAATTGATATTTCTCTGTTTGACGACATCACAGCTGCACATTTGTGGGGAGCCGCACCTCTCGGATTTTCTCACTGTTGAGACTTTGAGGTATCCTAAGTGATTGATAAATGCATAAATTTAGCACAGTTACTGGAAAATGTTTTGACCAAGACAGTAATTCGAGACACTGGACAAGTGTTCACTGCATGACCATTGTTTCCACAGCTTCTGAACAACCAAATACAGAAGTTTTGGCCAAAAATTTCTGTACTAACCTCAACAACTGGGTTATCGGTATGCCAGATGCATTTATTGTGGAAAGGTACAATCCTGTCAGCATCCGCCAGAAAAATACACAATGTGAGTATCAAAGCAGGGAGACAACTTGAAGGAATATACATATGTATATATATAAAAAGGTGCCACATACCTTCACTAGCTTCTAACCAGTGGTCATCCTTCGCAAGTCGTAGGTCGTCATGCTGCAAGGAAGCGCTCTTCCGCTCTGCAGATGTGCCAGCAACCTTGTCATGACTGTCAACGCTGCCCTCCTTGTTTGTTGACCTAATAGAAAGGAGGAGTTTGAGTAGCAACAATTCATAACAGCTATCTTCTCCGAGTACATGTCATGATTTTTCCGAGACAAACGTTTGTGCCCATGCTTTTGGCCTTTAAAGCCCCTTCTCTGGTTTGGGATGTAGAGATGGACTACACAATTAATGAAGGCAGCTTTCACAGCATTTTGTAGAGTTTGTCAATTAAGTGCCAAGATGATATAGGGTGTCAACACCTCCTCACCATTCCACATTATGGTGATGTGACAAATGGTGACAATACTTGTTTCTGAAAAATTCGTGGAAGTCAGACTCAGTTTTGCACATCAAATCCCATTCTGTTATAACTCCTTAGACTGCCTTCAGACTGCATGTTCTTGTCAAAGCATGGTCTTTGCTTTTTCAATGACAAACCTTGGAATCTCTGCAGGACTTGAATACGAGTTCTCGATTCACCCATCCATCCATCCATTCCTCCGTCTTCACGCTTAGTACCACACCCAAACTCCTACATAGTGACTCAATTTAGACACCAAAGATTGTTTGCAAAAGTGCACAGCAGACATGCACTATCGTGCCACTAATTGGAAAAAACCAAAGACCACAAGCCTAAGTGTTTATCACAGGCAAGCTGCAGGTGAAGACAAGTGCGATGTCAATATTACAGATTATATTGGATGTGACGTTACCCAACTTATTTACAGTACAATGTATGGCAAAGCTTGTAAGTCATTCAGGTGTTAAGTAAATAAAAACATTTAGATGCCTACCGGCTGGACTCCCGTCGGGCAGTAGATGAGCTTGTTTTGGATGATGAAGTACTGCTGCTGCTACTGTTTACTCCTGAACCCACTGCATTGACACTGGCCGATTTAGATGCCCCTGTTCCAGGCTGTGGCGATGCTCTTGTCATGACCTCCGCTTTTCTCTCCCTTTGAGCGTCCCCACCTAAGACATAACAAAAAGAAGGGGGACATGTCATTCTGTCATGAGAATGAGTGCAGTCCTATGATAGATGCAGGCAAGAGGCAAATGTTTAGTAACAGTTACTACAAATTCCTCAGCAGTAAGCTTATAAATTCAAGAGTGTTTATTCAAAAGAAACAAGTCACAATCTGTAACTGCATGTTCATTGATGAATGCCACTGCTCTCACATTATCTAAAAGTACATATACCAGGGTTTGTGCAGGCTCTAAAGGCCAAAATTCGAGGATTTTTATGGACTATCAAGGCAACCCAAAAAAAATTTTATGTGGACACATTCAAATGTTGTATCATGTACAATTTATTAAAATGCCCCTTTTAATCTAAAGCATGTTTCAAAAGCTTAGAAGGCCTACAATACTGTGGCATATATGACAAAATTATGGGCATTGCTTATGGCATATAAATACAACTGCATGATCGAATTCACTCTTGTGTAGCGTCACACTGTTCAGCATGGAGCTGCCTGCCTGCTATGTTTGCATTGCCACTGACCTTATAACTACTCTTGTCATTCATAAGCATAGACTCTTCCATTTATGAGGTGGTAAACAGTTTTTTACACTGTCTACACTTTGCTGTGAACATGATGCATCAGATGTGATAAAAGAATACTCGCATACATTTTCATTTCTCTTGGGACTGTAGCAACATCCGCAACAGCTCTGCATAATGAGTAAAGTTTTCAGAAGTCAACTACCATACTGGTATCCTAAATTACTGTGTGCGTGTGTAATTAATGCATGCATGTGTAATTAGGAAACAAAATTAATTATTTTCTGTAATACCAAGTGGCTCCTGAATTCCTAGTAAGCTTTTCTGCATGACAGTAATGTACTGCAGCAGTGTTGGCTTTTGATAACCGTTTGCAGCACGATTGGCATTTCAAAAACATAAGTTTAAAGGTATTCAAGTATTCCACCTTTTGAATATTTTTTCCAGTAGTATGTTATATTCAATTCAATTCACACTGAAATTTTACTATTCGAACTATTCAAGCTTCCTGAATACAAATACAGTCAACATACAATTGACAGTGGCCACTTCAGATTTTCAATATGCTTCACCCCATCACAATCTAACAAAGCTACCATTCAGGCAGCTCTGCCCCAAATGTATTGGTCGCAAATGTGTTGTCTCAAAAAAACTCTGGTTTCAACATGGAGAAGGTATATGCGGCAGGGATAGGGGCTCAATTAATGCTTTTTTGGACCTAAAATATGGGCAGGAAGTCTGAAAAATCAGACACCAAAGGGTTTTCATAGGCTTGTGCGAACATTCAAATGTTTAAAACGTTCAAGCGAATAGAAAAGTATTTGAATTCACTTCGATTCAAATTTAAATTATTCAAAATATCAAAGTATTCGCAATGAACGACTAAACGCATTTTTCCTAATGTAACCACCCTGTAAAGGTGGTTTCGCTGCAGTGTAGGAGTGAAAAGTTGTGAAAGCACATATCCAAGGCAAATCCGCACTGCCGCGAAGCCCCCACTTTAAAGTTAAAGGGTCTCCGGTGACACGCAGCCTGCAATTCACAATTCTCAAAGCCAGCTGAAAATCGCTTTCTCTTCTCTCAAAAAATGACGCCACAAGCTCAAAGATCACTCACCACAGCCATTGTATCACCTGTTGGCTGATTTGAGCATAGCATGCTTGATCGTTACTGGGGCCACCATAAGAGGCCACTACTTCTTTACACATACATGCGCAGTTGCACTAAAACACCGTGTCCTTCAAGAAAAAAAAGAGGGAGAGAAAAAGTGCTCAAGGTGACGAGGTGCACGTGACATACTTTTTTCCCCATGCCATCCCTTCCTGCTTAGCTTCCATTCTTTCATCCGGATGAGAGAAAGAATGCAACTGCAACGTACGACAAATTTTTAGAACTCTGCTCGTAGCAAACAGATTCTACAAATTTTTGTGGCGGTGAATCTGTGAGGCAATAAGCTTTTTTATTGAATCCAATGTATGGCAACTTGTAAAAGCATTGCAGGGCCCCTTTAAAGGGGTCATGCAACACTTTTTGAGCATGGCCAGAAAACGCTTCAGATCAATAGTAGAGGCTCCTGACAACACGTGAGCCAAATATTATAGCTTTGCACGCGGCCTGGAGTTCACAATAAATTACCAAAGTCAGCTAAAAGTAGCTTTCTCTTCTCTTGACAAATCACGGAAAATAATGCCAGTAAGTCCATTTATCAGCCATTGGCTGATTTGAACAAGGCGCGTTCGGTTGCTACAGAGGTCGCCGCAAGATGCCGTCACTTGTCCATGCGCGTGTGATTGCAGTGAAAAAGTTGCGTATCTGAAGGAAAAAAAATGCTCAAGGTCAAGAGGCACGAGGGACGTCTTTTGTTTGCCCTTCCCATCCCTCCCTGCTCAGCTTCTAGCGCTTCCATCGGGACGAGGGAGGAGAGAATGTGATTGCAGCATGTGACAAATCATTGTAACTCCGCTCGTACTGGACGGATACTTAAAATTTTTGCGGCGTTCAATTTGTGAGGTAATACGCCTCTTTAGTGATTTAATTCCATAGTTACTCAAAGAAGTGTTTCAGGGTCCCTATAAACAAACATATTACCCACAAATTAATTCATCTTTTTTTTAAGTTTAACAGCTTGTTATGCTGGCCCATTCTAAACATGGTAAATTTTGAAATGTTTCATATTTTATAGGTTATCACTTGCATTCTACCAAAAGTCAAATCCTACTACTGCTCAGAGTTATTTCAACTTTTTTTGAAACAAAATAAAGGGGCATTTGCACAGAGGCCCCATTTCAGTTTTACAAAAATACTGTGCTGGTTATGACATAAGAGATATGCCCCTTTTTCTTAATATGTCATATATATCATTTGAATTTGATTCGTAATTACTCGACCAATATCATTATTCACTACGAACCTAAAATTCAATATTTGCACAAGCCTAGTTTCTTAATATAATTTTCAGATGTTCTTATGTATTGACATCAGGAAGATTTGGAACTCTGGACTCAACACGAGCCAACCCTTGTCTGCCACATCAATCGGGCTTCCACAAAAGCTAAAAGAGGAGGAGAGGCTGAGAAAATAGCATGTTTGCCTTTCACGTGTTAAATGTTGTTGGCAACAATTCCATTGCACCCAGTCATGTAAATAACTGCCATTCTGACTGTACATTGCCACAATATTTATAAAACTACTATGAAACATCACCCTGCCAGTGCTCCATCAACCTTGCCAAAATAAATATATTGTTTCATATTGCTAGTCTAAGTCTTATGAATATGCTTAGGAATTCTCTACAACTTAATTTTCTGCAGTTTTACTTTAAACAATTCAAAACATATTCTAGAAATATTGAATTCAAGTTGCACTCACACTGCAATATTTGAGCTTGCTTTGCACCCAAAACTTTGCTACTCCACAACTCTACTAAAATTAACCATTGTGCCTGTGGCACTTCACTTCTGGAGCTTAATACAACAGCCCTATAATAGACTTGTGCAGAAGATTGACGCATCAAAAATAGATCACTTGTAAATTTATGTGCTACCGCACGCTTCTCACTAACGATGAAGATGACAGGCCAGACCATAAATAACAAATGGCACATGCAGATGCAGGGGCTGGGTCATCTTGAGTAGAGGTTTAAACAAGAGTGGCCTCCACCTCCAACTCATATGGGTAGGGAGAGGGCAGGGTTCCGTGGCACCCTTCAAGACTTTTGGACTACATCAAGACCAAAAATCTTTTAGAAATGCAGACCTTTTGTTATTATTTAGAACTAACAAACAAAAATAAACCTTTTAAATTCCATTTTGTTAGTTTTCTTGATTGCAGTGGGATTGGGGCAGTTTTTTGTGACCTATGACCGTGCAGCCTACAACCTGCACGGCCAATCCAGAGCCCCATTCAGAATTCAGGAATGCCCCAAGCACACTGGGAGAGTCGGAAGCTGCTGGACTGACTTAAACAAGGGTCATTTGCCCCCTATTTGGGGACAAGCAACACAAATTGACTCACTTCCGTGCTTTCTTATGGTTCATCGGCTAGATTTCCTGCCATGAGCCAGTAAACAAGTAATATGGATGACACTTACTACTACCAGAAGACACGCTTGCTGCAGTTCGAAGCTGTGAAACAGCGTCAGCTGCCTTGACCTGGGATGGGCCTGCCACTCGTCCCTGAAGCAAATGGGTGGACACAGTGTTGTAAGGGCCATGTTATTAAAAAAGATCAAGTCGCAGGGTTTCCACAAACACCACAATCATTAGACATACTGTGAGGGGAGACTCGCAATTATTTTAAGCCACCTGCCGTTCTTTGATGTGCTCCCAAATAAAAGTATACACGGGCATTTTAGCAATTCATTCTCGTCAAAACACAACCTTTGTGGCTGAGTGCCAAACGCATGACTTCAAATTTGTCACTGTAACATTGATTCCCAATTAAACCACTTGACAAGATGAAGGGCCGATTCTTGAGTGTAACTTACGTAAACACAGAAATGGGTTTGTACATTTGAGTTTGCTGTAAACTGTACAGGAAACTGAAGGGATTAGCAAAATGTTTTCCATTTAGAGAAAAGTTCTTTTTACTGAGAGATGAGCAGGGCTGCACAATGCAAGTATGAAACCAATCACATTAGATGCAGCTGCTGCATTTAAGGCTAAGATAATTGTGTTTCCCGAGAGTCTATTGCGATTGAAAGTCTACTGTTCTGAGAGACTACTGTATGACCGAGAACACATGCAGCAGCTGAAATGGTGGGAGCAGTCGGGCTAACTTGCCTAGCCTTCCCAACCTACATCTTGCAAATGCTCGTGTGTTATAGCGATCCACTCATGGGTTACAACTAACACTGTTCCATTATCGAAACAATGCCTGCAGCTTCATGGAGCTAATCATCTCCTACCTAGTGTCGTACAGAGCGTCACCTGCTCATGATGTCACCACAGAGGTGCTTGCTGTACAGTGTCCGATTGTTTGTGTTTGGGTATTATTCATACCAGCTCTACTCCTGATCGCACATGGCTGTGGCTTACTTTGATGGAACAACGTGGCGATAGCGAGCTGCTTTTGCTTCTAAAAACGATGCCCGCCCTGCTTTTTTATGATCAACTTTGCATGCCAACAAAACCAGGTGGAAATGAATGCTGGCACCGCATGTTTGGATTGTCAGAAAGTACAATAATAATAAAAAAACCTGGTGCAGCTTTCATTATTAGCTATTCTATTTCCTGTCTATCAATCTGTGCACACTAAGCAAGCCCATCAGCAGAACTCGTATATATGACAGATACAACAATACCAATGGTGTATGTACCTACATTAACAAGGCCTTCAGAATTCATATTTAATAATGCACAATTGATTAGCATTACTCCTTTAGTAGATGCATCTTTAATCAGCAAAAAATTTTTATAAAATTGTATTTGAGCTTAGTTACGTGCATCCATGGGAAATGAGCAGACAGAGACACAGGTCTAAAAGCTTGCCCAGAATAAACCTGCAAACGAAAGGGATCCAGGCAAATAAATTCTAAGTAACCTGACTGCTAATATTCACACAAGCAAGATCAAATTACTTTCATTACAAAATTTATGCCTCATTAGAGAAGTACCCCCCAACGATAGCTGTGCACAGGCCTCTTCATTAAAGAGGCCAAATCGCAACAGCCGCAAATGGATATGCGCACGCAAGCGCTGGTTTCAATAAATGCTGTGTAAGACTGCCCGTAAGAGTTGGAAATCTTAAAAATCAAATGCTAGAGCGTTTCAGCATCCGAAATTTAAGACTTCATAATACAACAAGCTCATGGGTGCATGTACTAATGCCAAGGAGTCCAAATTACCAGGAATGTCTGAAAAATTGGCTGTCGATTGTGTCCCGGCATTTTTTATAAGTCCTAAAGGTAGTGAAGGAGAAATAAAAAACAAAAAATTACACTTTTTCCCAAAATTACAATTTTTCATTTTCATTTGCTTTCACAAGTTCTACTTTCTATACTTCCATAAAAAAAGCAAGATTGTAATTAAGCTTGAAGTAGGTTAAAATCGCTTTTAAAGAGCTGGCTGAAAATGGTCACCTGGCAGCTTACACTTGCATTTCGCGTGATGGGCTTACTAAAGCCACATGCTCAAAATGACCATGATTACCAAGCTCTGATGATAGAAGAAATCATCTTAAACAACATTTTTTTACCGCATAGATGACCTTTCACTTATACCTCAAAAATGTGTTTTTCTCAAGATCTACACCAGGACGACTTCTTGAGTTTATACATCATGTTTCTGGTATTTTTGATAGCCCTATCGGGATAAAATTTTGCCAACATATTCCTCATCACGTGATGCGTACAAGAATCTTTAAAATTTGATATCACCTGTATAATTATTACTAACCTAGAGTAAGCAATTAGTATGGGCTGAAGATTCTGAGAATTTCCACATTACAATTTTTTTTTGTCCATCAAAATGTCTTATATGCACTGTCTCTAAAGCAGTTTACATTCTACAGTTAATGTGGAGCAATATGAGGCATTAATGGCTCAGAACCATAAAAGTTTGTTCGAAACAAACTACACTTTACGCATTGTCATTGCATAAAACAAAAACTGTTCAACTTATAATATAACTAATTACATATTTGAAATCAGCATAAAAACCTACATATACAGCAAATATGTCATTGTCCTAGGCTACAGATTAATGCAACTTTCTTTCCAAATTCCATCTCCCCTTAAATGCCACCACGAAAATTTCTGAACTGCAAAGTGGCATCGCAGTTCCAACTTTCACGTTTAGCCATCATCATCATCACGTTTAGAGCACCAAACCAAACCTATCTACCCCTGCCCCTTCATATAACAAAAACTAACCAATCTATGCATCAGTCCTGTAGACATAATAATCATCATCATTAACATTTTATTTTTATGCCACTGAAAGACGAAGACTTCTCACAACGATTTTGTTTGTCTTGTATTGCTCATGCTGATGATTCTACCCCGTCTATTCAAACATGATTCATTTCGACGCTCCATCGCTGTTCTCCTTGGCTCCCTTCCCCTGAAATCCTTTTGCTGCTCTATCTCAACCACTTCCCAGACATTAATTGACTCACCCAGCCTCCGTTGACAAGTATAGAGTGAAAAGATTCATCCCCAAATAGCACTATCGTTACTATCAGTAGTTGAGTGACTATCAAACTATCAATGATAGAAAAGTAGGCTTGTGCAAATATTTAAATGCTTCCAATATTCAAATGAATATTACTATATTCAAATTTAAATTATTGGAAATGTTGAAGAATTCAAAATGACCGAATAAGTGTATATTAGTCTGCATGTAACCCCCTGTAAAGATAGTTTCACTGCAGTAGAGGGGCGCTAAGCCGTGAAGGTGTCAACACAAGTGTACTTTTGTCTACATGTACCTACCTGTGTATGTGGTTTCGCTGCAGTGAAGGGGTGATAAGCCGTGAAAAAACACCTATCCAAAAAGAATACGCACTGCCCCGAAACCCCCCTTCAAGGTTGGGTGAACATATTACCTTCACAATGATTCATAAGTTCTTAAGTTTAAAAGCTTGTTACACCAGCTTATATGCTCCAAGTATAGTAACTTTAAAACATAACATATGTTATATGTTACCACATACATTCTACAGAAAGTCAAACCCTGCTACTATTTTCAAAGTTGTTTTCAGTTACTTTGAAGTAAAAACATGGCGTTTGCACAGGCCTAGTTTCAATTAAAAAAAAAATACTATGCAGGTTTATTGGGTCATGACAAATATGCACATTTTTCTGTACAATATGTGATACAAACTATTGTAATTAGATTCGACATTATTAGACCAAAATCACTACTCAGTTCGAACGTAAAATTCCTTATTTGCACAAGCCCACAGTCTACAAGCCTACAAAAGCTACTGATGGTGCTATCGATAGTAAGTTTGATAGTAAAGTAACTAGAAAATAAAATCAACTCCATAAACTCAGTGCAGCCTAAACTTCGTTCATCAAATGCATGGCTAATGTCAGAGCAGGTGGAGCAGGCTGAAGAGCAAGAAAGTTGACATGCTCGAGTTCTTTCACCGGAATGCATTGCTGGCACACAATAATTAACTTTACTTGAGTTGAACTCATTTGTAGTAGAAAGGAAGCAGTTATATATGGAGGAACTGTGGTGCTTCAAGCTTACGTTTCGTTCTCCAAAGTAAAAGTATTAGGTAGTAATTACAGTTTAACCCCTTTATAAGAGATACTGACGCAAGAGACATATGAGTATGAGACACCATTGTGCCTATATTAAAGTACGTGTTGATAAAATGCATGCGTGATACCCTGCTTATAAATAAGATACACCTCCTATAAAAGACAAGAATTGCACTTCAGTGCTTTTTTCTTATAAAGAAGTTCAACTGTACTAGCACTTTACCTCCCAGCACAAGAACATCAAGAACAAAGTTTGTTTATCACAGGATGTGAATGACTGCTTTTGAACATAAATTTTGGGATGGGCATGATCTGGCATTTTTGCTGTAGAAATATTTCTTTTGTCAATATTCCTCAAACTATCAAAGTATTGCTGATAATAGGCTATACTGAATGTTTTGGCAATATCATTGTCCAACAGTGGCATAGTTACTCGTAGCACTATCAATAATATTACCCAAAGCAATGCTATCGACGGTACTATTTGTTGCACTATCGAGAATACTATCGATAGTTCATCAATTGTATAACAATCCATAGTTACCTTAGAATATTGATACATCAAAATAGACTATCGATGCTATCAACAGTCCATTTACCGATTGTTTTGGATCACTACAGAAGAGTCTTCATGAGATTTTCCAACAAAATTATAGATGCAACCAAACTTTTTCAAAACAAAAATTGGTGCCACGTGCAACCTATGACGGCTACATTTGTCATAGTTCTGCTTCTTGAAGCTCGATGGCCACTTTTGTCCATGTTGTGCCAATTGTGTCTCTGCTTTCGTTTTATAGCCATCTTTCATTGTATTGTCATGCGACCAAGTCAACTTCCAGTTATTTTTTTACACAGTTGAAGAAATAAATGATTGAATTAAAATGATGCTTTCATTTTATTTTTTAAAAAATCTCTACAAATTAAACGAAAAATATTACTCTGCAAATTTAGAAATGTTTTCTCATTTTTTTCTTTTATATATATTTTTTCAATGGAAGCAAAAGGGTTAACCATAAAACACTTTTTTGGGAAGTTTGAAATGCGTAGCAATGGCTGAGCAAGCACGTCCTACCACTTCCCTTAAACCACTTCCACTGCAGCTATTGAGGGCCAATGAAAAATTTAATGAATATGTATTCAATTAAGCATTTCATTAGAAACACAGGTGTGAATTCTTTATTCTTAGTGGCTGCTCCACCACCGCATTGAATTTATATCTGCGACCGTGCAAGCTCCTCCTCATTACATGTAACCGTAGGAGGGAAGGGGGCACTTGCTTGGGATCTTCATGGCAATATGGACTAGAATATTGGCTCCCTGCTTGGTGTCTGATCCATTCTGCAGTCCTCTGACCTCTCAATGTTGCCTACCATTTTCCGCTCCACTGCTCGTCATGTGATCGCATAGTGCAGGTGGACAACAACGTACCCTAATTTTTTCTCTTTATAATCACCTTATGAAGTCCTACGTGCACTGGCAAAGGTCATGCAATCACTATTAATAAAGGTCGACCCACCTCTTTGTTGTCCTTCACATGGAATTCGTGCTCGGGAATCAAATCTGGCTTCTTGTTCTTCAGCTGGCCAGCATATCTAAAAGGAAACAGAGTGTATGGCATTTGGAACTAAAGCGGGCTCGGTGTTTAGTGCTTCTCAAAAAAATTAATGGTATGGTGAACATTTGGAACTTTAAATGAACCCACTAAAAACAGCTCAACATACCACAACTTTTTTCCTAATATGTTTAGAACATCCGCTTTGTTGCACTGCACACAGTTTTGATTCCAGATTATTGTGATGCGCTGACTTTTTTTGTAACTCCAAGTTTAAAACAATATTGCTCTCCCAAATGGTACATAAAATATTTTGTATTAAAAAAACACATTCAATTAGAAAAATAACTCCATATTTGAAATCATCACACATATATAAGTAAACTCACCAAGTTTAGTCAAAGTCAATTAAGAAGTAAAAAAATTCTTTTTAAAGTGCAGTATCTCCCCTTAGGTCGTCTCTCACTTGGGAAAGACCCTTTGGTGCTTGCTTCTGTGCTTTCCGTTCACAGGCAGCAGTTAAAACGTTGGTTATGATCACTTTATTTTCTCACTATCTAAACCAACTAATAAAAAAGGCTTCAGTTTCACTTAGGAAACTACCGTTTACTTGGCAAAATGAATGCATCAGGAAACCCACCCTGTGGCAAGGACAAAGAGGTCTGGCCGCTTGTCCTTCTCTTCCTGCCGAATCTTTTCGATGCGCCTCTCCAGCGCCTGGCCCAAATTTGTCATCACAGGAAAATGAGGTAGCACTTTGGTGAGCACAATCAAGCTGTTCCGGATTTGGACATAGTCACCAGATTCAAGGCAGATCACTAGTGCCTGTAGAAGAAGTAATAAAATTGATGGCTGAAAAGCTAAAAAGACAGCACCACTTTTATTCACGTACAGATAGACATTTGTATCAAACCTAAAGCAAAAGCGATTTCAAATGCTTAAGAGTGAATAATGAAATTTTAAGTTTTACTATATTATAGCGGTGCAGCTGTGCCAAGAAATCACCTTTACAAGAAATTGAATGTAGCAAATTTCTATTTGTTTGTTTCAAGTACTTCAAGATTACAGGTCTTAAGTTTAGGTTGAAGTTAATTCTAGCATACTGTAACATTCTCATGAATATTCAAAGCAATCAACTATTATTACAATGCTTATTCAAAACAATGAACTTTCTAATGAAATAGAAATTTGAAGTAGGTTTTCTCACACCTTTGTCCTGCATGCTTCAATAAACAGTAAATGCATACACATTAATTGGGTTTGGTTGCATACTATAATGTATGTGAGTTATCCTTATAGAATACATATTAACCACTGTGTTCCCCAAAAAAATGTCGTGTAGCAAAACTTTTTTTTCTGAATTAAGCTGCTTTACTTCGTTTAGGCTTACAAGTAAAAAAAAGCAAGTTCCGGAAATGATTACTCTCAGCAATGCCCACCAATTGCAATGTTTCAATACCAAGCTCAATTACGCTATATGTACATGTGTGTACATTACAGTGAAAGCTCGTTAATTCAAACTTCAATAATTAGAATTTCTGGATAATTTGAACTGTAAGTTATGGCCCGGCCAAGCTTCATACAAGCCTATGAATAAAAAAGCCCGTTAATTTGAACGCGAGTAAGTTCCGCCACGGATATTTCGAACTACGCGCCACCGTGCAGACGACTTGGCTAGTCACTTGATAGTGCGGCTGCCGAGTAACGAGGCGGCATTGACAGGGAGCGGAGAAAAAAACGGAGAAAGAAACTGGCACGGAGGCCAGAGTGCAGAAAATAATGCCTCTTACTCTTCACAACACCTCCCCACTATCTCTCTCTCTCGGCGGCTGCCTGCTCTCCGTCCTACATAACCTCCACGATTTGCTTCTTTGTTTAGGCACCGATCTTGGAGCCTTTGCAAATCCTGCATAGCTGTTGCTGTTAAACGACAGATGGCATGACCAGCACACAGAAAATTGGGTGAGTCGTAGCTTCGCCCAGTCCTTATCTCTGCAGTCTCCGTCTCGGGCGTGCGTCGTACGCCTCTGTTGTTGGTGCCGAAAGTATCTTCCGACTGTCGCGATTCTTTGTGTTGGTGTTAGGCCTCGGCTAACGTTTGCTGCGGTAGCGCCGGGAGTAGCTTCCATCTCTCGCGATTCTGCTGCTGCGACTTGATGGCGTGTGCCCGCAACAAATACCGTGCCAAAACACTTCAAGAGAAAGCCGATATCCAGCAAAAAGTGGACGCCAGCCTCTTGCCTAAGCAAGAAATTGCGAAAAAGCATGGCATACCTGCCAAGTTCAAGGATTCTGAATCCGAGAGGTTTCTGCAGGGGGGGGAAGGGGCTGAATCATTTGCTTCTATTTGTTTCGACACCAAAAAAAAACCCCAAGGACAAACAAACAAAAAAATATCGCAAAAAACAAGAGGGGGTGAGGGTGGGGGGTCTCAATCACAAGCACAAACATCAGCGTTGCGGTCGGCTTGGAGTGGCCGAACACATGAAGGTAGGGATTCCCACTAAGGTGAGAGTCTCAAAGGATCAACACAACTAGCATAATTTATTTCCTTCAAAACAGCTCGTGTATGTTTTACTGGGACACACGTGAACGGATGTGACAACGCAGCTGGCAGCCGCAAAAGCGCGGGTCACAACAATCACATGCACTGTAGAAGACAGTGCGTGCGCCGGATGCATGCGTACTTCTGAAGCTTCGAGTACGTTGCTCCCGGCCTTCGTTCGACGATTTCCGTAGTAAAGTTCGTATCACCCGCCGCGATTAGGAAATGTGTTCGGAACATTCGAATTTAGGCCCAATAGACATAGTGGAATTTCGCTGAGGAATTTCACGAATTCGTATCTGCCCCGGTTTCGCATCACTGAGATTCTACTGTACGTTTAGATGAACGCCTCTTACTCATAATGAAATGGGGTAGGTTCGAAAAGCTTGGAGCGGATTGAGCTGCTTCTTTTTGTAAAGGCGGCCGGATCACGCACAAAAATTTCGATTCCCGGGATATTTTCATGACAACCGTACAAATGGAAGAAACGGTCCGAATCCGGGAGACTTGGCAGGTATGGCATGGTATACCGAAGACGTTATCTACTTATGAAAAAAATAGGACTATTGAAGACGCCTTACAGGCAGAAGTTGCGAGCAAAAGAAGGAGGTTGCGGCCCAAAAAGTATCTTGACCTCGAGAAAGCGCTCCTCATTTAGATAAAGGAAAAGCGTTCGCAGGACATACCTCTGAGTGGGCCAGTCATACTGGCAAAGGCAGCAAACTGTTCGTGATAGGCAAATCAAGAAGTCCTCGTTGTTTCAAGAACATCCGGTTTTTCCCATCAGACTACGTGGCTAACAAAAAGGCCTGGATGACAGGGGTATTGTTTGCGCAGTGGCTAGGGAAGCTTGACAAGAAGTTCGAACGCTGTGGCCGCAAAGTCCGGTTTCTTGAGGACTACTGTCCGGCCCATAAAGTCAATGTTGAGACGAAGGCGATTGAGCTGGCCTTCCTTCCAGCAAACACGACAGCGGTACTGCAGCCCATGGACCAGGGTATAATTACAAATTTATAATCATTTTATCAGTGTCATATGTTGGAACAAATTATTTTGTGCAATAACTACCAAGTGACGCTCCTAAGTGCACTACACATGCTTGTGCATGCCTGGGAGCAAGTGACAGCGCTTACGATAGCAAATTGCTTTCGCCACTGTGGCTTCAGCACCGAAGCTCTGCAAGCTGACGAGGCACCAGTGCTCGAACACGGCATCATCGCCGCGTTCACTATGTCAGGTGAGAAGTGCAGAACCTGTCGCTGCCAGTGACGATGATGAGGAGGGGAATGAAGCACCAGTGCAGCCCTCAGCTGCGGAAGTCATGGCCGGATTAAATGCCGCCCGTCTTTTTTTTTTTTTTTTAAGTTTTGAAGAAGGCAGAGAAGAGGCCTTCCGCCAAATTCGCTGATTAGAGCAAAAAGTGCTGGCTGTCGCCTTCATGGAAAGAAGGCAGACCACGATCACAGAATCTTTCAAAAAATAAATTGTTATGCCCTACTGAGTTGCAGTGTTCTTGTTCTTCACTTTCGATAGTTCAAACTTTCGTTAATTCGAACTGAGGCGGCTACCCCTTGAAATTAACGAGCTTTTACTGTATATCTCTCTTTGCTGTACGTCATGTACAGAGGGCCTAAATCTTCATCAAATGGGAATCGCAACTTTTTCGTTTGGGCCTTCCTTATTTCTCAGGAATAGGATAAATTGAAATTGAAAGCAAAAGGAAGAGTCTTTAAACATCTATTTACCTTGGTGATTTTGAAGTGCCATTTGTGACAAACATGACGGTAGTTCTCATAATCAACATGATCAGTGGCAATGTCTGATGACTGGCTAGCACCACGAAACTTTGTCATGAAACCGGGAAAGTTGGCACACTCCTGCAAGAATCCACAATGAAGTTGTAGCTCTGGCACATAAAAACACGCTATCCTCTCTATCCACACCCCCTGAATACGATGCATACTCACAATATCAGCACCATAGCAAGCAAACAGCGCTCACCTTATCGAAAATAGACTTGTCACTGTGCCAGCGCATCACTGTCTCCAACATGGAGCAGAGGAAGCGGCCATACCGATTGGCCTCATTCTCAGTGCATGCTGTTACAGTGTATGTGATGTCACAAAAAATCTGCAAGAGAAGATTATGAGCTACAGGTTAGAAATGCCACTAACACAAAGGATGCAAGTCAACGTAAAGTAATGCATTATCAATCATTCAGAGATAATAACGCCTTTGTAACAAGGTTTTCGTAAAGCATCAAACAAAAGAAAGCATAAAAGTCAAAGTGAGGAAGCCAAAATAAAAAGTTTAGGGGAAGATGGCAGCTTGAAAGGATGAGAAATTTGATAACAGGGAAAGTAGCTGGAGCAGTGCTTCAACAAATGGACTCGTCGTATCGTTGGCTCCAGAAACACTCTTCGTTCAACATTCTCTCATCACTTTACATTTAGGTTGCAACACACTTATGGGTGCAGGGAAAAAGAAACATCAAGAGAAAATGCATGTGAGCTCTTCCATACACCACTTATAAGGTAACCACTTATATAGCAGGGCAGGCTATATAACATGGCCTTTTCTGACTAACACGTACACTCCCACAAAGCTCTATGCATACACACTCTACTTACTGTCCAGCCTTCTAGATGAAAAACTAATTTTAGCATTCCTTTCCATTGCATCTTCCAACGATGTCTAAGAAAGGAACTTCATTCAGCACATGTCGCAACATACTGATCAACGCATCAGTGTGAGCATGCATCTACAAAACACATTCCTGTACGAAAATTCATAAACAATATCATGTAAGCTCGATCCCGTTGCAACGCCGTTTCATACATCGAGGATATGAGCGAACAGCTAGATCAAATGTTGGGGAACAAGAGCATCCATGCAGCCCGCAAGACCATGTAAACACGTGAATGGCTCATATCCCAGCTAAAAAAATAGCATCTGAATGAAAATTTTCTAGGACTGATCGCCCAGTGCTCTACGGCAAGTGTATTACCACTTAAATTAGCGAGACAAAGAACTTCACAGGAACAGTTAGTCAATGGTGTGCATGCACAGCTTTAATACAGAGTGCCGCACACTTGTGAAAGATTGTGAGAAGCATGACCATCACATGCATATCAACCACACCAGCACCCTGACAATGAAGATGCGTCACTGACACGAAAAGGCTGCAGTTACAATCGTAACAGATACAAGCCATCTTTTCGAGCATATTACACCTATGTGCATGACCTTGAGACAGACCGGCAAAAGCGGCGGCACAAGAACCTCAACCGCGATGGTCAAAAGTTTCACACACAACTACTAAAAACACTACTTCTTGCGACTACTGGAACAGTAACCCCTAAAAAAGAGGCTATTGAGAGTGAGATGCTCTGGGTGTGTATCCCCTCACCTTGTCATAGCAGATAAGGGTAGAAAAGTTGGGCGTCTTGAGGATGTGGATTAAATGAACAAACTTGGCACAGTACAAGGCGTCCAGCGCTGTGAATGTGCAGCGTGGAAACACACACAACTGCAGGAACTGCGTGATAGTTTCGTTCTTGGATGACCCTGCACATGAATTAAAAAAAAAACATGCTCCCTCATTATTAATGCAAAAGAAAAGTGCATAATGCCAAGTCTACAGTCTTTACTCAGCATAAAAATTTCTTAACTCATTTTAGGTATACTTGAAAATTACAGATGAACAAGCAGCTCAAGAACCTGCATTTACAGATTTTCTTTGGCTAACACAGTCATAGCATAAACCCCAAGTAATGAAGGCAAAGCAACTGGTTTCTTGAGATATATACCATAAAAACTTCATGTATATAATACTGATCATAATTCCATCTATAGTATCTCATTCTAACAGACCTCCATAAATGAAATGTGAATGGTGCCTGCACAATGCCCCAAACAGGAGAATGCAATCGCCTGCAAAACAAAGGCAGGTAAGTCTTGCATATGGCTGCCATTCATGGTAAAAATTTAAAACACACACACACACACACAGCCCATTTACATGCCATTCCACAGGGAGCCTAAAAAAAAAACACACGGCACAGTCAGTCAAATGGCCACACGCTTCCTCCTAAACACTTTGGAATAAACAGTGTCCTTCAATTTCGTTCCTTTTAAATACACAAGCGTGCACATGCTTTAGGACAACAAGTGCCAGTATGATCGATGACATTTAAAGCTTCAATACCAGTTAAGCACAACTATCTATGATTTTGCTGCAGCCCTAAGAAAAAACTGGCAATACAACAGAAGTTGGCGTGCTGCACTTAGTCATATCTATAAGAACGTCTGATAATTCAAACAAAATAATTAGACACCCATAAATTTAAATTATCGAGACCCAACTGTACTTATATTCACATTTAAAATGTAATAATCTACATGAAGACATTCCTGTACCATGATGCATGGAAGAGCCATCTCAGTGACTGCTGGTCTTTCCAGAATGTGTTGACGAGATTGCTCATGTGTCCAACTATGATATATAAAAAAGACTCTCGGTCAACAGAAATCGGTTGCTGCTTGAACCACTGCCTCCAGGACGATTGGTTTCATACTTGCATTCTGCACATGTGTTCATCTCACGGTACACAATACACCAGTCAAATGGAACACATTTTCCTGGTCCCTCCAGAGTCTGTTGCGCTGCAAAAACTGCAGTCTCACTGTGCTTGGTATCAATTCATGATGCACACGCATAAACCATAGTATGTTCTGTGTGTGGTTTGAGAGTATCATTTTTGTTACAGCTGCTGTGTTTTTCATTTACAGTTGAACCCCTCCATAAGAGGCACCCTCTGGGCAGCCATTATTGTCTTTTAGATGAGATGTTTCTTATTAGCAGGGTACCATGTATGCATTTTCTTATCAACCCGTATTTTATTGTAGGCACCCATTTGTGTCTTATACCCATGTCCCTTATGGAGGGGTTCGACTGTATGCAGTTGCACTATTTATGCTTGTGTTCCTACACCTACTCGCATGTATGCCCCTATCACCCCATGATCCAGCCACAGCCTGTAATAGATAATAGGTAGGCTTAAGAAAAGGGCGAGCTCTAGTATATTGGATTGCAAGTGGCACAGCACACAAGCGAAAGTGCATACTTGACTGAAACCAGGCATCCTTTTCACTACGCAGTCGAGCCAGAACTCGAGTGCAGTGTTCCTGCTGTTTGCGCTCCTCCTCAGCCAGTTTGTCAGCAAGGGCGTCACACCGGTCTTTTTCCTTCTTGCGTTTGCTGGGAGCCTGCAGAAATAAAGTATTCCCTATCATCATAACACGCACAGAATGGTTTTCTAGTCAGGGAAAAAGCAAAGTGAATGCTGTGGCCACGGTTGAGGAGTTGGAGAGAGGTCCGTGGAGATATGAGTAATGGGATTTTCGAGAACGGCAAAAGGCAAGAAGATAAATGTATTCTCTTTCCTCAAGTAATATTTTCTCTTTTTGCATAACTGTATTATTTTTCCATTACCACTTTCTTTAAGTACTAACTACATTTTTAAGACAAAACATTTGGCCCAGAAAAATTTGCCCAAATTTTTAATAGGAGTAAGAATCGAGAACAGGATGATTAAACACTTTTGGGTAGAGCATCGATCTATTTTTAAGTGATAACTTTCTCTTTTTTCATATTTCATTGTAACCCTGGGGTTACAATGAAATATGTACACTCCACTATGGCTTGAATACAAAGAAAGTTTTTCTAAGAGCAATAACAAATCGCTATTTACCCACATTAACCCGAGAGACTGGTGAGAGAATGATCAAGGGTTTGACATTCTTGCATTTTACACAGTACAAAATACGTTGTGTACCTACAAGTACACAACGAAAACCAGTAAGGCATGAGCCTTTTATCTAAGAGCTTTAAACCACTCTGATCACCGTGAAATTATCATTTCGTCGAAATGGGAAATAAATCTCATTATTAAAAGCTCACGCACTGTTTTGTGCATATATTTCTTGCGTCCCGCCAATTCATTGTGCAACATAACAGACAGCGACAATTTTCAGCTGCTACTAACTTGTTACATAAATGACTCAAGCAGGATACCGCCCACCTGCCACCGCTTTCTCGCAAACAAAATCCTGCACACAATGATGCAGCAATAAAATGGTGTTTCTTGCCAGCAACAAATTCCACTATTATTGGCTCTGGCATACTTGTAGGTTTATACTCTCATGATGTAGCTGGAGTGTGTTGATTACCTTTGTACAGAACAAGAAAATACCACAAATAAATATAAGTTTAGAGGAAGCATACTTGCAATGGTCGTCTCTGTGCTGGGTTAGACTGGAAACAAGGCAGTATAGAAGCTTTAGTTCGGCACAGCAGTAACAAGAATTGTCCCTAACGTATGAGCATGTAAACAGGATCGTTACAGCATATGTGAATATTATCTGCAATAATAAAAGTAGCAGCGGTGTTAGAAGCACCGACACCAGTAGGGTCTAAACAGTGAAACTGTTGAAACTACTTTTTTACTAAGCACTGCAGTTTCTTGGGACAGCACTGTGCTAATTGAGGTAGAAAACCAGCACAAAACCTGGCTCTCTGTGCGAGCCCATGTGGTAACTAGTCACACTAGGCCCAAAGGACAGCAGAATACTCCTTATTTTATTACACTACATGTTCACTTACTCATGAGCACTAACTCGTGCAGTACTCATGTTTTTCCCTATGCCCACCAATTCATGTTTATAGTCCCTTTTATTCACAATACATTGGCACCCACACACATTCATGCTCGGGTCACCTCCCACTAACTGGCACCATCTCAGCTACACTCACCAACTACACACGCTGTCATTAATAATCCTGTTTGCTCACACCGTCCATCGTGGTTCATCACAGAGCTGTGACACATGCATGGAGAATGCGTGAATCACTGTACACATAAGGGATCTTCAACTAAGCTAGACATGCAACCGGGTGCATATCAGAGGAAAGAACTTATTACAGTCGAACCCTTTTATGAGAGACACTGATATAAGAGACAAATGGGCATAAGAGGCACCAGTGAGCCTGCAGTAAAATACGAATTTATAAGAAAATGAATACGAGGTACCCTGCTTATAAGACAAGATTCATGTAAGAGACAAGAATTGCTGCCCAGAGCATACCTCTTATAAAGGGGTTTAACTGTACAATGACATCAAAGCAAAATATCCTGCTGTAGCTTAAATGCCAGTCCAAAAATTGAGAATGTGAAAAGGCAGAGCAGGCAGCTAAGAAATTCTAATAATTCAACAAAGCTTACCATGTCCTTCGTCTCTTCAGAATTGGACGCGTCTCTCAGCTTCTGAATCTCACGTTGGTAGCTAGATGTGGGGACGTAGAGGTCGTACATGGACAACGACCAAAAGGTCACGTAGAACTGGGGGCTGCACAGACAGTGAAACAAAAGGGTACAAAGGCAAGAGAGTGTAAGAGAGATGCGAGTTCGCCCTAAATAATAACAAAGTGGAGCTAGAATCCCTCTGGCCTAAATAGATTAGAGGCATCCCAGGGAGGCCCCAACATGCAACATGCCTTTCAAAACAGAGAAAATAAGCTGCACCAACACATCAGCCACCTCCAATCATAAAGTCCGTGCATTGCTGCCTGACAAATGGTGATGAACTACTGGTTCAAAGGTCAAGTGCTTTGAAGATCTTCATTGCATATTTGCAAAACTGCACAGTTCATTAAGCATTAACACTGTCTTGTAGACCATAGCGAGTGTCCTGGCTGCTCACCTAGACTAGAAAGCCCATCCTGCACTTACACAGCTTTTGCTAGTATTTGCACTACCATTCCTCCAAGTACTCAAAACTGTGCAGCAGCATTGTGGTAACGTCACACGCTCTCCTACTGACACACAGGATTAAACTGGCTGCAGCTCTTCTCTCTTCTTCTTTCTTTTTTTTTTAATATAGAGTGGCTGTGTCTCTAAACTGTCCATACCTTAAGTCTTCCCATGTCTTTGTTGGATGCAGTGGCCTGACGTTTTCGACAACTTGGGACATCACTTGGTCTACAGCATCTACGTAGCGCTGGAGCTGGAAACCATTGAGAAGAGTTGTTCAAAAAGCTACATGAAACACGCCCCTCCCAAACATTCAATACACCTTGTAGCAAGATAGCAAAAAGACATCTGTTCACTACAAGTTTACCTTTTGTGCTGCTGCCAGTGTTTTGAAGCTTTTATCTTTCCTCTTGGCTTCATCAAACTTCAACTACAACAAACAAAAAAGAGAAAAAGAGATGACAAGAAACTCAAAAAAAAAAACAATAGAGTGAAAAAGCATCACAACTTATGACTCCTCTTTTTACTTTGTACTACGACCACAATAAATATATGTACCATATTTTATATTACATCACAAGAGTGCCTCTGACTGGCAAACAAGTAACTAATGAAAACACATTTGTTCTTGCCGACAGCATGCACAAGCAGTGCCTGCTAGTATTAAAAAAAACAGCAGAAAGATGGAAGCTTGAGATGAAAAAATTCATAAACAGATGTTGCATGCTGGCAACAAATGCTCAAGCCAACGCTTCAACAAGTGGATTAGTTTTTTTTTTTTTTTCAAAAACATGAAATCGAGCATTCCTGTTTACAGTTTTTTTTTTTTCATTTGCTAGTATTGTGACATAAAAAAAAGGAGACGTGGCTTTGAAAAAGAAAACCATGTACAAGAGACCATCTCAAAACAATCTTCAGAGTGTGAAGAATGCATTTTGTCTTCATTTGGACAATGACTGGTGTCATAATTACCATATGTTCTTGTGTAATGGCTTTGAAAAAAGAAAACCATTTACAAGAGACCATCTCAAAACAATCTTCAGTGTGAAGAATGCATTTTGTCTTCATTTGGACAATGACTGGTGTCATAATTACCATATGTTCTTGTGTAATGGCTAGCCATGTAAGGGCTGCACCCCCAACACAGGAAAGAAAATTTTGAAGAAAAAAAGTTTAGATTCCACAAGGCCAAGTGCATGCACCAGCTTGACGAATGGGTCTCGTCCCAGTGGTCTAGTAGTTATGGCACTCGACTGCTAACCTGAAGGTCGCCGGATCGAATCCCGGCTGCGGCGGATGCATTTTCGATAGAGGTGAAAATGCTGTAGGCCCGTGAGCTCAGATTTGGGTGTACATTAAAGAACCCCGGGTAATCGAAATTTTCACAGCCCTCCACTAAGGTGTCTGTCATAATCATATGGTGGTTTTGGGACGTTAAACCCCACATACTATTGCAATTAAAGCTTTACGATTGACTAGCAGATGGCAAAAGCAGTTTTTTTACTGAAGTCACATTGTGACGTGGCCGTAATCACATCACTGAAGTGCAAATCTTATAGATAGTACACAAAACAACTACTTTTGGAAGGGCACCCATGAGACAAACTCTTCCAAGAGCAGTGACAGTGAAAACGACTATGAGCATCCATAAATAAAGGCTGATTTACACCGGCGACTAGCACTGCTCGCATGACTAAGTTAGTCGCTTTACGACTGGTCGCAAATGGTCGCTAAGCGACTGCTTTGCCTAGTCGCTTCTTAAAAAGATTTTTATGTCGCACAAATGCAGCCGAAAAACCGCTGGAACCAATGAGCAAAGACCAGAAGAGATGTCAGCATTTGTTTGTGCCCGGGCTCACTGCCTTTTTTATTTTTCATTGCCCTGGCCCACTGCCTTCAAATACTAACGAGTGTGTTCCTCTGTGCCATCATGGCCACCACGGAGTACTGTGCTCAGAGCTTGAGCAAAGTTTCGAATGTTCATGGCGGCATTCGCAGGAAGCTAAACCAATCAAAAGAAAGAGAAAATGGATTGTCCACTATCTTACAGGCATGCAAAACAACGAGTAGCTTACTCTCCGAAATACTCCTCATCGTGTGAGTGCAGGTCGAGAAGCAGGCGGCTTGCGTGGCCAGCCACCTCTCATGAGCACTTCTTTTTGTCACATAGACTCCTTTTAAATAAAACCTGAAGGGACCAGGAAAAATGGGTTTCATTTAAGAGGAGTTTTGTTTACTGAGAAATCAACAGGGGTGCATTGATTCAAGTACACAACGAATCATATTAGAGGCAGTTCTATTTAAACAGCGATTTCGTTTAAGAGGGTTTCCTTTAATGGGAGTCTACTGCATGAGCGTTAAAACAGGCGCGCGCAGCTGCGTCCCAACGACAGCTTCAGGCCACCGTGCCCACCGTTCCCCCCCAACGAACGGGCACAACCAAAAAAAGAAAACTATGAAAAAGCGTCCAGGGCCCTCTACCCTCTACCAAAGCCTCTGCGTCTCTACACAGGCGAAGGCGGAATGCCCGCGCAGATCAGGAGAGTTCCAGACATCTATTTCTGGGCTACGCCTTTCTGTGGACGAACCGGTGAGACAAAACCCTTTCCCCTAGCTGCCGCTGTGGTACGTGCTAGACGCCAAATAATCGCTTGGAATGCTCGCGAAACGGCAAAACCGGAAAGGATCCAAACGAGAGATGGCGGAAGATAGGATGTGTAGGTGGACTTTGTCAAGAAGTTGTGATATATGAGTGTTTTGAGTGGGTCGTGTTGTAAGGTCAGTCACTCTGAAAAATCGAATGATGACGCATTGAGTGCATTGTTTTGAAGAGTGTCACTAGGGCGACGATTAGCACTGAAGTTCGTTTGAGTGTTTCCTGGAAAAAAAATATCCGAGAAACGTTCAGAGAATTGTGGACTACATACGTGTGGTGAATATTCGAGGCCTCAAAGTGATGATTGATTGATTTGTGGGGTTTAATGTCACAAAATCACCATATGATTATGACAGACGCCGCAGTGGAGGACTTCGAAAATTTCGACCACCCGGGGTTCTTTAACATACACCCAAATCTGAGTACACAGGCGGCCTCTAAGTGATCTTGTACAGTTTGTAATACATGAAATTGCATTGGTAGCGCGGTAAGTTTGTTGCCGTTGTTTTAAATACCCTCTAACCTCCCTGTCACACGGGCACCCTCGAACACCGTTTAACTCCCTCGTCCTTACGACAAAGACGATGCAGTCCGTGTCACACGTCCACCCAAACACAAACAAACATAAACGAAGCAATTCGCAAAGGACCTTCGACGATCTCCCTTCAAATCGAAATGAGGTACTCTCATCCCCAGTATCTGCAGGTCAGAAAAAAATTTCTAGTCGCACTAAATTGCCGCAGTGAAAACAATAATACATTTTGGAAATATTAGACGTTCTTTTGTTGCAGTACCCATTCGTAACGTGTGTTGCAGCTACTCTTCACCGATGCCCTCCATACCGTGCCTCGCGAGTCGCGCCAGGCACCGTTATTTAAAAATATTTCGCCCGTGCGTACGGTTGTTGTCGTTGCCATGTTTGCGTTTGCCTGTGAGAGAAATGACTGACAGCGCTGCATCATCGGCACCTGCTTCATGGCTGCAGAAATGGGCAACGGTACCCAACTTAATTTCAGGATAACTTGGAGTGCACTCATGAGAAAAGGAAACACAAGAACTTTCATACAGAGTCTATAAAAAAAAACAAGTCGTCGAGCACAGTGCAATTGTAACAAACATAGCGTTAGATACAAGGTGGCCAGGATCATCATATTTAGCCAATGCGTTTTCATTCAAATAATTTCTAATGCTTTGTTTGCTTCAGACTTAATATTGTAATTTTGTGAAAACCCCACAACAAGTATTAAAAAAAAATGCAGCTAGAGATGAGATTAGGATACTTATGCAAAAATCGAACAGCGCAGACGGAGCCCTTTAGCTGCAACTATTGACACTTTGTCATTGCGGTGTGACACTGCCACAACTCTATCTCCGTCAAACTCCCTAGGGGAGATTTACGTTAACAGAGTTTAAGGGGGCAGACTGGTCTTTGGGACCAAAAAGTGACAAAAAATTCATTTTTAAAATTGACACATTTGGTTTCTGCAGTATTTTTCTATCTCTCTGCAAATTTTCACACACCAGGAAGTGGTACTTATTTTGTAATGTCACTCCAGCTTTCCAAATTCTTGGTGCTGCTAACATGCAGAACCAGCAAGAAAAATGGGGAACACGCTTCGAGGCTTCTTTATAATTTGCCAGCACCTGTGTTAGAAGCTCTCCTACAAATTTATAAGCACCTTTATGAGGTTTCAAAACATGCGCACCATGATTGTTGCTTTTTGAAAAAGCTGTGTGTTTTCCGTTTTTTCCATTTTTCACAAAAATGTAAATTTATGACTGTTCTATTATGAGGCCTCAATATCTCTGCAGCTAGGGCAGGTACAGCAATAATTCTTTTTGCAATGGAAACCTCTATGTGTGTAGAATGCAAGTATGGGAGCAGAATTTCGAGAACAAGCTTTTTAATTAGTTACTCATCAAAATTATACCACAATTTCAAGTGTTTTTGCAAATGAGTAGCTCATTTTGTAGTGAAATAACCAAGAAGGCCTAAAAGCAAAAAAACTCTTGCCTACATTCAATCTATGTCCATTAGTCTATGTTGGCATGTCTTAAATATAACTTTCAATTAAGCACTTTTTTTTTATGGTGGCCTTAAACAATAGGGGGTGAACTTAAGTTATCTCAGGAACAAGATAAGTTACAGGAAAACTAATTAAATATATGAAATCAGCAGAAAAGGCTACATAACTTTATGCAGTTTCATCAAGATCATTGAAGAAATAAACAAAAAATGTCTAAGACCAGTCAGCCCTTTAATGGAGCTCGGTGGTGGCTGTGTGACAGTGTTATAAGTAATTTACAGTGTTATAAGTAATTTACAGTGTTATAAGTAATTTGACGTAAGTAAATGACAGTGTTATAAGTAATTTTGTGAGTTGTAATTGATACCTACCCAGAGTGAAAGTTTGTATAATGACTGAAAACTGAGAATACAGTTTGTTTGCGTAGTTAACGCTTCACTTTACACTCGGTCTTTGAACTACAACTGGCATCGCTACTGCACGAAAAGGACCAAGATTTAGATTGTGTGTGCTTTCGTGGTGGGTTTTGGTGGACCAATGCGTCAGCCCTCGGAATCTGCCCGACGACTTCCTCCTCATTAATGGGATCAGTGACAGTTCAGGTGAGTTATACGGGTCGCATTCATGAAGTGTATTGAGGCACACTCTACGAGAGATTGGCACTACTTGGGCAAACTGTTCACATATGTGCTGCAACCGGTACTTCTAATAACGACTTCAGTATCGTACCAGTGATGTGCAACTAGAAAAAGCGTTATTTACGACCTGAGAAGAGCAGCTATCACTTCTATAAATGTGTGTGGAAGGGCTTTTCGCAGATTGAGCTTTGGCGCCAGAGTGCGCCTAGAGGTTAACTAGGTCCGAGTGAGTAAGTGCGTGAGTAACAACTTAATTTGAGTAACAACATTAATTTAGGTCCGAGACGCTAGCGGCAATAGAGAGGCCGCACCTTCTTTTTCATCCAACGGTCGTGTTAGCACCATCACGCTCTCGTCTTTACTCCAATCGAAGTCCATGACGCTGCTGGGAACAGAGTGCGAAAGCGGCCGTCGAAAACAATAAATGCGGTGTGCTCAGCTGGCTACGCCCACTCGACTGGCGGCGATCAGCTGACCGCCGCTGGTCTCTAAAGTTTTCACTGACAACAGTGAAAACAAGACCCGGACGTGGCTTTCCGGGTTCGTGACTTCCGGTTGCTCGTATGCAGCCTTTGCCCGTGTGAATGTAGTCGCTTTTTGGTCGCCAGTAGCAAAAGAACGCACGACCACTGCTAGTCACCGGTGTGAACCAACTTTAAGTGTGATCACTAGGCATTGCGGAGAGGTATAGGTCCTTGCAGAAAGATATAGGCCAGATTCGTGTAAGAGTTGCAAGCCATCAAAATGGCAAATAATAGGTGCAACCCTTACATGAGCATACATGGTAATCAAGCAAATTTGGCATGTAGTGTTTCTGCCATGAGAACCTCATCAATTAAATTTGTCATCTGTGCCGCAGGCACATTACAAGAAAAGAGCAATATCAGAAAGATGAGGAGCCGCAGTATAAACTCACATTGATCTGGTGTCCAAACATGGGTCTCGCCAGGAAGAAGGCCACATCTGCCTGAACATGGAATTTCGACAGAAGCAGGTCCACTGAAGGTAGCCTGCCTGCATACTCTTCCGTGCTCAAGCTACTTGACAGGAAGCTGCAGAATTGCACAAGTGTGTCCTGGCACTGTAAAAAGACGAGTCCAATTGAAAGATGCCCTTCTCAGACCCCACAGTTAAACAAGCGTGGTAAAATAATGAGGCCAAGCAAGGTTAAAAGCTGCACACTCACACTGCACCTTAAGGGTATCATGAACAAACTAACAAACGGACAGAATGAACACTCATCCTACCTATGTGTCCCTCTTTCTTTCCATTTTTCCTTTTACATCTATACAGCCGCTTGTGGCTCTAGACGGTGTATTTAAGTACAAGAATGATGAACAAGTTCAGAAGCGTAGCTCAGGCTTCGGAGTCACTACTGGCCAGCGTTCGACACTGACGCTCAAGCCACAGCGCCAGTGCAGTCCCACGTGCACTTCATTGTCATCGTCTTCTAAGGAGACATGTCAACTCTTCCTTTCTTAGACGAAGTCTCCATAGCGATCTGGGGGTCGCCTGACCTCTGGCGGTCGAAGTTCCCAGATGGTCATTGCCTGTGACGTCGGCGGTTGCGATGGAGTGTTGTCCAGCATCTTGGGCAAGTCAGGCCATTGAGAAGCCGAGCTCGAAAGAATTTCTTCTGGCGTTGCATCCTAGAAATCGTCAGCTGTGCTCCAATCTGTCAGCGAATGCGTTGTTTGTCTTGTCTGACCTTCATGTGATTGAGGTGACGCCGAACCTTCCATGGTCGCTTTTTACAATCCAGTATCGTGGTCTAACGCGGGCGCAGTATTTCGCCTTCAACCCAATCCGGCCTTTTCAAAAACTGCCGGATAAGCAATCTCTCCCCTACAGCGAAGCGGTGTGGTTTTACCAATGTCTCCTGGCTCTCGGGAATTTGTTTATCCACCGCCCGCTTGAGAAGGTCGAGAGGACAGAGCAGTTCCCTTCCAAACATTGTAAAGTGTCATTCCTGTGGCAGTGTGTATCGTCGTGTGTTGCCGATGCAGAAATCTTGAAAGCCGGCACTGCACTGACTTGTCTGCATCTGTCAACAATGTTTCATTTCAGCTCTGCCACATAGCGTTCTGCATGACTGTTCATTGCAGGGTGGTGCACGGGTGAGGTTGCAGCCTGTACACCGTCTGATACATAGAACTGCTTGATCGTGTTGAAGATACAGTATAACCTCGTTACAACAGACCTTCATAGTGAAGAGGATTTGGTCTGTTGTAAAAGAAGTCTGTACAATCCATGTACTGTTACAACAGACATTTATGTAAACACGTAATGAGTCTGTTATAACAGGAGAGAATTGAAAGTCACAAACATGGTCAAATAACGGATTTATTAAATGTTTTGAAAGAAGCTAGTCAGCTTTGCCTGTACTGTGTGGCGGACAGCTTTAGACACTATACGTGTCTCCATCATGACAAGTGTGTTCATTTCATCTGAAGTCGTGGCCTGTTGTTCAAAATAGTTTTTGAGCCCTTGAATGTAGTCCAACGTCTGAGAAGTTGTGACCTCCTCTGTGACAATCCCTGAGTTGCCTTCTTCATTTTGTTCTTCTTCTTGCTCAGCATTAGGCACTTGGCGAATTTGGGCTACAATCTCTTCATCTGTCAGCTGCTCTGAGCTGACCAGGTCATCATCTGCAGTGACGTAATCCGAAAACTGCTGGCTCCCAAAGGCCTCCTCCACAGCTGACCACACACCAGGATCTGGTTGGTCTTCCTGTGGCAAGCAGTCTGTGCAGTCGCTGTCAACTCGGAAACCTGCTTTCCTAACGCAATTCTTTACGATTCCTGGCTGAATCTTAGATTTATTGCCGCCGTGGCATGTGTCATCACCAAAAAAAAAGTCTTGCCTGGTTTTAACTTATAAAAAATGCCGCTTTCATCGGCATTGAATACATCCCGCGGTGCGTAGCCTTCAAGGTGTGCAGGTAGAACATCTGCTATCCAGCCGGCTACAACAGTGTCGTCGACTCTGGCAGACTCTCCAGAAAGGCACTTAAACGCGATGGCATGCCTAGATTTAAATCTGCTCAGCCAGCCTTCGCTGCACTGGAACTGTTCTTGGTTAAGAACAACGGCAAGTTGCTCCGCGCGTTTTCGTAGCAGCAGTCCGTTAACGGGTATATTTCGCGAACGGGCGTCACGAAGCCACATCAGCAGGGCCTCTTCAACGTCAGGATATGAAGCTTCGCGGAGCCGGAACCTCTTGGGTTGCAAGTCACCTGAGACTTTCTTCGCCAAGACTGCCTCTTTGGCGTTGATGATAGTGCTAACCGTCTGCTTCGACAAGCCGTAGGCCACGGCGACGTCCACCTGCTTCTTTCCCTTCTCAACTTGCTCGATGATATCAAGCTTGTCTTTAAGGGTAATCTGCTTGCGCTTCGTCGCTTTGTGATGCACGGCGTTGGCTGATGCGTTCGGCTCCATCGGTTCCATCACACCACGATCACGTCCGCAATGCACAGAGGCCAACAGGATACACAATGACAAACCATGAGGCCAAACAGCCCCAACTGCCCCAATTGAACAAAGCGAAGTACACGGCGCCAGGGCGCCAGCAGCGCCTGCGCCGGGCCGAGCATAAGCGCCACTAAACCTTTTATTCCGAGAGGGGCCGCTGCCAAGCGCATGCTTTCTATTTATTTTTCACTTTGACCACAGTTTTATGCAAGTGGTCACTATTGTCCGTTACGAGTCTAACTAAGATTTTTTTATCTTTTATCTTTATGTTATTTTGACAACATTGCAATCATTGCAAATTATGGCTCGCTAAATGTAACAGAAGTCGAAGTCAGCCCCGGCAGCCAGATCAATCCAAGCCAAGCGCGGCCTCCCTGAAATGGCCGCCGCTTGTGTTGACACCGCCGGCGTGCTTTTCCCGTGCCGCAACTATGCCTAGCGATGCCTGAAATCGGAAACAATTGAATCTCGGATGCCCGTGATAGAAAAGTCCGCTGTAAAGGAGGCCTGACCACCTTGCTGGCATCACAATTTAGTCAATTATATCCGAATGTCCGTTGTACCCGAGTCCGTTGTAAATGAAGCTCAATCAATGGAAAAGATAGGGAGATCAGCATAACGCCGCGAATTGGTACGTAGTATCCGAATGTCCATTGTACCCGAGTCCGTTGTACCCGAGTCCGTTGTAACGAGGTTATACTGTACAGTGTAAACCACTTGTAACACAAGTCACAGGAGTTGTAAAAATCCGTGCTAAAAGCAGTACCACAGTGCTATAATCATTTTTCAGGGCCTTTACATTACGCACAAAGCCTGCCTGATAGAAATACTTGTTTATGAAGTCTGCCTTTACTTGCCACCATGAAGCCACCACCATGTCAATTGTTCCCCTTAAATTTACTTTACAGAGGCTGATGGTGCTGAAGACTCTGCAAAACTCCCTCCCAAATGCGCTTTTTGTATAGCACCTTTATGGTGGCATTGAAACCTTGGTCGAGAGGCTGACATTTTGCTATTGTGTTGGCAGGCATAAAGTTTAGGTTGACTGCAGTCAACTTCAGCTTGACGTTGTGAGCGATGCAGTTGTCGAGGATAAGCACGACCCATTGCTTCTCTGCTACCATATCCTTGTCAATCTTGCAGAGCCAGCTGGTGGTGAACAAATTCTGTGCCTTTCATGCCTTCTTAATGGCTTTATACGTTACTGGCAGGCACTCTCACTTTTTGAAGCAACGTGGCCTTGCCGATTTACCAATAATAAACAGGCCAAACTTGTCGCTTCCATCAATATTATCACGAAACAATACAGTGATGCACTCCTTTGAGGCCTTGCGGCCAGAGCAGGCTTCGCCTTTCAGTGCAAGCGTGCGGCTCAGCAAAAGGTTATAAATAAACCAGCTTCATCGGCACTGTATATGTCTCTGTCTGTATAGGTGGACAGCATATTCCTTAAGTTTAAGCGAAGTGAGGCTTCGATAGACTTATCGTCGACATCGCCACTTTCTTCGCACAACACTTCGCAGCTGTTGCCATGGCGTTTCAGGAGTGGGATCCACTCGTTAAGTCGGTTGAAGTCTTCGTGGCCTAAAAAAGCTCCGAGAGACTTGGCCCTATGTTGGAGCATGGGAAGCATGGCCTCACTTACTGGGATGCTCCGAACCCTAACTTGCCTGAACCATCTGAACTGCACTGTGTCCACGTCTTCATATTTCGACGTACGTATTCGCTTCTGTGAAAGGAAAAATGAATCTTGCCGCAGTTTGTCTTTGTTCTTGCAGATGGGAAACACCATATTTTGCCGCCACTAAAGCCTTCCTCAGCCCACTCTTGATGTCCTTTATAACGCATTCCTTGGTCTCCAACGATAATGCACAACGTTTATCACACCGCTTGAAGACGCTGCCAACGCCATGGCGACAGGAGCTCGACAACGCACGTGCTCCGGGCTGTCAGACGGCCACTACGACACAGTGAACAAAGAAGCGCACACGACAAATGCAACAAGGCAAAAAACGGAGACTGAAAAGAAAAAAAAAAGTACGCTGCCACAGAAGACAGAAGTGCCGCCACAGCAGCTACTGTCTCGCACTCCAAAAACATGCTCTCTCCTTCTTTCAAGGTCTCTCTCCTTCCCTAGTGTATCTTCTTTTCTCCTCGGCTATGTTTGCCTTTTCACAGCTGGTGGCTGGCCTCCACGCGTGCATTCCCGCCTGCTCCCACTTCGAGCGTGCCGGTGCGGCGGGAAAATGGGCTCCGTTCGCCGATTTTATGGTCGCGTGCCTAAAAAGTTCGTGTTATATTAGATAATCTTCTTCACAGGCCTACACAATGAACGGTCCGCCTATACATTGAGTTCTATGGGCGACATATCGGTGGTCAGAAAAACCCACGTACTGGCACCGGTCGTACGCTAAAAGCGGTTACGTTATAAGTGGTCTGCACAGTAAATGCTTTTTGTTGTCGGAGATGACCTTTTGAAGGTTGCCAAACCTTGCAAAGAGGTTTTGGAGCATGTTGATGACACCCGCGAATGTTGCTTGCATCACGTGCCGGACTTCCACCCACTTTGTATGTGTGTCCACAGGTAGGTAGTAGTAGTGGCCCCGCAAAGTGAATGTGCACTGTGTTCCATGGTGCCTGGGGACGGTCCCAGGTAGGAATAACAGCTTTAGGCAGACTCTTCTGCGTTTAATGGCATTCATGGCAATGTTGCACAGTTTCCTCAATCACATTCTGCGTGCTGGATGCGTCAGTTAAGGTGCTGAGCTAGTAAAGGACCACGCCTGGCGAGTAATGCTGAGTCGTCACTGGTGCCGAGGCCAGTGTCGAAGTTCCTTGTCGAGGTTATTCGATGCTATTGCTCGTTTTTGCATCTTTCTGCTTTTTCATGCAGGCTTTTTTAATGCATACGCATTTCTTGCAGTAGTTGCATTAAGCTATTTGAAACTTGCAGGTGTCCGCACTATGTTGTGCGTTACAACGCCAACAGCATTGTTTTTTCTTTTGGGCAGAGCTACTCGAGTGACCTTGGTTGTCAGTCTTACAGATACTTGTGCATGATTCATGAATCTCTTTAAATTTGGTTTTCACGTTCTTCTGGTCTTTGACGGAGTTCTTAGCTCGCAATGGGAGGTCGAAAGCTTTCTTCAATACCAGCCTTTTTCTGCAAACAGCCGTTGCTGGATCTACTCGTTCCAAAGACTCCGAAAAACGATCCCACAGCATTACGCCCAGAGGCAGCGTTGTCGGGTTCGCCGTAGTGTCTGCGCTTGTCTAAAAATTAAAATCTGCCACCAGCTTAAGTGCCATGATGTAATCACTGATGGTTTGGTCATGCCGGTGGTCACGTCATTGGAATCGTACCCTGCAGAAGACCTCAGATGGCTGTGGATCGAAGTGAGCCTTCAGCATCTCAACTATGCCCTCGTAGCTCCCTCAGTTAGGCTGCTTGAGTTGAACCAGGGTGAAGACGATGTCATAAGTCTGCTCCCTGCACAGCGTTAGCAGATAAGCATGTTTTTTGGAAGCGTCATAATGCCGTTAGCCTCGAAGAAGAACTGTAGCCTCCCATATCAATATCTCCAGGAGCCAGAATGCTACTGAATTCAGGTAGCCGACCAAAGTCTGGCGTCGCCAGGTCGTTTCCTTGACGTCGGTGGAGTGCAGACGACTTGAGCCTTCGTCGTCGCCAAATGTTACATCTGTACAGCCGCTTGTGGCTGTAGACATTGTATTTAGGTAGAAGAAAAATGTAAAAGCTCAGAAGCATAGCTCAGACGTTGGAGTTTCTACTGGCCAGCATTCGACAACAGGCTCGCGCTCGTGCCACAGCGCCAGTGCAGTCACGCGCGCCCTTCGTTGCAGTCATTTTCTAAGGCGACATGACAGTTCCGTCACACTGGTCCTACAGAACACAGACAATGACCCTATTACATGCCTCTTCAACTCTCTTGACCTCAAAGACCTCAAAATTCATTTCACACGATATGACACACCAGAAGAAAACAAGAAAAAAATACCACAAAATTTTTTTAGTCTCTAGCTTTCGACACAGCAGACAAGCAGCAGCAAAGCTTAAAACTTCAGACTCTTATCAAACAATCAAATCTTTAACTCACAATGACATTTTCAGTGACACTGTTGATGATTTTGACAGCTTCAGAAATTTTGAATGGACATGCTCCAGGTGTGTTAACATCTAGTGTCATTTCAGAAAAACTTTCTACGATATGGTCAGAAACACGAAAAGCTAATCTGAAAACACGAAAAGCAAAACTGCAAGCAAAAATTCTTTTCATACGGAAAAAACATGGATAAAATCCCAGAGGAAGCCTGTCTTTCACAACCTACCAAAAATATAGGAGCTCAGATAAATTCGGTATCATAGTAAGAAAGCAGACATAAAAAATATTAATAAAGATAAGCTCAATGTTTTCAAGCATATTGAGCTACTGGCACAGGGAGCAGTAGTTACGATTAAGTGCAATGCATCATCCTCCCCATGAGATAGAATTCAGTGTGTACTGTGACAAGCTACCGGCAGGCCTGAATGACACGCTTTTATGGGTAGCATGCAATCACCTGGTCGTACAGCTTGCCAACCAGCTTCAAATGTGAGGCTTCCTGTTCCCTGTAGAGGATGCAGTTTTTCTGCTGGGCCATAAGCAGACACAGGGGAAGTGCCAAGTCCTGCTCTAGCAATGATTCCTTCAGCCGCTGCGACGACTTCTTGGTGTTTCTCAACTGATGGAAGTAGCCTCCCTGCGAGCCAGTGCACATTAATGATAGAATGAAGGCATCAGCTCAGCAAGAGCATGTAAAAGGGCAACCAAAATGCTGCACAGTAAAATTGTGAGCAAGCACAACTCACCCCCCTTCCTCCCAGCAGAAAGTCAAATTCTAAGAGGGGGGGGGGGGAGCAGATTTCCCTGAACTGTGCCAAATTTCACTATAGGACTTCCTCAGAAGTCCTCTCTACCTTGTATTTTGCATAGAACACTACAATGGCTGAAGAAACACCATGGCCATGTGATCAGATCACGGGAAGCACCTAGATTAATAAGCCAATGCAACAGCCCTAAGCAACAGACACAAATTTCAGAGGCATCACTTTGGCTGACTTTCATTGGTAGTACTATATTGGAATACAGATCTCGAAGGCCATGCTTTTGTTTGCAGGACCCTGAATATTGTTATGGGTGTCGTACGCTAAGTTCTGGGTGTGTTCATTGAGCGGAGAAAAGATTAAGTTTTTACAAATTTCACATGCAGGCGCTAAGAGAGAGTGCTGCTGTGCAGTACCGAACGGGATTCAAAGAAGGCAGTCAGGATGCGTGATCAAGGAGGGAAGGCTTTTACGGAACAACATGGAAACTTGAAATTAACGGTGCAATTGGACAGGGCACTTGCTTATATTTTAATGGCACAATTTTTAAAATAACATTTAATGCCGAGGCCTTACATATTAAAACCACATTATGGCTACGAGGCAAACATGAACTAATTTTGATCACCTGAGATTCTTTTACAAGCAGTTAGTTACGCTACATTACTTCTAAAAGCAATGAGGCTATGCCATGCTGGCTACGAGTGTCTCCAGTCACCTCAGCTTTGAGGAGCTCCCCTCCACACATCGCCTCCAGTTGATCTTGAGTGGCCTGCTCAGTAGACTCAATGCCAGTCATTTTCTGTACTATTTCTTTGAGTACCAGCAGGTCCAGGCTTGTGAAAGAATGGAAAAAAAAGACAAAATTTTTAATGAATAATGGCACATGCATATAAAACTCTTGCTTGAAATTGATTTACCTTCTCTCAGCCTTCAGCTGGTTGGCCACAAGCTGAAGAAGCCCTGTCAGGTCAATGGAGTACTTCTTGAAGACAGCTCCACAGAAGCTGGCGAGGCCTGACAAACACAGGACAAAACAGTGAGCCCAGAGTGCTTGAACTGTTTCCTTGGCAGAGCCAGCACCCAACAAAATATAACATTGGGATATCAATTTGTTCCTACTAACATAATTTTAGGAGGTGTCAGCTACCCAAGTGCTTTGAAGAAGTGAATGAGAACAAGCACACATTCTGTGCTACATTTCATCTCAATCGAACTCAAAGTGATGTATACACAACTGTTACAGTTATGAGGTGTCTTTAAATAGTATCAAACCTTTGGTCAGCAGAAATACACTTCTTGATTAGACAATAAAAAACCCTCAATTCCCTTCAAAGTAGACTCCTTGGCAGTGCATGGACCTCTCCCAGTGCTTCAACCATGGTAAAAAAAAAAGTCTGAAACACATTCATCAGCCAGCCCTTTGCATTATGCACTATGTCTCCTCAGCTTAAAAAACAGCCAAAAGCCACACAAAGCCATACCGGAGAAATCTGGAGCCTGACGAATTACAGCAACGTTGCGTCTGGTGCAAAAATATTGAATTAGATGTGCCGCGTAGGCAAATTAATTGTCATGATTAAGCTGCAAATATTCTCCTGCCCATAGATTCGGATGTATGCACCACGCAGCAACAAGAAAAAACCGAATGTATCTATATAATCCTTACGCCTATCTCGTAGACAAGTTACCACAAAACTGTGGCAAGACTGAACCTTTTTGACAAAAGTCCACAATTCCTCAATAATATTCTCATTTTGCCATGTTGAATGTCTGCCTGAACACGATTCGCTCCTCACTGATGAGCGGCGATTGTTGAAGGGATTGTACCACTCCTGTATTTAAGAGCTACTAAAGTAATCATCACCATAAGCTGGCTGAATCTTATCAATAGTTTCAGCTTGGGTATCACCAAGCTTTTGGTGAAATTTGAAGCAATATCACTGCCCATGTTGCTCTGTGATAACTCATTGGAATTTGATGGGCAACTTCCGACAATAAAAACTTTTTGAAGCCACACACACACACACACACACAAAAAGAAGAAATCGACACATGTGCAAGAATGTCTGTTTCGTATTTCCAATAAAAGGAGCTTCCCCACTTGAAAAAAAATCAGTACTTCTTAAACACACCTCATATAACCATAGCTGCCAAGTTCAAGGATTCTGAATCTGGGAGATTTCAGCGAAAAAAAAAAAGGGGGGGGGGGGGGGTAAGGGTTGCCCTCATTTTTTGGCACCAAAAGAAACAAAAAAATCTATTGCAAAAAACAAAGCAAACATCAGCATTTGTCTTATAATGGCTTCGAGTGGCCGAACACACGAAAGTAGGGTTTCCCATCAATGTGAGAGTGTTTCCTTGCTCCCGAAATTTCGCATCATCAAATGAACTAGCAAAATGTATTTCCCTCAGAACAACTCTCGTACGTCTCCCTGTGACACACGTAAACGGACAGACGGTGCAGCTGGTTGTCGCGAAAGCACAGGTCAAAGATTTGCTCGCTACTAGATTCTTTGGACAGGAATGCCAGAACGCTTCTAGCCTTTTACACATCTTTACTAATCCACCCCTGCATTAGCGGCGTGCCCTCGGAGCTCGTAGATCACTATCGCATCGCCACGACCGCAGTTTTGTGGGCGGCGGTTGTTGCAAACAGTAGTTTCGCTTTCAATCTGCGTGCGCTGCCTGCGCACGTGCCTTCAAAACTAAGTCGTCTCATGCTATCTATGATCGCATCTGCCGCGGTTTCGTCCACAGAATTTGTGCAAAAAGCAGTGTTGCTTTGACTGGTTGAACGTTCGATGCGTGCACTTTCGGAGCTCTGTCCTCATCCTCACATGATCGTATCAAGAACGGCCACGGTTTTTTTCCACAGCAAAATGTCGCAACAACAACCGCATGCAGTGTAGAAGACAGTGCATGCACTGGTCGCACGCATACTTTTGAAGCTTTGAGCACGTTGCTCTAGGCCTTTGTTCGACAGTTTTCGTACTTAAGTTCATATCACCCACTGCAATTAGTAAAGGTGTTTAGAACATTCAAATTTTGGCCTAACGAAGACAGTGAAATCTGGCCGGGGAATTTCACAAATTCGTATCTGCCGCAGTTATGCATCACTGAGATTCTACTGTACGCTTAGATGAGCGCCTCACAAATTAGTTTATAATAAAATGCGGTGGATTCGCAAAAAACCTGGAAATGATTGACCTACATTTTTGTCAATGCAGCCAGATCACACAGAAATTTTGATTTCAGAGAGATGTTCATGACAACCATACAAACGTAAAAAACGGTCAAAATCCGGGAATCTCCCGGACAATTCGGAAGACTTGGCAGGTACGTACAACATTATAATAAAACAACCTACATACAGTTAGAGAAAACATCTTTAAAAAGAACAGACAACCCTTGAGGAGCTTTGGACAACGAAACTTAACAGAGCAGGACTGGCCGAGAGAAGTAGTCAGTCAACCATTTTTTTCAATGTCATTTACATGGCACCACAAAAAAGAAAGGTGTTTTTTTCATTTGCTATTAGCTGTTGCCAAAGCACTCGGGAGTTTATAATTCTCTACACCAGTCAAAATCAAGTTCTACAATCATGAGCACTTCACTTCAGGGGATGATCACTAAACAAAGCCAGAAATGTGCTCAGCTAAAGGGGAAACAGTTATAACAGTTAGCAGACAACTTTTTTCAAAACAGTGACATGATTGACTAAATCAAGTGGACAAAAAAATTTCCAGTCAGAACCATGTCTGTTCATGACAATGAATGAACAGTGGTTGCCATCATGTTTTTTGTGGCTTAAGGAGCACAGTTATTTTTTATCCAAATAAATAGAGACCAGAACTTTAGGCACAAAAAAAGAACCTAGGTACCTATAATATGCCCTAAAAACTGCCATTCAGGCATAAATAAGCATTAAAAGCTATCGTTTAGGCATATATAGGCACAATTCATAATTACTTCGTAGCGTGCTCAGGACAAATATTCAACTTCTAACAAACGCAGCAGGCAAATTCAATGCTTAAAGAAAGCTAAATTTGTATTTTCCGTGAAAAGGAATAGCAAGAAGCACAATCATTTGAACACATTTAGGTGAAAGCTGAGGTTATTTGACATTGCAGGAAAGGCTATGAAAACAGTGACAAACCAGCATCATCTCAAGGTTTTTGGCCTTGAATTGTGCTTGCTTTCAGTCAGTCTTTGCTTTTATATGAAAAAGAACGCTCAGCAGCCACTGAAGTTAGTGAAGGGTACTTGTGGCCTAGCTCTTTCAATGCTTTAATTGCACCCAGAATGCTTGTATCAGCACCACTCAAAACTTTAGACACTTGCTTTAGCACATACAATCTGGGATTCTTTCCAAGGCAGGTTCAAGCTTTGAGGCAAACTTGCCAGCGACGGGTTTAATGGGGACGAGGCAAACCTTTCCTGCACGTCAAAAAAAAAAAGGGGGGTATCCTCAAGCTCTCCCTTTAAACATTGAACGCGATAGCAATCCTGTCCCTGATACATACTTCCACCAGTTAGCGCATACCTTTATTGCATGATGTTACTCGACAACTTTAACTTGTGAATTACTATACAGTATAATTGATAATGTTGAACGTGACTTTTGTCAGTGAAGCTTTCACAGATGGGAGTTTACAGATGTGGATATAAAAATAACAAAAATTAATCTGTCACCGTGGAATGACCACAAAATACATGTTATTCGTGCAGATTAAGGGGTTATTTAAAGAGCCACTCACCAGGCCCCATGCCAAATTTTAGTTGGACAGTGTAAGTTGTTGGGTGTCCGATGAGGAACATTTTGCCGCAAAAAAATTTTTAATCTGTTCATCACGAGCGGAGAAAATGGTTTTTTTTTCAAGCGGTGCGAAACGAGGATGAGAGAAGGCGAGCTCAAAACTCTTGCCGCTTCTCCGCGTAGCCTTCGCAAACCAAACATCTTCCCCACCCTTTCAAGCATCCGACCAAGAGGTCACGTGCACATGACATGCCCAAAAAAGTCCAACCCCCGAGCACGCGAGCGGCGTTGCTTTGTTGACCACCGTTATTTTGTGGTCTTCTACCTGTTTCTGTGGGATGGTTTGGAAATGCTGGCTTGGACGCGGTTGAATAGATGAGCACAATGAGTGCACGAACGCATAGGAGCGTTCCACGGCGGTCGTCTGCTCGGTGCGCTGACCGCGTGTACGCGAACGCATGCGAAACGGCGACACATTAGACCCGCATCTCGTTGCAATTCACGGGCGAAAAATGGAAAAAAGACACTCACATTCCCTTATTGCGCCTCATTATTTATCAAGAGCTTTATTATTCTCTTCAAGCAATAAATTAATAAACTACGCATGCCGTGTAAAATAATTTTTGCCATGTCACGAGCCACTGTTTGCAACGTCAGAGCAGAGTCGTTTACGTAGAGGACCAACGTCACTGCATTGCCGTGTGCATAGGGCCATTCATACGCGCACGTCATGCCTTCATTCTCTGGGCGCGCGCCGGCAGAATGGAGGGGGAGCAGCGTTCATCTTCAAATTTGACCCATTTCCGCGGAGCTTAGCGTTGCGAATTTCGGCACACGTGATCATGAGCGCCTCGACTATGCACTACGCTTGTCAGCTCAAAATTGTCAAACCTGGTGAGTGGTCCTTTAAATAAGTTGGCAGTTTCGTAACCAATTTTGAAAGCTTTATGCCTATGCGTGCTCCAGGGTGGACATCAAACTTAAAATATTGTTGACTTTTCCAATTTCTTCTACCCGGCTTCTCACATGGTCCGTTTCTAAATAGGCGAAGTAGCACAGTGATCCACTGGTCCATTGCCTGAGAAGGTCATTTGATGGCTCCTCTTAATCGGCAGCGCTAAGCTAGCTTAGTTTCGGCTAATTAGCATACATTCTAGATACACTGTACCCTAGCCTCCCGAACGCAACCGCCGAGCTGCACTACACTCGAACCTAGCGATGGTGATCTTCAAGGGGCAGTGGATACACTAGCGTTAGCCTTTCCTCGTTTCGCTACAGTACACTCTAGCTACACTCACACAACCATGCTGCACTTCTCTCGAATCAAGCAACGAAATCTTTTAGGGGAGCCTGCTAACGCTATAGGAGCTAGCCTCGCTGCTGGGTACAAGGCCCGCTCCCGTAAAAGCGCGTGTAAAGTGCAATGTTATCGGAGCATTGGCAAACGTCACATATGTCGGAGCGCGTTGGCTGAGTCTAGATATATGTTGGCTGTGGCAGTGCGTCAACTTATGATCTGTTTCCGGTGTATGCGCGCGTCGACCCTACGTCGAACCATAATCGCGCCTTAGCAGAAGCTAATAACATCAACGAAAAAACAAAAAAATAGCGTGCTATGCACATGTTGTCATTAATATGGCCACACTAAGTGCTTCTTGTTTTCCTCCACATGAAGAGTTAATTTAAGCAAAACGTTTACACGACGAACATGAAAAAGCATTTTTAGGCACTGAAAAGCTCATATAGGCACAAACCTTAAGACAGGCACTTATAGGTACAACAAATATGTGATTAAAATATTTCCCATCCCTTAGTTCATGTTTATATGTGAAATAGGCTTAAAACAGACTCCAAAAAGAAATAAGCATTTTGCCTAAAGTTTCGGTCTTTAATAATAATAAATGAGCGTCCATAATGACATCTCGCCACAGTGCAAGGCCTAGGCATTTTCAACATTAGTCGCCATACTTACTCTGCAACCACATTGAGATGCTGGTGCCATCATGCTTCATACGATCCTTTTCAGGTGAGGAAAGAGCCTCAATAACACAGTCTGGGAGACCTAATGTCAAGGAAAGCCACTAGTAATAATATGTTCAAAGTGGTATATTGCACTGGCGGGCGGTCCCAGCTCATTTGAACCAAGATACAGCAAAAAAAAAAATTAGCCTCTAGGGACGGTCTACCTTTTGTTTATATGTGGGAGTAGTGTGTACATAAAACGTTTTTTTTTTTTTTTCGTGGCTGAGCACTAATAGACCCTTTTCGAAATTCAGCACCGCCTATCGAATGAAACCGAAAGCACATTCTTTCCGCCACGTCTTGTTCACCCAACGGACGTTCATTGGCGTACCACCTAAACGCGGTACACGTCCTGCAGGAACACAACCGGTGTCCGTGTGCGCTGCAGGGAACCCTCATTGGCGTCGCTGGGACACACAGCCCCGCCAGTTCGCACCAGTGAACAAGATATGGAGAAAGAGCCATGTTGTCAGACTGAATTTTTTAAAGGGTCTAATGACAAACTTGAATTAGTCGGCCTTTTTGCTCTTGTTTATATTGGTAAAATAATAATTTTATATTTCATGTCACCCGATATAACTTCAGATTCAAGCATTTATTTTTTGTTGAAATCTTTTGTGCCTGGTTGCTTTTTCGGAGAAAGAACAAGAGTGCACGAAATACATCAACTATAAAATAGACTCGCCACTACTCCAGCACGTTCAACCATTCTTTAGTTGATACATGGCTGTATTCATTCATCACCACATTGTACAGGGCATCACGCTCCATGATGGAAATGTCAGCAGCGTGTTTTGAAGCACCTGCATCAAATAGTGCACTGTCTCGTACAATGAAAACACGCAGCCCTGTGTGAATCAAAGAATGCTTGGACGCGCTCAAGTAGTGGCACGAGAGCATGTGCTTATTTCATAGTTGGCCCATTTCACGCACTTTTATTTTTTCCAGAGAAAAAAAAAGAACTAGGCAGATTTCAGTAACAAATAAATGCTCGATTCTGGGGTAATTTGAGCTAAAGTACAACATAAAGTTAATACTTTACCGATTCAAGTAAGAATAAAGAAGTTTTCTAATAAAGTTGTCTAATAAATAATTTAATTTGCACTTAGTTGCGAAAAAATATAAGCTGTATATACACATGACAAACACTGATTATACACAGACAGAACTTTTCTACAGAACATATTAAAAAAAAAAACATCTTGGTCCAAGTTAGCTGGGATAACCAGCATGTCATCATTAGCACATGACAAGCTACAAATATTGCTTTGAGTTTAATTGCAATCTTCAGCTTTTTTGCTGAAAAGTCAAGGAACTAAACTTATGAAAGCAAATAAAACGAAAAAATATGCAATTTCGGGAAAAAAAGCTTGCATTTTTGACTTGCACCTACCCTTAAATCAATTTATTTATTTAATTTATTTATTCAGTGCCTGCATCGCCTTTGCTGGCATTACAGCACGGGGGTATATACATCAGTGGGTGAATTGACATTCATTTCTACACACAAAGCATGGTAAAAGTCATCATTACAGTGAATTTCTGCAATATCTGATGGAAGAGCATTCCACTCAATCGTGGTTCTACAAAATAATGAATAACCTTAAGTGCAGCCTTTAAATAGAAATTTAAGAACTTTCAAGACATGGTCCCTTCTTCCTAAAATATATGATGGTAACGCGATATACTTGTTTCTGTCAATGCCTGTTTTTGAATAGTTGAATAATAAATGCTGAGAAAAAATTTCAGCCTCAATGCTTTCTGTCTGTCCTTCAAGCCCTGCTAATGAAGTTCACACTTACTTTCAGAAACACTGAGGTTTTTGTCATAATCCACCAAATAAATTGAACTGCCCTATTACGTATTAGTTCAAGTAAGTCGACTAACTGACGAGTATGAGGATCCCAGCTTGCATTATAACCAAAAATGCATCATTAAAGAAGCATACAAAGAGATATTATATGATTTAATGTCACTAAAACTGTTCAATCTAACTGCTATCCACTTTTAAACTGATTATATACTTTGTTTTTCCAGACAGGGACGTAGAGTACACAGTAGAGAAATCTAAATATGGAGAATCAAATAACAGTATAACCACTAATTATTACGATAATACAAAGATATTCTTGAATCTCACATTTTTAAAATGTGCAACTAAATGAGCTCACGTGCCAACTTGCAGCGAAAAGTTTAGAGAAACATGTTAAACTCATAGAAACACGACTGATTGCCTTGTGGATAATGTAGTGCTATAGAAATAATGATTGCAAATGAAATGCTGGCACTACACCGGGAGCCTTGTTGGCTGGAGCTTTAAAACTCATCTACTGTGTCTTTCGCATAAGTCAAACGCTTTGCAGAGCTGCATAAGACTGCAATGTGGAAGTTATTAAATGCAGTGGAATCCCTATATAAACGAGATGCACAGGGCAGCAATTCTTGTCTTTTATATGAGCTGTCTCTTATGAACAGGTTACCACTTTGCATTTTCTTATCAACCCCTTTTTAAATGTAGGCACACTCATGTCCCTTATACCTGCTTGTCTCTAAGATAGGTGTGCCTCATAAAAGGGTTTGACAGTGTGTGTATATCAGGCTTTACGCACAGCACATGATGATGACGGTTATTTCGGAAGCAACAAAAGCTCTGTCCCACAAGCACTTTCACAGCTCATTCTTCATAAAATGCAATAAACGCAGCAAGACATGGGTGAACTCAAAATTAAGGGGCCATGACACAGTCCTAGAACCAATTGATCTCTGCAGTGAAAAATAGAAGTAGGAGGCCTCTTGTGCAATACTTCAAAAGAATATTTCTGCACAAGACGAGCCCAAGAAGTTTCCAGCTATAAGCCTCAGCTAAAGCCAGCAACCGCAATTTCACCATGACATTCACGTGCCGCATGAAGCAGAGTTGTCTTTCACCAAAGTTTCAGCCACTGCAAATCGCTCAATTTCAATGCCGAGCTGAAGAAAGCTAAAAATAGCTCCATTGCCTGTGCAGCCCGCCACAGAACAAGATCATTCACTGAAATGTGGACACTCACAAAGTAAGCAGCTCATTTAGTCGCGGTTCGCAAATGCACCAGTGTAGCTGGACTCTCGAACTACTAGTACGTTTAAAAAAAAATTTATAAACTAAATGCTCGAGCAAATATGTTAAAATGTTGCTAGCTTGTTTGTCAATACACAAGGATTAATCCACATAACACTAATTAATTAATCCACATAACACTGTAAGGATACAGGCAAGGACATCATAGGACAGCATTGTGAGGTACTTCAGGGAATCCACCACTGGCACAATGAGGTTGTCCCAAGTCTGGATCTGGGACAGGATCTGCATCACAGGTACAGTGAAGCGCATGGAACTTAAAAGGAAGAAATAAGGCTTTCAAACTCACTTGGCAAGCAAAAAAGAACACACAGTCTTGTGAACCAGACTGTGCTCAAGCTCATTGAATACTCACGTAGTCAAAGAGGAAACAGGGATTACTGTGGCTCAGCTTCCCTATCTGACGGCCTGAAGGCTTCACATTTTCTTTACTTAGACGCCTGAGAAACAAAATACAATGCCACAATGAGGCAGTTTCAACAGAAAGATTGGCACAGCTCCAAGGGTCACTTCATTCCTTCACACCTGAAGGGACAACTCGAAGGGCAATGAGGGGCAGAATCAAAACATTCTCCACAGAGGTGCTCCTACAAATTGGAAAACCCAATCAGGCTCCACTAGCACACAATGCCTTCTTTTCACCCAATAATGCCAAGTGCTCAATCACATCACTTAATGTTCGCCAATATTAGCCACTGCCAAAACTGTCATGCTACCAGTCACCTTAAGAAAGGGAAAGAAGACAACCACCCATTTGTAGCACGAAACCACAAAAAAATCCTTACATATTTCTCAGAAAGCTTCTTAGTTCTTCTTAGTAAGAAGACAACCTTGCGAGAAATCCTGGGAGACATATCATAAAGAACACCGCACCTTGTTTAAGTCGATTAACCTTCTCTATCGCTACAATATAAGAAACTTAACTTTATTAATGAACTGTAAACAAGTGCCTCGGTTGTTAGTTTTCGTACATTTTTTTGTAACATGCAAGGTGCACCCCCATTTTCTTATATATGTTAGTTAACACGTGCGATAACCTTTCAGTCATGAGAAAATGTTCCCGGTGTGCATATTTCTTTCCTGGTCCTACTTTTTTCTTTTTGCCCTGTAGGCTTCATTCCCACCTGCAGCAAAAGTGCCAAGTTGATACATGCATATGCTGCGAGCGGCGCACAGTGGTCTAGTCAATGTATCTTATTTTACGAAATTGTGCTTATTTCTAAAGCACTCTTCGAATATACTAGAACCGTACATTTTATTTGTAAGCAGTGTCAAAGGACATTGATTCCTAATGCATCCGTGAATATATGGACAGTGCTTGCACCTTTTAGGCAACAAAGTTGTACTCTTATTTATGCTGAACTGACGCTTGTCCCCCTGTTCGACCAGCCGCTCAGCTGGTTGAACAGGGGGACCAGTGCAAATCGCAGACAGGCCATCGAACCCAAACAGAAAAGTTTGTGAGTGAATGATGCAATAGTATATCACACCTTGCCAAGTTCACTTGATCTGAGAAGTGCTGGCACGGTGCAAATGAAAAAAAAGTGCGAGGCCCGTGCGCTGATCGGGACGGCTGCTGCGGTGCGCGAATGTTTCCTATAAACGTTTACGCACCCGTAGGCAGCGCTAGTGTGCTTCAAAAAGGTTTATTCACTGAAGCGCATTCAGTTACGCAAAAAAAAAAAAGTGAGTCGTGACGTCATAGCACGCTTGACCACGTTGGCACATCGAACCCGCCAGCGCATTCCCAGTGTAAAAAAAACTAAGCAGATGAAATGTAGAGTAACAGGACCCTAAAAAAAAAAAACTTGACAAACTTCAAAATGCGTATGACCGTGTTGAGATGTTTCACGAGCAATGCAGGGAATGTGTACAGACCTTTCAGGGGCATCAGGCGGCCGGCCGCGTATTAAAGGGGACGTGGCAATGAAAATTATCTTTGTTATTTAAGAAGCGAGAGGGGTGACATTTAGCATACAGATGTCATTTGTTGTGCTGATATCATAACTGAAATCAGTTTTGAGCTATCTAATATAACTTTTGAGTTACAACACTTGATATACTCTCATTGTCATCCCAAAACTAATTAGCTAATTAGACACAAGCTCGTCAAAATTTTTGCATAAAAATATTACAAGGGTCCATTTTGTGCCGTAATGTTATTGGGTTTATTTTAATATTTAAGTAAGTACACAAAATTTTTTTCTGAAATGTCCTGAACATATTGTCTTACCAATAACTTCTACAAAAAGCTAATTACAAAAGTCTGTATCACGTGCACACAAATATGCACAGCTTTACTGCACTCACCAATGTCTCATAATCCAAGTGCAGGAAACGGAATGGCTATAGCTTATTTTGTTGTGAAATGGCACAGAGATGACTGATAGCAACTGCTCAAAAAATGAAACCTGAGAAAATGAAGTTAAAAGAAACTGGAGCTAGAAGCTGATAAAACACAACTCGGAAGGACGCTGGCCTTATTTTTCATTGGAGAAATGCACCTTTGTGGCTATCTTGAGTTCCAATCTGTGCTCTTTATGATGATGCCAAATATGGTGGCACTTTGCCAAGGGAAAGCTGCAAATTCGCATTTTGCTATGCACAATATTCACATAGCTTTTAGTAAAATAGCTTTAGTAAAATGCTTGTTTTACAACTTCTATTACTTATTTTGATCTAAAATCACACTACCATGTAAAACATGGTCTCAGGATTACAGAAAAAATTTAATTGAAAAACTGAACACCTTGACCGAATTTACAATTCTTATTGCCTAATTCTTATTATTATTGCCTTTAACCTAATTCAAGGGCTAATGTGGTTAGAGTCCATGCATGGCCTCGGACATGTGCATCTTAAAGTGGATCCCTGGGGTCAGCATTCGTTGCGGCGAAAAGCATTCAGTCTTTCTCATTTGTGCCGAGAGTTGTGAAAGCTGCATGGCATCAATATGGCGCTGCAGAAAAAATGTAAACAGGCGCTCCAGCCAATCAGGAGAGACCGAATTGGACACCATGAGAATAGTTCTCCTGGATTGGATTAGGTTGTCAATGCAGATAGATGACACGCAGAAATTTTGATTTCCAGATTTTCCTGGCAACAGCAGAAACATTAGAACTGGTCAAAATCCTGGAATCTCCTGGAAAATCCAGGAGACTTGGCAGGTATGCTTCAAAATACATTGTATGTTTTAGCTAACACATTCTTATCTTAGGCATTGATGAAGCTGTTTCCCCCCCCCCCTAGAAGCATTATTTGAGTCATTAATAAAGAAATAGTTCTGCGCCAGACATGAAGCCAAGCTGGTCATCTGTATCACACTATTGGAATCCCTAAAAGTTAATTCTGTTAGAAGAAAAAGTAAGCCTATCATTGTAAGGGAATTCTAGTTCCTTTCCAACAATGTAGAGGAAATGTCTGAATGATGTTTTTGTGAATTATGCAAGAGTCAAAAGCGATTAGCAGATTCCCTGGGCATCTTACTGGTCTCTTAAGAATTACATCGAGTCCTCTCATCATGTTCCATTCATTACAAAATCAGCACATCTGTTCAGAACACCTATCTATAGACCTCATTCACGAGTAAATTCATTTATGGGTTTGCTGATCGATTGTTCTTGAAAACAGAATATCTTTTTTGCCTGCACAATATCAGCGATGGACTTCAGCTGACTGAATTATTATCCTACCAGTTCTTTCAGCTAAACCATAGAATGCACACAATGCATAGATCATTAAATAGTCACAAGTTACAGTGCCACATGGCTAGGTACAGTATGCGAACCTTTTACACCATAATATCTTCTATTGCTGCATGACACTGTCATTCCCCACTCAAAAGAGAACCTGCAGAGGAGGCAGCTAGCACACCTTGTACTCAGAACACCGTTACCAAAATTAGACGCTTTTTTTCCCTTTTGAAAGAAGCGTCTACCTGTGCTATCTCGTCCTTCTAAAGCTGTACAATTTCGCATACTTTTAGGAATAGCACAATCTGCACATAGACACAAGAAAAACACTCATTGTGCTCTTCAATATCAATGTACTGGTTAGACTACACCAAAAAATCTTTATGATGCAATACTAACAAGCCGAATCCTCAACACTGATACTTAATGCACTTGACAGAATAACACCTTTATCAACATGCACTAATGATAGAATCCACTCTAAGTAACTAGCTGAAAACCACCTAAAAGCTAAGCAAGATAGCTCATAGTTTCATAATGTGCTAGGCCCATCTTAAGCATATTTTTTTACTTTTCTGAAGCACAGTTGGGAATATGACAAGCACAAAAAAGGCAGTTGGTCATAAGCACAGAGACCAGTAATATATATGAAGGTGTGAAGTTGTCACACAACAGTTCAAAATTATAAACCAGATCCGATGATACCTATGAGCATTTCATGCTTGATACGCTAAATTACTGCACTGGCACTGAAGCTTTTGACAAGAAGGCATGGAGATCGCGATATTCATGGCTTTTTACAAGCTACAACTTGTGGAATTGCCAAATGCAATCCATTTTCAAAATAGGGCCATTTGCAATAAACCTCAAAAAAAAAAAGCCATAAACACAGCACGTGGATCACAGCTGTAATTGACAAACGCCTGAGAAGAAACTAGGTGCCCAAATTTTTTCCCCATTGCCCCTCGAGTCGTCGCAAAGTCTACATAAGTTACCTTACATATTAGCAACTCTCCTTCCCACCTGGCCTAAACACCACACAGTGTGACCTACGAGATCTTGAGTCACCTTCTGCAAGGTCATTCCACTACACATAAGATGCTGTAGTGTGCTCAAAGCTCCAATGTACTAAAATATATTTACTTAGTAAAGAGGCCATAAAAACCTTTGAAATAATAAACCGCTGTATCATGCCTGGTGAAATAATTACATACTGCAGAAAGTACTCTGATGTCGACAGCTCAGCCAAATCTTCACGTCATGCATGGCAAGGAGAGTTTACCATTGGAGCGCAAAGCTGATACTTTCTCAACAAACCTCTGTTCAAACAGAGGCCTGTCCTGGCTTTCTTAGGAGTGACTATAGTTATAGCGCGAGAACAAAACGACGACACAGAAACAAGAAGGACACGAAGAACACTACCGCAAGAGTTCCCTCTAGTGTATATTTAGGAAACCCTATGTTTTAGCCGTACCCCTTCTGCAGCTTCAAGTGCACTTGTTGGAACAAACAACAAAAAGCACTAAACAGCATGTGACAAACTTCAGTAACTTCGTTCATTCCTTAGGAAGTTGAAAAATCGGCTATACAGGGTGTTTATATAAAAAAACAATGAAAAAACAAACCAACTGCAAGCTTGTATGCAGATGGTGTAGATGATTTCCTGCTGCATCCATACTGCTCCAATGCTCTGAAGAGGGTGATGAAACAGGTGTTTCAAAGCCACAACATAAAGCATTCAATGCAATGCAACCACTCTTGCTCCTAAAAGATTCGTTTTTGTTTTAACTGCTGAAGTTTAGTACACTGCTGGCCACTAGAAACTGCGGCTACAGACGAGCACATGACGCTGTGCATTACTTACAAGCTCGGGTGCTCTGCCACACTTCTGAAATAGGATACATATCTCAAAATATAGAGCTACGCACCTTCTCTAATTTCCAAACAGCTGTAGCGAATGAGTAGTATCTCCATCCTGACGTCTACAATAAATGGCAATAACTTCAACAACGACATATGACCCCCCTTATGCTCCTGAAGATGTACTGGCCCTGTTGCCCACTTAAGGGAAAACTCGGAGCATCTTGTAATGTGCTCAGAGTTTTCCCTTAAGTGTGAAACAGCCTGAAAAGTACCACATAAAAAAAAGCCTCAACACTGAAAATAGTAAACGTGCCCGAATGCACGGTAGAAAATACAATGTTCTATTTCTAGCTTAAAATCATGCAAGTCACCACTGATATGAAACAGGCTGTCCCTATTTCAGAGACACATAACCTAGGTGATCACATGAGTGCTAGAGATTTAGAACACTTGAAGCTAGATAAAACAAGGCCACTTGAGTCATAACACCATACATAAACACTGCAAGTAGCACTGTCACGCACTTGGTTTTGTAGATGAGGATATGCTAGGGAAATATTCATCAATATACCTGTTGCTTCTATTCTGCATCATATCCTGAGTAAAAGGCGCTACAAATGCTTGTCTCCTAGATAAGAGGCAAAAGTAAACTGCTGATGTTGCTACTACAAAATGAAGATAATTACTATTAGTACAATATGAATTATGTCAAGCTTGTTGAGATGGTAGTTAATACACGTTTTGAAACAGTGTAAATCAAATGATTAACAAAGACGAAAAAGCATAAAGGGTTTCTTGCCTGTGTCTTTCACTTATCATTTGATTCATGCACTTTGTTCCCAAAGGTACACATTTTAGTGAGCGAAGAGCCTGACAAAACCGTCACCTATTTTTATCCCCGCTTTTTGAAATGGCAAGATTACCATTAGATTCATAGAGCACTTCCACCCCCAACGATCACACGCCACTCTCTTGCACAGGCACAGACCATGGAAGAACTGTCTCGGGCACAACACAAACACTGGTCACCACAGTACACCACACATTCACAGGATCTTCACTTTATCTTCTCTAAAGGAATGCACCAGGACTTGGTAGTCTGCTTCAGGGAGCACTCGATGTTCTTTGAGCTTGCTCACGTTGAGGATAGACTGCGCAACTTCAGACGCTGAGAAGTGCTTGAACGCAGGCGAGTGCTTGAACGCCGGCGAGGTGAGGTACGCCAATTTCACAAGCAGCTTTAACAACAGGTTTTCCTCTTGCATCAGCATGCATCATCTCATTTCTCAAATGGTTGCGGCACATATTGTGGTGGGTCGGATGATTCCTACGATGTGCAGCGGCATCTTCATTGCAATGGGCACCACTCTTATGAAAGACAACGTAGTGGTAGCAGCTGCCAACAAACATTCTTGCGATGGCGAAAGGTGAAAATATTGCTGGGCCATTCCACTTGCACGTTGATAGGTTTTGCCAGAATTCTTGTAAGGTGACTTTCAAGGCCTATATATTGAATAGCTGCCCATCTTCTTCTGGTTACGCTTCGTCAAAACTCGTTCCAATACTTGGAATGCACCCCTTTATGAAAACTTCACTGCAGCTTTATAAACTCCAACTTGCACTTGACTTGTAAATGGTGTTCTACTGAGCCCAGGTGACGCTGCTTCTCAAGTCTTGGAAAAAGGGTGCTTCACTGTCACTGCTCACATAACTTGTCATGAAACAGGTGCCACAAAGTATGAACATGATTTTTACTGCTTGACAGGCTACTCAGTGCAGTGGACCGCTTACTCTTCGTTGAACACCAATTGTAACAAAAGCTTCAGCATATGGCAAACGGAGTGACGACAATGGAGAAACCTTGAGCGTATAGCCTGGAACAACCTTGATGCAACAAGCCTAGCAAAAGACGACCTTTTGTAGAGCCACTTCTAACAGAAGGTGCTAAATCACGTGGGCAGTGGAGCTTCCAGTAGATCGTTGGGGCCATGAAATAAGGCGATGACAATGTCTTCATCACATTCCAATGTGGTGCCAGGAGTGGCAAGAAGCAATGGTTTAAAGCCAGGACTGTGGAATTCCCTGGTTCATCAGACAGATTGGACATGAATTCATTCCGCTAGCATTGACATATTGATTCCACCAGCATTGACATCTATTTTGCCACGAATGCAGGCTATGCAGCACAATTCCTATTTGATGTTTTGATGAATGCTTTGATGAATGCTCAGAGGCAGTGGAACTTTTTTTTCGTGTGAGCCTCATCTGGATTCTGGTGTAATTGCCGACGCGGGAACAGGAGATGATGTACAGCATTTGGCGATGAAGAGGTTGAGGCTGGTCGGTGGTGCAATTGAGAACAACTTTTCTTCGTTGCTGATGCAATGGAAATGGACAGACGAAGAAAGCCACGTGAGACGCCCAAGCTGTCAGCCCAGCCGTCGAAGAATCCTGATGATTTCACGTCGTTCCAGGAATACCGCAGGTGAACGAACATGAGGTTGAAGTGCCCGTCAAGATGCGACCAAGACCGCAATCATCCTGCTGGAGCTCTGAGCAAAGAGGGACTTCAGTATGCGTTGTGTGCATTGCTGATGGCTTCAATGATATAGCTCTGAGCAAACACCACAGAACACCAGCCAAGAGTAAATTTCAAATAAAGCATTCTGCTGAATGTTGAGTGGAACTAAGTTGCTTGCGTGAAGAATCAGTTGCTTCATTTAGCTTCCATTAAATAATTCCTGTCTTCCATTACACTTCAAGAACAGACTTCAGTGTAGACACAGCCGAGTGCGAACATACTCCATTGATAACAGCATCAGTCACGTTAATCAGCCCCCCCAACCTAACAATATATGACAACCAAGGTCATTTCGGCCCTAAAAGCAAACACTACAAAATTAATTACTCGTTTACTGTTGAGCCAATTCGGGACAGTGAAACCTATACGTATAACGAAGTATGGTATTTACTCTATTGGAATGCTAATTATTTCTTTTTCAAACTTTCATCGCTTATTGTTGATTTCTGTGTTAGAATCGAATACTAGCAAAAACAAAACAAAAAGATACCATGCATGCTACCTCAATGTAACCATCGAGTTTCAACAGTTCTGGAATACATGCTGCTAGAAGTTGAACGATTTTCTTTCAAGCATTCCTCCGGCATATGCATATGCCAACCATGTTAGTGGTTCCATTTATGTGTAGAGATAATTTGATAAGGAATTTCTGTTCTTCTGTTTTTCAAATAATGGCTACACGCTCCAACAAGCACAACACCTGCTTCAAATGGACAGCCATTCAGATGACACAAAAAGTCAGAAATTGTGAAACTACAAGGCAGGTTACTTTTAACAAACTTACAATCCATGGATCTCCCATGGATTAAAGTTAAAGTGCAAACCACGAAGGCTCTTGGGTCCCTTGTACTAGCCATCATGATGAAATAGAAAGAGTGGAAGAGTCTGTTATTTCAGTAACTGTTTAATTTCTAATGTGCTTGAAGAAACCGGAGATAATGTCATTTAAAAAAGCGATAGTGATAGAAAGCATTTCAGCGAGCATTAAACCTCCAAAAAGTTAATCGATGCTGCTAAAGATGGGCACTTTTTTTTTAAAGCTGCAATATCCCACAAAGGTATTGTTCTTCTGCCACACAACTTTGTGTTAATTCGCGGTTTTATGATTTTTTTCTCGTCCCCATGTGAATTAACTGAAAATATCCTATCACACTACAATCGAGAAATATGACATAATGTTAATGCAGACTGCAGATATGACTTGTAAAGCAGCCAAGGTCCTAAACTGCCAGGCTCTACACTGAAAGAACATTTGCCAGATGGGCATGTTTTCTCAACCAGTATTCAAAAAGAAATGTCACAGGATACATACAGCACTGCTTACAGCCCTAAAACTTGAATTTCAATAAAACATCTGACATGATGAATGAAGAAACACATACTTCATTATGTATTTGATCTTCTTGAGCGAGTCTGCTTTCACCCTTATAAGAAGAGGATGGCTCTTGTAGGCAGTATTCTTCCAATGATGGTAAAGAAGATACCTGGAGGACAGAAAAAATAAATAAACTGATAAAAAAACACACTCCAGAGACTAATCCCTCTCGAACCCAATATGAAAACCTGTCATGAACATCGACTCTTCGACACATTTAGAAAGTTGCACATATATTGAACAAAATCTGAAAAAAACATATCTCAGCATGAACAGCACATTTTGACAAGCTTGCACAGGAAGCAACTAGCATGACAACTTGCAGAAGCGTGTATGTATATGCTGCAAAACCTACGCACTTTTCTTCATCATCAAGGGTCTTCTATGTTTGCATATTGACTCCTTTTAATTAACACTATGTGACACTGTTCGAAAAGGTAAACTTTATGTACAGCATCATCAACAATCAAATGCATGAATAAAAAGAAAAGCACCGCTCACCTCTGCTGGTAAGGATAGAGTTTCACAAGAGACCAGATCTCATCAGCAACACAACAGTTGCATTCAAGAAGCGACAGAGATGGGAGCAACGTCTCTCCAAGCAATGTGAGCAAGTCAAAACGGAGGTCTGGATTGGCAGAGCCCTTCTGGTGGAGAAATGCTCGTCCCAGGCGCACAATTTTCACGATCAGCACAGGATCTATGTGCATCAGAGGACCCAGAGCCATGAGCATGGGCAGCACCAGCATACGAAATTCCTCAAACGTCTCCACTAGGGGCAGTGGCCGCAGGCCTCCTGATGGGGCATTGTATGGTCGGCGGAAACCTTCTGGCAGCCCACTGTGCCTGTTGGCAAAAACAACACAAATGTTACAAGGAGCTTGCACGCACAAACAAGCACAGCACACTGATTCTTTTCAACGCCCCATATTCATGTTTTGAACAAGCTTTCCGTGAGAGCAAGCCGAACGGCAGGCTAGGCCTAATCGGCATAGGTTGCGTTTTGGTAGCGGTAGTGTGCAGTATACCGTATTTACTCGATTCTACCGTGCCCTCAATTGTAATGCGCACCCGATTTCCACCGCGAAAAATAAAAAAAAACGTAAGACATCGATTGCAACGCGCACCCATTTTTCTCGCTGGCCCGCACGATCACACCACTCGAAAAAATGACTCCTTTCGGGAGCGTCTTCCATTTAAATATGAGGTACGGGCGAAGCTTGTGCCCATCTGACAAGTAAAGAGCATTGCCGTCACTGTAGTTTTACCGTGGACCAATGTCAGCACGCGAACTTGCTTCGCCCCCTTCTTCTCGACGGTTGTGGTGCCAGGCATGTCGAAGTAAAGAGGCGTCTGATCGGCATTCCCGATTTGCCTAAGCAGGTAGCCGTTGTTGCGCCGCAAGTTTAGGACGAGCCTCTGAAAACTGTGAAGCTTTTCATCGTACTCCTCCGCAAAACTTTCCGCATATGCATGTTCCCCTTCGGAGGGAAAAGCCTTTCCTCTTCATAAAGTTAGTTAGCCAGCACCTGCTCGCTTTAAACTGGCTCCGCATTACACCTTTTTCTAAGACTAATTGCATAGCCCGCACTTGGAGCAGTTCTGTCGTCACGGGCAGCTGCGCCACTCGCTGCTCAAGCACATACTCGCCGAGCAGCTTTTTAATTTGCGGAAACCGACCCTGCTGTGGTCCACTGAAGCCTTTGCGTGAAGCTTTGCTGTCGACAATCTTCTGCTTTTGTTTCCGCCGGTCCCGCCCGCACGTTTCGGGAACTTTGAACGACCGCGATGCGGCCCGATTTCCGTCCGTTTCTGCACACGCGATGACTTTTCTTTTAAAAGCGGCATCGTGGTGCACTCGAGTTTTTGGAGTCGGCCCTTCCACGCCGTCGATGCTAATGCACTACTAGATGACGAACTCCTCAGCACACGCACGAAGTGCCGCACATGGGAAACACATAGGCAGAAATGGCCGACGCGCCATGCCGACGCACGTAGGGGGCAACCATTTTCGATTTGCCGATGGCAATAGATTGACCGTAAATTTTTTGTTCGTACTCGATTCTAACGCGCATGCGATTTATGAACTCGCTTAACCGGAAAAAAGGTGCACGTTAGATTCGAGTAATTACGGTAAGTTGCAGTTTAGTACGGAACTAGCGAAACTCTTTGCAGTAGTAAGGAATACATTTCGTTATTGAAAATAAGGGACGCACGTATAGCACTCGAATGATGATTTGCGATTCAATTGCAATGTGTTGAAATCGGGTGTGCGCCTGCAAAATTAAATGATCAGTGTCTTTCAGTGTGCGAAATTTCGGACGTGATTCGACATAGTATCTGTGTAATGCGCATAATCGAGGCAGTCTGAGAAGCAGTCGGAAAATTATCACGATGGTACTTTCTTTTGCTTTTTGTGTTCACTCCGTTGGCAACGCGGCTCTTTAGACATAACCTCACATTTTTCCATCTATCAGAAATTTGAATTGATGTAAGCACTACGCATCATATGCTTCTATTCTCGCATGCACGAGGCTTCATGCTCAACACGCTTTGAACAACTGCGGCACTTGAAGAAGTTTGTGTTTGTTATAGCGCAGTACCGCTTATAGTGCGGATATTCACGATTCCTCTGACTTACGTTATGAGTGGTCTATACTGTACGTTTATTCATTCGTTTCGAATACTTCAAAATTTACAGTACCGTATTTACTCGATTCTACCGCGCCCTCGATTTTAACGCGCACCCGATTTCCACAGCGAAAAAAAAAAAACGTAAGACATCGATTGCAACGCGCACTCATTTTTCTCGCTGGCCCGCACGATCCTACCACTCGAAAAAACAACTCATTTCGGGAGCGTCTTCCATTTAAATATGAGGTACGGGGCGAAGCTTGTGCCCATCGACGTGTAACAGAGCATTGCCGTCACTGTAGTTTTACCGTGGACCGATGTCAGCACGCGAACTTGCTTCGCCCCCTTCTTCTCGACGGTTGTGGTGCCAGGCATGTCAAAGTAAAGAGGCGTCTGATCGGCATTCCCGATTTGCCCAAGCAGGTAGCCGTTGTTGCGCCACAAGTTTAGGACGAACCTCTGAAAACTGTGAAGCTTTTCATCGTAGTCCTCCGCAAAACTTTTCGCATATGCATGTTCCCCTTCGGAGGGAAAAGCCTTTTCTCTTCATAAAGTTAGTTAGCCAGCACCCGCTCGCTTTAAACTGGCTCCGCATTAGACCTTTTTTTAAGACTAATTGCATAGCCCACACTTGGAGCAGTTCTGTAGTCACGGGCCGCTGTGCCGCTCGCTGCTCAAGCACAATACTCGCCGAGCAGCTCTTTAATTTGCAGAAACCGACCCTGCTGTGGTCCACTGAAGCCTTTGCGTGAAGCTTTGCTGTCGACAATCTTCTGCTTTTGTTTCGGGAACTCCGAACGACCGCGATGCGGCCCGATTTCCGTCCGTTTCTGCACACGCGATGACTTTTCTTTTAAAAGCGGCATCGTGGTGCACTCGAGTTTTTGGAGTCGGCCCTTCCACGCCGTCGATGCTAATTAATGCACTACTAGATGACGAACTCCTCAGCACACGTACGAAGTGCCGCACATGGGAAACACATAGGCAGAAATGGCCGACGCGCCATGCCGACGCACGTAGGGGGCGGCCATTTTGGATTTGCCGATGGCAATAGATTGACCGTAATTTTTTTGTTCGTACTCGATTCTAACGCGCATGCGATATATGAACTCGCTTAACCGGAAAAAAGGTGCGCATTAGATTCGAGTAATTACGGTAAATTGAATTCGAATTGAAGCAAATTCGAATACTGCAATATTTGTTTGAATATTCAAAACATTCAGATATTTGCACAAGCCTACTAAATTGGATGCCCAAAAAATCAGTTATCTTACTTGGAGTACAGTGGTTCCACCAGTGTGTGTACCAACAGGCACAGCCGACGGGCAATGTGAGGCTGAGAGACTGCATAGTGCTCAGGCAGCCTCTGCATCAGCCTCTGAGCATTGAGCCAGTCGCCCACCTCGAGCAGAGCCTCACAGAGGCCGAGCTTTTGGTTCTCCTCCTAAAGACACAAAAAAAGCAACATAAGCCATTTTTCCTGATGATTTACCAGTACAGTAGAGCTGCAGTAACATCATAGACAGCTCTGAATGATTGCCCGAAAATGTTTTAGATGTCATCGATCACACTGGTACTTGTTATTGTACAATAAGTGCATGCATGTGCAATTAGGGGACTAAAGGTGCCGTGTCTCGTAACAGCTGGCCTTTAGAATCTTGTAATGCTGTCCTACACGATGCCAGTGTACTGCAGCGAAAGCGATTGTTTCAGAAGTGGCAGATCATGGCAAAACCATCTCACTTTTATTTTTCTTCCTCAGGTATTATGTGAATGTTAGTGTATGCAGTTTGGCTATTTCGCAGGCATTCTATTGGCTTTACTTGCAAATGGCACAAACACAAAAATGTTACATGTTCAATTGGAATCTCCAAACAAACGAGATATTTACATGCATAGGTAAGCAAAAAGATTAAAATATCCAATGTTAAAATGCCAATTTTTTTTCTACTAAACTGAAGAAGTCACAAACTAAACCAGCACATAAGAATCAGCTGTAATCACTTTGCGGGATCGCATGCACCTCAGCTGCCAGAGAATGTACGTTGTATCAGTTATGCGTTCTAGGTTGAAATTTTCGCTCTCAACTCAACTGATGAAGACTCCTTGTCTGCCACTCTGCTCCTATTTCGCATTAGAGAATATTGCGATCCACAATATTCTTCCCCCCCCCCCCCCCCATTCCCCGTTTACATGCTCGAAAAGTTGAAACTGTACTAAGCTGCTGAAAATTGGATAAGACTTGCCAGAGTCAGATCGTCGTCCTTGTCCTCATCCTTCTTTTCTTCGTCTTTTTTCTCAGAGGACATGATCACCATTGCTGAGCGTTTTGCGTACTGCACGGCTGCATTTTCCTCCTTCTTATGTTGCTTAGCCAATGCTGCATCATCTGGCAGTAGCTGTAAGAAATAAAGATGACCATTCAGACAGCCTATAGATTTTGTAATGTAACTTCACCACTAATCCAGCTATTTAATACGGCACTGCATCATGTTCAGTAGTTTGTAGATTCTAACAAAGTGGAAAAATTTTATAGCGTTCTGACTGTTAGTGGAAAGAGTGTACTGAACAAAGTTCGGCACGACAGCACTGTAGGTTTGTTAGTTTACATCATTATTTCAATGTCTGATATAATTTTGACCAGAGCTCTCGAACATGCAGCCTGCGCACCTTCTGCTGACGGCTCGCACATTACTGCCTCAGTACAGTATTTTTCGTCAGGCACCCCATGTAGCCACCAAGCGTTGAAATATAACCAAACAACAGAGCTTTTATATCCTAGAATTGTCATCCAGATTTTAAATGTCGTGGACATAAGCACCTATGTTTCTCAAAACCTGGGACCCAGGTTTTTTTTTTTTTTTTTTTTTTTTTTTTTTTTTTTTTTTTCAGGAGACCCATATACAGTTGCCAACAGTTTATTAGGACTTGGTAGGAACTATTAAAAAAGTTCAAAACATGGGAAGTCGAAAGAAAGCATTCACCGAGAAAGAGCATTATTTAAATGCCCAGTGGCTGGAAACACTTGTCAAGGTGTGCCTGCACACACGCACGTTTACACACAACCAAGTTAGCTTGTATTTTAGCCAGTGTTTGGCTATCCCTGTCGACATTGAGCTTCTTCGATTTAAATGTCTCGAACTGCGCTACCGCGGCTCGGGATTGTCCGAAAGATTTCTTTCTGGCAGCAGGCAGACGAAAGTGCGGTACACATGGCGATGCATCATGCAGCCATTTTAGGTTGTAAGCTAAAAATGTTCAATGCGCGCTTGCTCTCTCCTTGATTTTGAGTCCGTTTCTCGCATATTTCCAGATTTTGAATTTTTTTTGTGCACGCAGTTCATGTGGTCGGCGCTCTGAACCGCGTCGAGCATGAGCTTATTACCGAAAGTAGGCCAAACACGTGATGTGCTTACCAGGAGAAATGGCGGTGAAATGCCCATGCACGTCTTTGATGCGCGCAAGTGCTCAGATGTTTTCGTTACAGTAAAATGTGTTACAATAAAAATAAATATAATTCGCTATCTAACCGCTGTTAAGGTCGGAATAAAGTCAGCGTTCTCGCCAATGGCGCAGCCATGAATAAGGCAGACGGCTTAGCAGACGCCACGGCGGATGCAGCCAGCACGAAGTGTGCAGACGGGCAGAGACCGCTGGGGCTGGCTCATGCCCCACGACAGTGCCGGTGCAAAAAATACTTCGACACACCATCCACCAACCTACTTCCTCACTCGACGAGACACAGACCTGGTGCAGTCTTCTTTTTCTTCTTTCATATTTCCTTGTTGCAGTTAACGTAAAAGTGCATCCAATTCACAAGAATTGACTGTTGGGCCAGTTGGTGCTTTGACATAGAAACCATCGTGAGAGCGCGACAAGACACGGCACACAGAAAAAGACAGACAAGACCTGTCCTCGTCTGTCTGTTTCTGTGTGTCGTGTTTTTCTGCGCTCTCACGATGGCTTTTATGCGTCCAATTGCCACCGCGCAAATACAGTACAGAGCTACCAATGACGGCGATGTTCGGGGTGCGCCTATTATGTGCAGAAATAAAACAAATCTGATTTCTCGAGAACAAACTGAGGGTGCACCTATTATGCGACTGCGCCTATTATGAGAGTAAATAGGGTAGTTTCTAAGAATCGGCAATTGAGCTTTCAGCATGAATTTTGACACTGGCACAACTTCCAGCCATAGCCAAGGCAACCTTTCAGTGCTAGAAACCTAGCACAAATATTGTAAACAACACTACCATGGCAGTACACTCAATCAGCCTACCGGAGTCTAAAAAATTGAGTGGCACACTATGAGGTGCCCAATTTTCGGTCGCGTGATAACATTACTTCATATGGGTCAGCCGCAAAGGTGTTTGAATAAATGAACTTGCCCAAACTTTTCGTGTCTGGATAAACGGTCGGCAACTGCATGACGTTTGAAAGGGCAGTCTTTCAAACTGCAACGTTAGCAAACGTTTTTTTAAGCCCCTTCACCCCTCCTATCCTTCCACCTTTCTTACAGCCCCCGCCCTGGAGCAACTGAATTTATGACTAAGGCCCACTTGCTAAGCGATCTTGAGATGCCCGCCTGCAGTTTCAACAGAGAATTGCAATATTTGATGAAATACCGTATTTACTCGATTCTACCGCGCCCTTGATTGTAATGCGCACCCGATTGCCACCGCGCAAAGAAAAAAACGTGTAAGACATCGATTGCAACGTGCACCCATTTTTCTCGCTGGCCCGCACGACCACACCACTCGAAAAAACGACTCCTTTCGGGAGCGTCTGCCATTTAAATATGAGGTACGGGAGAAGCTTGTGCCCATCTGACGTGTAACAGAGCACTGCCGTCACTGTAGTTTTACCGTGGCCCGATGTCAGCACGCGAACTTGCTTCACCCCCTTCTTCTCGACGGTTGTGGTGCCAGGCATGTCAAAGTAAAGAAGCATCTGATCGGCATTCCCGATTTGCCCAAGCAGGTAGCCGTTGTTGAGCCGCAAGTTTAGGACGAACCTCTGAAAACTGTGAAGCTTTTCATCGTACTCCTCCGGAAACTTTTCGCATATGCATGTTCCCCTTTGGAGGGAAAAGCCTTTCCTCTTCATAAAGTTAGTTAGCCAGCACCTGCTCGCTTTAAACTGGCTCCGCATTAGACCGTTTTCTAAGACTAATTGCATAGCCCGCACTTGGAGCAGTTCTGTCGTCACGGGCCGCTGTGCCGCTCGCTGCTCAAGCACATACTCGCCGAGCAACTCTTTAATTTGCGGAAACCGACCCTGCTGTGGTCCACTGAAGCCTTTGCGTGAAGCTTTGCTGTCGACAATCTTCTGCTTTTGTTTCCGTCGGTCCCGCACACACGTTTCGGGAACTCCGAACGACCGCGATGCGGCCTGATTTCCGTCCGTTTCTGCACACGCGATGACTTTTCTTTTAAAAGTGGCATCGTGGTGCACTGGAGTTTTTGGAGTCGGCCCTTCCACGCCGTCGATGCTAATGCACTACTAGATGACGAACTCCTCAGCACACGTACGAAGTGCCGCACATGGGAAACACATAGGCAGAAATAGCCGACGCGCCATGCCGACGCACATAGGGGGCGGCCATTTTGGATTTGCCGATGGCAATAGATTGACCGTAATTTTTTTTGTTTGTACTCGATTCTAACGCGCATGCGATTTATGAACTAGCTTAACCGGAAAAAAGGTGCGCGTTAGATTCGAGTAATTACGGTAACATTTTTTTTCTGAATTTATTTTGCTTGTCTGGTAACTCAAGATTCTGAATAACCTTGCAATTGTTTAACTCCCACTAAACCTGTAAAATTAAAGTTGACTGGATTTAGCGAGCAAGAACTTAAGGAAGCCTAGCAAAATTGCATTTACTTTCTTGGCACTTACCAAAGAGTAAAGATCATCCAGGGCAATGACTTCATTACGGATTAAAACTGCAGCCAGTCGGTACAAAGACAATGGTGTTGGTTCTCCAGCCTCTCCCTGCAATGGCAGACATCAATAGCAAAATTAAGCTTTTTGCTGAGATTAAGAGCAGCTCAACTTTGCGAACACTGCTCAAGCGTATTGCAGGTGACTTGCTACAACTTTTTACAACATTCTTTAATTCAGAGAGAAATAGTTAAATATCTCAGCGTGATTTATCTCACTGTGATCTCACTGTGCTGTGGCAGCTGTGTAATTCAGATATAATGACGCTAGTTTTCTTCATATACTACTTTTTTGGCATGGCAAGTGGTGAGAATTGTACCAGTAATTACAATCTATAATATAATAACAAAAATTTGCTTGCGTCCCACTGAGCATACCAACGACACAGTGACAAGTAGAGAGACTTCATGACCCTTTACATGCCAGATGCTAAATGGCACTGCACACACATAACTGCAGGGGGGAGTCCTGGGACTGGCACACGGATATACTATATAAATTCTGAAGTACCAAAAATGTTGCATCAAACAGCTGCAACCTTGGAAATATGTTGAAAAGTGGAGCCCACAAAGATGCACATACTATTAGGAACCCTCATCACCACATGCATAAAGAAGGCTTAACAACTGCAAGTGAGGGTCTCTTAAAGGGAGACGCTCCTCGAAAAAGTTTTTTTAGGGGCGAAGCTCCTTAGGGCGTGGGCTGTGCGTCCCCTGTAGCCTGTATGTAGCCACCTCTAGTTTAGTTCTTGCAGTGTTCACTAGATGGCGGTACCGTCCCCTGTATGTAGCCACCTCTAATTTAGTTCTTGCAGTGTTCACTAGATGGCGGTACCGTCTCCTGTATGTAGCCACCTCTCGTTTAGTTCTTGTAGTGTTTACTAGATGGTGGTACTTGTAGCTGATGATGAAAAGATGCAAGATGTTATAAACTAGAAAGCGGTACTTGTAGTTGATGAAAGACGCGAGATCTTATAAATAGGAATGATGTCACATATGGCGCGTGTCATTGGTTGAAGGCAATCGTTCGATTTAGTGCGGCGACGTACGCTAGGGGGAGCGATGTAATAAATCGAGTGGGCAAAATGTACAGAGGATTCATGGTTTACCAGGTTTACCTCCGGAGCTTCGCCCACTCATCATCATTCACTTCGTGGATATGGCGGAATTTTTTTTTATTTCTAGTAATAGAGACTTGAAAAGTTTGTTATTAGTATAGTTTTTCATGCAGATTTCAAATATGCAATCATTTTTTGTGTAGCTGCTATAATTATTGAGTTATGCCATAAACAATAGCAAAAAGTTACATTTTTGCGGGCACTCTTTTATGTACTAAACTTTCAGTAAAAGCACTGTGTCTGATCTTATTTGACTCTTGGTAGATTGAAAAGTGCAAATATCTATATAGATATGTCACAGAAATATTGGAACCAAGAAAAAAAAAAAATTGTATTGAATGACTTATTATTTTCAATCTCCCTTGAAACAATAAGCTAATATTTTCACAACTAATGCTGGTAGGCATTGCAATTTAGAGTACATATTTGCATTCTGCATGTGTTGAAGAATATGTGTGCCAAGTTTCGTTACTATACAATGAATATAAGTTTCTAAAAGGCTGCCCGGAAAACGTGAAACTGTCAGAAAAAATGAAAATGAGAAAAACAAGTTTGAAAGTTCGCAAAGTTGGCATTTATTAGGAAATCATTCTTTTTGCATCAAATTGGGGCACAATGAAAAGTACCTTGCCTTGAATGCACTGCAAGTGTCTAGAAGTCCCCTGCACCATAGCTTGGTCCTTCACGGCTCTTGCGGTCAGTGTCCTCAACACGAGCTCTCTTCGCTGTGTTGCGACGGTGTGCCCTCGCTTCTGCAGTTTGCTTCAGGTTCATCTTCCTGATGCGCATGACGTCACAGTGGTCACCATGTGTGGCCAGATCTTGTGAGGGGAGAATTCCAATGCCTTCGAGCACTTCTTCAAAGCCCCTGTGGCCTTGTTGTACCAGAGTACAGCAAGAGCGGTGGCTGTCTCCACAGTTGTTCTGGAGGCGAACTTTGTTTTTGGACATAGCAGCCATATCTTGCTGTTCAGCGATTCGGCTGCATTCTGTGTCTTGCCATGAAGGCACCGAATAAGGAGTTTCTCCTCTGTAAGGCGCTTGTAGATAGGCATAATTGCCAATCCTTGAGCCTTCGTCAACAGTGGGGTGTGGCGTGGTGCAGGCTCCCCCAGTGCTTCCGCACGCTTGTGCTTGCACCACGAATTTGGTCCCGCGGGGCAAAAGTTGTGGCTACTGGCACCATCACTGGAGCAGCAATGAAAATACGATGCCCATATGGCAGTGTACATATTTCGGACACTGTCCTTGTTGCTCGTGATGGCGATCTTGTAATATGTTTGTACTTTTATTATTGCCGCATCTTTCAGTTTTTCGCCTCGTGGCAGTGGCGTTGCCAATTTCCGTAGGGCAGTTCCCAAGCGCTTTGCAACGTGGTTCGTGCACTCTTCTTTGTCAATGGGGGTGTCACAGTATACATTTGCCTCGCAGACTGCAGTGTAGGCCTTGCTGTCACCATCACTTAGGAAGCTGGTGAATCGCAGTGGAGTTTCATAAGACAAGGTCCTCTGCCATATATTGACAGCTGCCGCAGGTTCCATTGCATGGGATGAGCAGTCAGTGTTTTTTTGGCAAACTGGAAGATGAAAAGCTCGCCATATCTCTTCATCCTCCCCAAGGTCCCTGTGTATACTGCAAGCATGGCAGTAGTTCGAAAGAACTTCAAAATCGAGGCAGAGCCCCGTGTCCAGGGACACGACTGTGCCCACTCCATTGTGGCTTTTATGACCTCTTTTCTGCCAGGTGCCACCAAACATGACTGGCACATCTCTGCCGCCGACTGCGTCCTTCGTGATGTTTCGTGCCTGGTGCAAGTTTTTGCTCACTGCCGTCATCGCCGCACCATGGAGCTTCTTGCAAATGCCGTTGAATGTCTTGTGATGCATCGGGCTCGGAAGACCGAGAATCGCACAAAATCGTGAAAGTTGGTCGTGGCCTGCGCCTATAGCGCGTGCTGCCAGAACTGCCTTCACGTTTACAGCAAAGCTGCCACGCGAGCTGCCGCTGTCAAAACGAGCGCTCGTTCCTTGGTCCCCGGCCGAAGCAGTACGTCTCGACGTGTGCGTGAACGAAAGTGCAGATTCAGGGCAATCAGAATTTTGACAGCACAGTTCGAGGAATGCCGAAAGTCCTTTGCGCTTTCCAGCTGCCTTTCGCACGCCGAGCTTCCATTCGCGGCAGGTTGGGCATTGCGCACCCGCCACAAGTGCCGTCAGCGCATCGATTTCGCAAAGCAGCATGTTCGCAGTAGCAGCATCTACCGGTCTACGTTCACTCTCGAAGAATCCAATCTTCCTTTGGGATGCACTGACGAATTCCACGGCAGCGGCTATTTCACAACCACTGTCGCAGGGTTCGGTGACGGTGTTAGGCCTATCCGAAGTCGGAGCGTCGGGGCGTTGGTCGGGGGCGACATCGTCGTTCGCTGTCGCTTTGCGAAGCGTCCGACGCCGTTTCCCTTGATACTTGTGGCGAGTTCTGAACTTTCGATTATCTGAACTGCACTTCTTCGGGCTTGCCATGACGCAAAAATGCAGAGAAACGCAGAAAAACTCGATCGCGACGTCCGAGGCTTCGCTCTTTTGCCGGAGAGATAGGAGGGGGAGGAGCGTGGAGCGCACCGCCGTCCAATGGCGGCCTCGCGCTGTGTGCCGCGATATTCAAAACGCGTGACGTACGCGTTGTTTTTCTCGTTTTTTGTTTATTCTGCGTGAAGGCACGAGACTGGCTACTAGTGGATTATGAAGGATACGGCCTTCGCAGCATGCGTGCACGATTGCAAATGGCGGCCAACGCGTCGTTTTCGCGACAGGACGACGCGAACTTCGCCGTTTTTCGCGACTTTCGCGCATTTCTCGCGTCACCGCTGCCCACTTGGAAGCATTTTTGATAATTTCTCGTGCGAATTTCACCTTGATATTTTCAGAAGTAATAGATTATAGTCCAAGGATGCCAATACAGCCGAAAAAAAAAAAGCGAAAATTTTCCGGAAAACCGCGACTTTTCGACCCGCGTCTCCCCTTAAAGTACTGCAACTCCTTGTTACATCGATGGTCAGTGATGGAAGTGACTATTTACTTTTTGGAGCACATCTTGCAGCAAGAAAAGTACTGCTTTGGTACAGCCAGAAGTGTTTTTTGAGCAGAAAAAATGCCAGTCTTGAGCAGCTATTGATGTTTTAGGAGGAGATACAGAATTCGCCATACATTAATAGAAGTTCAAAGCATCATCGAAGCATCTCATAGTATTAATATTTAATATATGCGATTCAGACGTGCTTGGAGGCGTGCTTGATATCGCCATGAACGTCTATGAATGTTCCGAGGTTAATGAATTGTTGTAAATTAGAGTTTCCGCGACCGGCTGTATGATGATGCGTTTTACAGCAAGAGCGGCGAAAGAGAATGTATGAATCAGGGGCACGAATTTTTATATGCCCCTTTCTTGTCATTAATTATAGTGCTAGAAATTCCCGTGCCACCAGTCTTCTGCCCATAACTTTGTTATTGAGAAAGAAGGCATAGGCCGTCATGGTGTGATCCATTTTTGTGATGCAATAAACCTCTCTCCAAATAAAGAAAAGTTCAGTAAAAGTTCAGTGAACATTTGTAATCAAGTACTTAATTACACTAATTACAAATTCAGCACAAAAAATTGTGTAATCATTTCAGTATATGGTTTTATTCAATTACAATCTTTTCTGTCATACCTATCACACCACTCCTTCATACAAAGAACTTGGTTTGAAATCCATACTTGTTCTTTGTAAATAATGAAAAGGAGTAAATCGTGAAAAGAAGTCAAATATCACAAGACAAACCTGAGATCACAATTTTTAGGTGTCTTAGAGACGTAAAGAAAAGTTGGAACTTTAAACGCAGCTTTCTCAATACTGTTTTTTTTTTTACATTATGCTCAGCCCCTCCACATGGTTCAATGAAGAAATAATTTGTTTCTCGTAAAGTATTTGTGGTATCGCTTCAAAATTTTTATGGAAGCACTGTGAGGTCATTCTTAGTGTCGGTGCCGATTTTCATCAATATCCAACGAGAAACAAAAAAGTTCATTGAAAGAAGCCAAGTGTATTGGACATTGTGCATTGCTCGTGGAAAGAGTAGCACGGGAATGATTGGACCGATTTTTATCCTGTTTTTTTTTTTTTTCCTGAATCCCTGAACACTGCTTGTGGGTACAGCAATCTTCAATTTCTGTTTTATGGCCCTGTTATTTTTCTAGACGATGATTTGTTCGTGCCACTGTTTCTGACAATGTACGTCGGCAGCCATGATGATCTCTAAAAAAAAAAGAAGACTTATTAAAAAATTCTGAGAGTGTCATACCCTGTAGCTTTCTTTTGAGTAAAGATCAACACCATTCGCAGCTTCCTGGCATGTTTTGTTGCAGCGCTAGGCTTTCCGCAAGCAGACCATGTAATTGTATCGTGCAGCATTATGTAACTTGAGAACTACTGAAGCTATCGTGATGAAACTGCATATTTCCCTATTCGAGACACTTATGAGTATGCATGCCACATTTCATTGCTGTAGGTCAACAAATAAAAAAGTTTTTTTTCAATGCCACCTCCCCCCTTAAAATACTAGTATTTGTTGCAGAAATAACATCATACCGGTAAAGCTGCGCACAACAATTTAGAATTAACCACAGTCGCATATAACTGTTGCTAAATAAGCAGAAGATAATCGATATGAGATACAGTAGAAGCAAACCTCGTCATTTTCACATTTCACATCAAAAAAAAAAAGCAGCCAAATGAGCTATAAGCTTAATATGCCAGTTCTTGTTACGTATGCAATCATATGAGAGCGGATAATGCTGAACATTAGTAGCCCCCTAGGATGATAGTACACAGATTCTTTTCAGTTTATTTAGGACTTATTGTTCGGTCAAACCGTAATAAATGTTCGTCATTCTCATTCTCTTAGTGTCATTTCAGAGCAGGTTTGGATTAGTTACTGAGAAAAATCAGTTTGGAGCCATTGGAGTAGCACTTCAATAACTGAATGGTAAGCTTGAATACCGCCACATCAGCCGCAGTTCATACGCCTGCCTCAATAGGACAACCTTTTTCGGACGACGAGCCAACATTTAGCTCCCGCCAGTGGTCTGATCCATACTGCAGACGCATTACGGACCACCTTTCGGGAGCTTCTCATCCACCTAACGCGCGAATTCGTCGTCAACTCCTGCCCTTTAGGCTGGACAATGGGGTTCTCTACCGCCACATTTACCATCCTGACGGTCAGCACTGGGTTCCTGTGCTGCCACGCTCTCTTCGCCTTCAAATGCTCGAAGCATTTTACGATGACTTGACCAATGGCCATCTTGGTTTTTCAAAAAAACTTGACTGCATTCGATGTCCCTATTACTGACCTGGCCTTTCTTCTAGCATAGCACGGTACGTCAGTTCCCACTCCCCATGCCAACATCCTAAACTCTCAACATCTGCACCTACTGGACCTCTACAGCCAATTCCGTGCCCTTCAATGCCATTCAAGATTGTAGGTATCGACCTTTATAGGCCTCTCCCCATCACCTCTGCTGGAAAACGATGGATAGTGACCACCGTGAACCACCTGACATGCTACGCTGAGACGTCCTCTGTCATTACAGGCTCATCTGCGGAAGTTGCTGACTTTATTCCTAACGCCATAATCCTGTGCCATGGCGCTCCTCGTGTACTGCTTAGTGACCAAGGCAAAGTGCTCCTTTCACAAATGGTAAATGAAGTACTGCGCGCTTCTGGAACTACTCACAAGACAGCTTCAAACTACCACCCACAGACCAATGGTCTCATAGAAAGATTTCATCGAACCCTTGCTGACATGGTAGCCGTTTACGTACAACTCGACCACAAAAACTGGAACGCTTTTCTACCATTTCTGACCTTCGCCTACAACAACGCCGTTCAGGGAACAACTGGCTACTCACCGTTTTACCTCGTGTACGGACGTCCCCCTACTACCTTTCTCAATGTCTCCTTCTTTAACAGCCATGTTAATTCATGTCAGTCTTCTAGCGAGGAATACATTTCCCGCCTGGCCCAGTCTTGCCATCAGGCTCGCATCAATACTGAAGTGAAACAGCACGAGCGGAAGATCATCTATGACGCATACCATCCCGTTGCGTCTTTCCCACCTGGTGATGAGGTGCTGCTTTTAACGCCTCTACACACTCTTGGTCTCTGTGACAAATTCCAGCTGCGCTTCATCGGGCCATACATAATTTTGGAACAGACTTCGCCGGTCAATTATCATGTGACACCACTTGTCGCCCCAACAGACCGCCGTTACCGCAGCACAGAGATTGTCCACGTTTCTCGCATGAAACCTTTCACGCGATGTTCCTTGTCACTTTGACTTACAGCGGCCAGGATGGGGGAAACGCTTCCAAATGGGGGAAATTAGTGTGGGCGTTTGTTATTTACATCGTCCTCATACCTGCATGTTTATAATCACCATCATCCGCTTGTTTCGTCCTTATCACCTCTGTGTGTCATCATCATCGTCATCATTTGTGTACAGGCTCTGCCCGTTCGTTTTGCGAGGTCTTCCGTTGAATAAACGATGTCGCAACCGCGATGTCATAATATGTACAGTCGAGTCCACATATAATGGTTCTCTTCGTGCAACGAATTAATTCCAATGAAGCAGCAGTTTCCAAAGCAGGTAAAGATGGTAACATCTCACTGCAGATTTTAGCAGCAAGAATGGCAGTGCAGGTTAGACTTATTTCCATGCAAATTTCTACAGTAAATTGAAAGAGCGAAAACTCACCTGGTAAAATGTGAACTTGAAGCCAAGAACTTGGCTTATGGTGGCTGGATTGCACAAGTACTTTGTGAGCAGAGGCACAAAGAAATCCTCAAGGTGAATGCGACACTCAAATGCCTCCAAGACAATATCCAAAACTCTATTAGGGTCCAAGTTGAAGCAGCCTGCATGAAGTTACAATACCAGCAGGTGAGTATTCCATGTATACATCAAAGCACATCAACAGACTTGAACAATTGCATTTCTTTTAAATGGCGCAATGATACAGACAAATTTGCATAAATTGAGTCATGCAATTTCCGCATCCATAAAGTATATCTTTTGATACAAAAAAATGCATAGTGAAAGGTGACGCACCAATTCAGGTAGGTTAGATGCGACAATCTTTTTCTGCAAACAATGTTACTAAATCACAACTGCAGCAGATTTTGAAAGTGTAGTTATCTGCCGCTGCCATCGGTACCCATAACCGCTATCACACATAATAAAAAAAAATAAAAGACGAAGTGCAATTACAACCCAAGCCCTCTGCATGGCAGTCAAATATTCTACCAAAGAGCCACGCCGATGCTCAAATCTCCTTTGCAAAAATTTAGGCTTGTAAGAATAGTAAATTCTGTTCAAAGCAAAACTGAAGCGAATAGTAATATGGTCTAATAATTTTGAATCAAACTCGAAATGCATATATCACATTATATAAAGGGCATATTTGTTATCATGCAACTAACCTGCACAATAGTTCTTAAAATCCGAAAAAAAGCATGTGCAAATGCCGTTATTTTAGGTTAGAAGGAAGTGAAAACAACTTTCAATAGTACCAGGACTTGACTTTTGGTAGAATGCTCGCGATAGCATGTAAAATACGCTACATTTTAAAGTGTACTATCCTTAGAGCATACAAGACACTGTAACAAGATTTAAAACTAAAAAAAATTGAACCATATTTCGCAAAATGAAGGCTTTATGTGTAGATACCAAGCAGCGAGCGCTAACGCTTACACTGGCGGCAGCGACGCTGGCACTCATTGGCGCATTGTGCAGGAGAGAAACTTGGGAAGGTGCAAAGCACGCAGTGATGGACTGGCGCTTCCTACTGGAACATGCTAATTGCTGCTAATGGGTAATGAGAGACAGAAGACTCCGACTGACACAGAGGAACGCAGTACACTTTTAGTTAGCATGCACGCCAGAAATATTTATAGTTCAACGCGGAGGAGCAATGTCTCACCCGCACTACCTGGGAGGTGAAGATGGCCAGTGAATGGTTGTGCAGCGTGGGCAGTGGATTTTTTAGATCAGGGAATTCACTAGCAGACACTGCCCGCATCAGCCTTGTGAGACGATAGAGCGTAGGAGAGTAGAGAGAGGGAAGGAACGTGCATTTGCAATGGGGTGTAAACGCCATTGGGATGGATGACTAGAGGAGAGAGAGCCGATGCTGCCTACGTCTGGGTTGCGAGATGAGGGAGGGGGAGCGTACGAGCTCCTCACTATGCCCCCCACACAGCAACATCTCGATCAGTCTTCATATGAGCTTCATCAACTTCTTACAGCCTTCATACGGACCCTAGTGGTGTCGGGCCAGGGGCCATACTTGTCCAACGCAAGGATGGCTTTGACGAATAAGTCGTTGCCTATGCCAGCTACACCCGAAGCAAAGCCAAGAAGAACTAGTGTCACTGAAAAAGGTGCCTCGCCATTATTTGGGCAATTGAAAAATTTCGGCCATTCTTATATGGACGACTCTATGATATTGCGACAGCCACCATGCACTTTGCTGGTTATCTTCACTAAAAGATCCAAATAGTCGTCGACCCACTCGTTGGGCATTGCGATTACAGGAATTCGACATCCGCATTATATACCACTCTGGCTGGAAGCATTCCGATGCCAATGCTCTGTCACGCTCGCCGTTGGCTTCAGAGCATGTCTGCTCGTCTATCTCTGCCCAGTGACGCCTTGGCAATCAGCATTTACAACATGCCTTCCGAGCAACGCAAAGACGCTTGGATGTTTTCACTTTTGGACTTTCTTTCAAACCGGACGCCTACTACAGCTTTCAGGACGTTTCGCCGCCAAGCACAACACCTCGCTATTTCGAATAACCTGCTTTCTGCCAAAACTACAACTCGGTCAGCCGTAAGTGGTTGCTCGTCATTCCCCAACATCTCTGCCTTGACATTTGCGCCAGGTTCTATGATAACCTGCAATGTACCGTATAATGCGGAATATAGGTCGAGGCGGAATATAGGTCGACCCCCTTACCTTGACCAGCAAAAAAAAAAAAGAAAAACGCGGAATCGTTCACTGCTTCACTTTAGTCAGTCCTCACAGTCCTCCGAGCTGTCGGAGCTCTCCGACGACGACGACTGCTTGTCACTAGCCGCCTCCCACAGCATGTCGTCCTCGGTGCCGTCGAGAGCGTTGCTGATGCAGCACTTCTTGAATGCGCGCACCACCATCTCTTCAGGCAGAGACCTCCATGCCTCGGAGACCCAACCACAAACTGTCGCGAGAGGTGGCCTGCGCAGCCGGCCTGTCGGGGTCCGCGGGTTGTCGCCAGCCATCCATTCGGTGTACAGCGCACGCACACGGTCTTTAAAAGGTTTATTGAGGACGACGTCCAACGGTTGAAGTGTTGATGTCATTCCTCCCGGAATGACGACAAGATCCGTCCTTCCGTCGCGAAGGCTCTCCTTCACCGATGCTGTCAAATGCCCGCGAAATGCATCCAACACGAGCATGTTCCGGCGCTGCAGGAGGGCTCCGGGCCGCCGGTTCCACACTGTGCGGATCCATTCGCGCATTAGGGCCTCGTCCATATACCCCTTCTCGTTGACGCGGACGACGACATCCCGCGGGAAGGCCTCCTTCGGCATCGTCTTCCGCTTGAAGATTATGAAGGGGGGCAACTTTCTGCCGTCGGCCGTGCAGCAAAGCATAACGGTGAAGCGCGAATGCTCGCTACCGGTCGACAAAAGCCTCACCTCTTTTGCCCCGCGTTCACAAACAGTCGTGGACGACGGCATGTCAAACCACACCGGCGTTTCGTCGGCGTTGCCGATCTGGCCTAGCATGTAGCCATGCTGCCGCCGGAGGTTGTTCACATAGAGTTGAAACTCTATCAATTTGTCCTCGTACATCTCCGGCAGCTTCTGGCATATCGACGTGCGCCGTCGAAGCGCAAATCCTTTGCGTCGCATAAAGCGACGGACCCAATAAATGGATCCCTTGAAGTCTTTCTTTGACAGGCCGGCTTCACGGGCGAGCTCGACGGCTTTTGAGCGAATGAGCTCCGCATTCACGGGAAGGGATTTGGCACGGTACTCGCGGACGAAATCCGCCACTTTGTCCTCGAGTTCCGGGTGCACAGCTCGGCGACCGCGAAACGACGTCTTCCTCGCGTTACACACTGACAGTTTGGATTTTGGTTGCGCCAGTATCTGACGCTTTTCTCGGACACTCCAAACTGCCGCTGTGCCGCCATGTTGCCATTCACTTCCGCGAATTCTATAACTTTTCTTTTAAACGCGGCGGTGAACTGGCGCCGCGTCCCGGTATTCATAGCTGGTCGCAGAGTAAAAGTCGCCACTCTCTACGAACACGAAATGAACAAGAAAAGAAAAATGGCGTCGGCAGAGGCGTCGGCCCATGGAGGCGATGTCGATGCTGATGCCCAAAAAACATGCGACACTCCCTGTTGCCAGACGATCACTTTGTTTATGCCAAGGGCCGGTATATAGGTCGAGGGGTGACTTTTTAGCGAAATTTTTTGGAAAAAATCTCGACCTATATTCCGCACTATACGGTAGCCATGCTGGTGCATTACAAACATTGATTGATATGTGGCGTTTAACGTCCCAAAACCACCATTTGATTATGAGAGACGCCGTAGTGGAGGGCTCCGGAAATTTCGACCACCTGGGGTTCTTTAACGTGCACCCAAATCTGAGCACACGGGCCTACAACATTTCCGCCTCCATCGGAAATGCAGCCGCCGCAGCCGGGATTCGAACCAGCGACCTGCGGGTCAGCAGCCGAGTACCTTAGCCACTAGACCACCGCGGCGGGGCTGGTGCATTACAAACATACACTCGCTTGCAGCTGCAGTACTATTGGCGCGGTATGTACCATTTCGTTCACCGTTACACAAGGTTTTACGTGCCAGCGATGCAAGACGCCCGCTCAACATACCACAGGTTCCTTGCAACCGTAACCATGTCCAACATAAGCTTTTCATCGTGTTGAAATCGACCTTTATTGTCCACTTCCCTATACTCCAAGTAGCAAATGCTGAGTCACTGTCACTATCAACCACCTCACTCCGAAACAGCTGCGTTACATTCTGCTACCACAAAGGACGTTGCAAGTTTTATACTGTAAAACCTGGTTTTAAGGCACGGAGAGCCTCGGGTGTTACTAAGCGACCGCAGCTGCCTTTTTTTCTCTCCGGGACCATTAAAGCGTCGTGAAGCGAGAGTCGTTAAGCGTCGTTAAGCGAGCGTTAGCTCTTCGAGATAGGTAATAGTGCACTTGAAGTTGTAAAAGACTATGTCTACTTAGGGCAGGTAATAACCGCTGAGCCTAATCACGAGATTGAAGTAACTAGAAGAATAAGAATGGGGTGGAGCACATTCGGCAAGCACTCTCAAATTATTACAGGTAGATTGCCACTATCCCTCAAGAGGAAGGTATATAACAGCTGTATCTTGCCGGTACTTAGCTACGGAGCAGATACCTGGAGACTTACAAAGAGGGTTCAGCTTAAATTGAGGACGACACAGCGAGCAATGGAAAGAAAAATGGTAGGTGTAACCTTGAGAGACAAGAAGAGAGCAGAGTGGATTAGGGGACAAACGGGGGTTAAGGATATCATAGTTGAAATAAAGAAGAGGAAATGGACATGGGCCGGGCATGTAGCCCGTAGACAGGATAACCGCTGGTCATTAAGGGTAACTAACTGGATTCCCCAGAGAAGGGAAGCGGGTTAGGGGGGAGACAGAAGGTTAGGTGGGCAGATGAGATTAAGAAGTTTGCGGGTATAAATTGGCAGCAGCAAGCACAGGACCGGGTTAACTGGCGGAACATGGGAGAGGCCTTTGTCCTGCAGTGGACGTAGTCAGGCTGATGATGATGAAGCGAGAGTCGCATCATGCATTGCACTACCACTGCCTATCACCCACTAACTAATAGGATGACAGAGCCTTTTCATCGTACACTTGGTGACATGCTGGCCATGTACGCTTCATCCGACCAGACCAATTGGGATAGCATACTGCCTTTTGTAACATACGCCTACAACACTGCAATGCAAAGCACCACTGGATTTTTGCGTTTCTTCTTTATGGATACAAGCCATCATCAACAATGGGCACAATTCTTTATCGGCCTGACCCTTCGGAGTAGCCAACTGTCTCACGAGCAGCCGCACATTCTAAAGAATGTCAGAAGCTTGCACGCGCTTTCAGATCACAAGATCAGACACGCCAAAAATATCGCCGCGGCGCATCAACCACACCTACGAGCTTTGCTCCTAACTCGCTGGTGTGGCTATGGATCCCTTCAACTCCTCCGCATCTCTCCCAAAACTTTCTTCAAGGTACCTTGGTTTCTATAGAGTTGTGCACCAAACATCATTTGTCAACTACATCGTAGAGGCGCTCGACGCATCTCCGGAGAAGCGTCGTCATGGACATGAAATTGTACACATCTCTCGGGTAAAACGATACCATGACTCTTCTGTGTACACTTGCCCTTAGGTCGCCAGGATGGCTCTCTCGTTGCCCGAAGGTGATTGTAACAAAGGCAGGGGTCACGGAGCTCGAGTGGAGAAAAGAAGAACAAAACGCTCTGTGATCAACGGCTTGCATCTAGTTAGCCCTTGCACTAAATGAATCTCGTTCACAGAGTCTATTACTGCTTGTAAACACCCCATTTCAGTTTGTTATATCCTATATTCATTGCAACAATATAGCTAGAACTGCCTCCAACAAATAGACAATCTGGCTTGCACAATATCCTAGATAGAAAAACACATTATTCTAGGCTTTAAACCTGCTGTAAACAAGGTGATTCTTGACTCTCCTAGTGGCATTTCAAACTTCGAATCATATGGTACCCGCAACCAGATTACCACAATTCCCACATTTTCAAACAATCAAAGAAAATAAGTGCGCTTCTTAATTGTCTCATGACCTTTGCTTGTTATGCTACCTTTTTATTCATATTCAGTCAGCAAGGAGTAAATCAGCGTACGATATGCGCACTTACCTATTAGAGACCTCATGACTTCAATCATGTAGTCTGGGCTGATCTTGGAGGTGATCTCTTGGCTCAGCTCGGTGGCTAGCTTTGCATAGCCTTCACTTTCTTCTCGAAATAGGTTGTACTTGTTCTGCTTGTAACTGCAAGACAAGGCAAGAACTCTAATAACTCACACAAGTTGGGCTGCAGACGTCTCTAGAACAAGGCTGTTAAATGCTATGTGTAGCACTTCAGATCAACTCTCAATATTTAGGCATCAGCAAGAACATGCTCCATGCGTAACTAAACCATGCCACACAAGCAAGGTTTTATATGACGCGAAAAGGCTGAGGTTTACAGTATGACCGACACTTGAGGTTAATCCAACTTGAGAGCAGCACTACAGAAGAGTTCCATGTGATGCACGAAACAAGCACCAAGGTGCAAATGTTCTTTTTGACTACATAATATGTACGCACTGTACTTTACTCTCCTCAGCTTAGCACATATCACAATTACTGAAGAGTTACATAAAATGAAAGGACATGCTTACAACAACCGTGTCTTGATCTTGACAAACTTGGTGCCCGTCGTTCGGCTGTTCCTGACAATTCCCGCATCTCCCAAGGACTCGATCTCTATCCGTTCTTTCAGCAGGGCATCAGGAATCACCTGTACATCAAAAAAAAAAAAAAAAAAGAAAAGCTTATTGTAAATGTCCAAGCTCTTACTGCAGATAATTAAATATTCTACAAAGAAAAAATGCAACACAATATAGTACTCCAATCTAGTGGCACTGCTGGTGATAGATCATCCAAAAAAATCCAAGGAATGAAAAGGACCACTCAGAACTACAACTATGTTTCAGTTTCTCCCTGATTGAATTCAGGCTGCTTTAAACGACTACACTGCATTTTGAAGCAGCACATAAAAGTGGAATAAACCCTACTGTAACAATGTCGCTGGGGAAAAAAAGAAAAAGTTATAAGAGAGCCATTTAACGCACGACCCGAATTCCAGCACTCTAAGGCAACATGACAGCTATGAAACTCTGCTGAGCCTTTGAAAAGCTGCCTTATCTGTTGCAGCAGCTATTCATACCTTGTAAATATAATGTGCAATGCCTTTTCTTTCTCGCTGTAAGGATGTCACAACCTTACAGGTGAATTTAAGGCACTACTACCATATGGTAAGGTGCCCTTTCTCCCCATCATTTTGTCTTAATCAACTGTTCCAAGCAGCAACACGTCCGCATGCATGCTGCACAAGCCAGTATTGTGGCTACTATAACTTCAATTAAACTAAGCAATCTTGTTATAAGGAGGGATTACTGTGCCATCAGTGCAGTAATTACAGTACCTTGATCAACTGCAGCTCTGAAAGCCACGTCTCATTTAAAAGCTGCAACGTATGTTCTGTAATGCACTATGTTCCTTTAGTCCTTTGTGACAGCAAATATGGGATTCCCTCTTCAAAACTGTTTTATGAGCCTTCATTTAAAAAGGTTTATATAGTCAGTACATTTAACAATACCTTTCACAAAGTTTGAAGTATCTTTCCTACATAACTTCAAGTGATACTAGTCAACTGTTTTATAACCAAAGCAGACATGCAGAATAACTTATGGACGAATATCATTTCAATTTCACACTACCTTGCAAACACTCTAGCCTTGTAGAAGCTTCACAGGCAATGGCACTCATACAATTACATACAATGAACTTTTGGCACACAGCTGCTGCTGGTCAATAAACACACCATTGCAGCCTCACTGCCTTGACAAAGTGGACTATTTATGCCCATTAAACTTTCTCCTCACTAAAGGAGAACTCTTCATAAGCTGTTCTAGCAATTTAAAAAAATTCCAGACCGTAAGTGCCATTTCAAAGAATAACAGCTCAACAATGCATTATCGAAGAAGGCCACAGATGGCTTCCACCTTGTACTAGAACATATGGTGCAGTAGGGATGGGCGAATATTCAATCACTGCAAATAACAAACATTATCGTGCATATCTGAGTATTCAAATTCACTTTAACACAAATTGAAATTATTCCAAGTTTTGAAGTACTCAAAATAAAAAAAAATTGGCCGTGTATCCGCATGTTAATCTGCAAATGTCGTCTAAAGGCGATAGTCTTGCGTCTGGAGAGATTGAACAAAACGTTTAATTGGTGTTCTGCAGAAGAAAATTGGTGAATGGTATTCTGGAAGCGCTGCGTTAGAGAGCCTCGTGCGTGCAGCGGAGGCGAACGAGTGCACCAAGTCACGTCACACGTGAGACATGAGCGCCATCGGGCAGTTATCTCGGAAAACGAAACACGCGGCTCTGAGACAGGCGTGCGCCCATCTCAGATGATGAGATGTAGAGCGCAAGGCGACGGGTAGGTGCCACCACCGTGGTCTAGTGGCTAAGGTACTCGGCTGCTGATTCGCAGGTCGCGTGTTCGAATCCCGGCTGTGGCGGCTGAATTTCCAATGGAGGCGGAAATGTTGTAGGCCCGTGTGCTCAGATTTGGGTGCAAAGAACCCCAGGTGGTCGAAATTTCCGGAGCCCTCCACTACGACGTCTCGTAATCATATGGTGCTTTTGGGACGTAAAACCCCACATATCAATCACCGTGTCGTCTCAGCAAAGCGTTGAAAACACTTCCCTTTTCATGCAAGCGTTGCATGACCAGCACCACGTGATAGACGCTACGGTCCTTAGCATAACTTATGTACGCCTTTTGTAGTAAAAGAAGCACATGCAAAATATATACGTGTTGTTATGATGCCTCAGATATGCGCGATAATTGCTATTTAAGTGACAATCACACATGTATGAACGCTGAATCTTTGAGCAACATTGGTGGGCGCTGCGGATGGGGTCGGCCGTTTGGGAAAACCCCTGGTGCTGTTTAAAGTGCCCGGTACCGTTATGGGTGGAGAAACAGACAAATGAACAGGCAGACCAAAGTTTTTGCGTCGAAGGTCCCCAAGAAAGACTATCGGCTTTAAAAAGCATATATTTGACTCCATGCGACACACCTCATGGGTGGCTTCACTGCAGCCTGGAGCTGCTATGCCGTGAACCCAACTCCCTGGTAAATCCATATTTCCACGAAGCCACACTTAAATGTTAAATGTATGTATTAACAGCACCTTGGTTATCGACTTTTTAAAGCTAGAAAGTGACTTATGATGGCTTATATATAATATATTTTAGAGTGTAAAACTTGTACCCTATACAATTTCAATCCTGCCTGTACACTCGAATCTCATCAAAATGAATTTGCATATTACATAAAAATAGGTTCTTTATATCTAAAAATTTGTTATAGAAGCATATTCCTGGCACTGTATCTATTGCAAGGGTATTCTTTATTTACTCCATTATAACCAATATTTTGTTATGTCCAAGTTAATAATATTGAGGTATGATTATGTTAAAATTTGCTTCTAGTTGGAAACAAAAAAGTGGCATCTGCACATACCTAGTTCCAGTTATTGAACATTTTAGCAATTTATTAAGGGCACGACAAAAACGGTCATTTTTCCTTTTAATATGAGATATATTTGAATTATTAAACTTGAAATTATTTGACAAAATTCCTATTTGCTTTGAACAGTAAATTTGCCCATCCCAAGACTACATATGTAGGCCAACCTAAATTGGCTTACCACAACAAAATATCAGCATGACAATATTGACAAAATAAGAAGTGCTACTGCTTTCTGCTAGAAAATGGGCAAACAAAGCTGCTATGTTAAATTATTGTGTCTCAAGAATATTTAGGCTCCAAGCGGAGAAACCGGCTATCCTTTGACACAATTAGACATGCAGCTAGCAAGGAGATATTGGTGATTTATTTGGTAACCGTTATTAGAAGTACAAGAGCTGGACTGCTGAACTTCCTTTGAAGACTGCCCCATGCACTTGCCCCTGAAGACAACTCACCTTGGCACAGCCAGCAAGAAGCCAATGGAATCTGTCTCTCTGGTCCCGGTTCTCCGTCGACAGTGTCTCCAAGTCTGAAAAGGTGGCAAGCAGGGTGTGTCTATGCACGTCCTCACTAACAATGCCTTAAGAAGGAAAGGAGGAGGCAAGCCACCAGGCACATACCCAGTAGGAAGACCAGGTCCGCCAGCATGGAGGAGATCTCTGGATGCAACGCCTAAGCAAACAAAGTGCCCCAGCGCAGAGCAGGCATGGGGCAAATCTGCACGGCTCAAAAGCCGCCCACCACACGACAATACCACTTACGGTAACCTCGGCTAGAGCCGCCAGGGCCTGGTCCACCTTGAGGCGATCCTCCACCACGTGCCAGCACAGGTCATGTAACAGCAACTGCAGGTCTGAAACAGCAAGTTTTCACCAATGCAGTCTTTCGCTGTGCAACACTTACCACATTTATTTGTGGTGGCGATGTTGATGCCCTTTCAGTTAATGAAAACATCGGTGTTTCAATAGAAAACCAGTCTAAACCAAGCATTCTCTTTTTATTTCGACTTAAAGGTGTTCTGCCTGGCCGTGACTATACAGATGATTCAGAAGTGCAGGAATCACTTATACAAAGCATGCATTGCCCCATGTACAAATCATGCCCTTTTTGGATTGTTTTAAAGTACAACAACGGAATACGAAAATCGTGCTTGATTATACCTTAGGCAAATAAAAACACAAGCAAGTTGATCATCAACTCTTTATTAGTAGCAATAACAATATATTTTCATGACACCTTGAAGACACCATGTGAATCTTCATTTACTTTGACAAGTCGACATGCTATCCACAAAACTGTATTTTGCAAAAGTGCTCAGTTGACTGCCGATATCAACAAATACTGATTGAATATGCTAGAGCCCTGGCAGAGTGAAACTAATCTTGAGTACAAGTATCAGTATAATAAGTTGGCAGGATACTTTCTTTTGTCTCAGTACTACACTGCTAGTACATGGTCATAGATGACGAGACTTTGGTAATACAATCATATGCACAGATGCAGGACAGCATTAGTGCAAAACAAGACAAGAAATTCAGGTATATTTAAAGCACATATGTCTCAGGTAATGCAGCGAATATAACAAGACAAAAACATAGGAGCAGAGAATCTACCAGGGCACACAGGCCAAGTACCACTAAAATTTACGGGCTATGCGAAACTGGCATGCCCACTTACCCTTCCCGCCTCTGTCTGCAGGCAACCTCGACGTCTGCATATGGGCTGCTGCTGAGCGACATTGCTTGATGCTAGTTGAAAGGGGGGGGAAGAAGCATTAAGGCGAATGTCACAATTCTGCTATTTGATAGCCAGCGTCTGATTAATTTCAGCAGTTATCACAGTCCACTAGTTAAATTTAGATAATTCGAGCAAACTCTTTGTCCATCAGCTTGCGTCGCGATAATCACAAGCGTACGCATTATGCCTCATCCAATGAGCAAAGTAACACGATAACAAACCACGTAATCGCAGTACTACACGCGTTGACTGCGCGCTATTGCTACACACTCGCGCCAGCGTTGCTCACGGACGATTCTCATGCAATTTGGTTAGCTCGCCCGTGCTTGAAATGTTAGAAATCACAGACCACAGACACTACGCGCTATCAACAGCAATCCACAGCACTTTTTATTACTTCGCTTCACAGCAACACTTTTTTTTTTGAGAGTATAATATTGCGTCCACGCAAGATAGGCCTAGCCAATGTGATTATTTCCGCAATTTCAATTTGATAGCCCTATATTCTCGTACATGTAGAATTTCAATATGTTGAGAAGTGTGTGGTTCGTTTCTCCAAATACTTACAACTCAAGTTTTCCTGATCTTTCCCAACTTTTACACGCGTCCACGGACACAACCCGGCTCGCCATTACGAGCCGACAAACGTTGGATGGATGGATGGATGGATTGATGTGGCTGTACGGTAGGTGTTCTGTGGCTGTACCCTTTAGATAGATGGATGTGGCTCTACCCTTCAATATTGGGCGGCGGCTAACGCTACCTAGCCGTAATACATTGTTAACTAATCACTAGATTTATCTTTTTTTTTTCTTTAAATAGTGAAGTTGAGTAGTGGTGCTTTGAAGTTAAAGATTTAATTTTCACTCGTGCATTGACTTTAGCCACCAGTCAGATAATCTTCTACTAGTTAAGTCTACCCGCTTAAAATTTAATTTGCCTTCCTGTCCCTAAACCACAGTGCTTTGAAAAACCCTGTGCCATCATCCTGAACTATAGGGTGAAGCCTTTTACAGAACATTATCAAGTATTCGGCAGTTTCCCCCTCCTCTCCACATGCACTGCATACCGTGGCTACCCCTTCTTAGTGTGGCAGCTTGGGCTAGTATCGTCATGCTATCCCTTCGTATTTGGCCCGATATGTCTTGGTTCGCAATACTCCCGTCCTGGTCTCAAACTTCCCCGAGTATCATCATAGATTCTTTCCTTGGCAATTTTCTGCTTAAAAGTTCAAAAGATCTCTAGTGCGGACTTCTTAATCATACCAATTCTTCACATTTCGGTCTCCATTTCTTTCACCTTCTTCTTAACCGATAGTTCTTTTTAGTCCCCTGTTGTTTTCTAAGTATTTACCCGTCAATTTTCTGGTTCGCTTCCTCCATTTTGTATCGACATTCTTCGCGTACAAGTATAGCTGAAAACCTTCCTAGCCCAACGCTCCTCACCCATTTCTCTCAATCGCTTCTCAAATTTCATGTTGCTGCTAGCTTCCCTACCCTCAAATGATGTCCATCCCATATCACCTTGTACTCCCTCATTTAGTGTATTCCCGGGAGCTCCTAAAGCAAGCGTACCTATTCAGCGTTGCTTAATTTCTAATCTCGCTTGAACTTCTGATCTCATGCACAAGACTACATTGCCGAACGTCAGGAACCATGACCCCTTTCCATATTCCTCTCACATCAAACCTATTGTAATTCCACAGTGCCCTATTTTTCATCACTGCTGCATACTGATGGGAGACTTTAATGCAAATATATTAAGGTAGGGAAGAAGCAGGCTGGAGACCAGGCAGTAGGAGATTATGGCATCGGTACTAGAAACGCCAGAGGAGAGCTACTAGTAGAATTCGCAGAACGCAATAATTTACGGATTTTAAATACCTTCTACCGAAAACGAGGAAACCGCAAGTGGACATGAAGGAGCCCTAATGGCGAAAATAAGAACGAAATAGACTTTATAATGGGTGCACACCCAGGCATCGTGCAGGATGTGGAAGTGGTTGTCAAGGTACGATGCAGTGACCATAAAATGGTACGGTCTCGAATTCGCCTAGACTTGAGAAAGGAACGACAGAAACTAATACGCAAGTAGCCAATCAATGAGCTAGCACTGAGAGGGAAAGTACGGGAATTCAGAGTCTCGCTTCAGAACAGGTACTCGGCTCTTAGTGAGGAAACCAACCTTAGCATAGATACAATGAATAATAATCTGACGAGTATCATTACGGAGTGTGCAGTGGAAGTTGGAGGCCGGGAAAGTACGGGAATTCAGAGTCTCGCTTCAGAACAGGTACTCGGCTCTTAGTGAGGAAACCAACCTTAGCATAGATACAATAAATAATAATCTGACGAGTATCATTACGGAGTGTGCAGTGGGAGTTGGAGGCAGGATAGTTAGACAGAACACTGGCAAGCTTTCCCAGGAAACGAAGAATCTCATTAAAAAGTGCCAAATCATGAAAGTCTCAAGTACAACATACAAAATAGAACTGGCAGAGCTTTCGAAGTTGATTAATAGGCGTAAGGTATCCGATGTAAGAAGGTATAACATGGAGATAATTGAACACGCTCTGAAAAACGGAGGAAGCGCCAAAGCAGTGAAGAGGAAACTTGGGATAGGCAAAAGTCGGATGTATGCACTAAGGCACAAAGAAGGCAAAATAACTACCAATATGGATAGGATAGTTAAAATAGCGGAGGAGTTTTACAGAGATCCGTACAGAAGCCGAGACAACCATGACCTTAATACTATAATAACCCAGATGACACCCCACCAGTAATGATAGAAGTCAGAAAAGCTTTGGAGAGCATGCAAAGAGGCAAAGCTGCTGGTGAGGATCAGGTAACATCAGATCTGCTGAAAGATGGAGGACATATTGTGTTAGAAAAACTAGCCACCCTGTTTACGAGGTGTCTCCTGACGGGAAGAGCACCAGAGTCTTGGAAGAACGCTAACATCACCTTAATACATAAGAAAGGAGATGACAAGAACTTGAAGAACTACAGGCTGATTAGCTTGCTCTCTGTAGTATACAAGCTATTTACAAAGGTAATTGCTAACAGAGTAAAGAAAACATTAGAATTCAATCAACCAAAGGAACAAGCAGGATTTCGAACAGGCTACTCAACAATCGACCACATTCATATTATCAATCAGGTAATAGAGAAATGCTCAGAATATAACCAACCACTATACATAGCCTTCATAGATTACGAGAAGGCGTTTGATTCAGTAGGAATATCAGCCGTCATACAGACACTGCGGAATCAGGGCGTAGATGAAGTATATATAAACATCCTGGAAGAAATCTACAGGGGATCAACTGCTACCATAGTGCTTCATAAAGAAAGCAACAGAATACCAATCAAGAAGGGTGTAAGGCAGGGGGACACAATCTCCCCAATGCTATTTACCGCGTGCTTACAGGAGGTTTACAGAAGCCTAGGATGGGAACAGCTAGGGATAAGAGTTAATGGAGAGTACCTTAGTAACCTGCGCTTCGCCGATGACATTGCATTGCTGAGTAACTCAGGGGACGAATTGCAACTCATGATTACGGAGTTAGACAAGGAGAGCAGAAAGGTGGGTTTTAAAATGAATCTGCAGAAAACGGAAGTAATGTACAGCAACCTTGGAAAAGAGAAGCGCTTCGAGATAGGTAATAGTGCACTTCAAGTTGTAAAAGACTATGTCTATTTAGGCCAGGTCATAACCGCAGAGCCGAACCACGAGATCGAAGTAACTAGAAGAATAAGAATGGGGTGGAGCACATTTGGCAAGCACTCTCAAATTATGACAGGTAAATTGCCACTATCCCTCAAGAGAAAGGTATATAACAGCTGTATCTTGCCGGTACTTAGCTATGGAGCAGAAACCTGGAGACTTACAAAGAGGGTTCAGCTTAAATTGAGGACGACGCAGCGAGCAATGTAAAGAATAATGGTAGGCGTAAAACTTAAGAGACAAGAAGAGAGCAGGGTGGATTAGGAAACAAACGGGGGTTAAGGATATCTTAGCTGGAATCAAGAAGAAGAAATGGACATGGGCTGGGCATGTAGCGCGTAGACAGGATAACTGCTGGTCGTTAAGGGTAACTAACTGGATTCCCAGAGAAGGCAAGCGGGTTAGGGGGAGACAGAAGGTTAGGTGGGCAGATGAGATTAAAAAGTTTGCGGGTATAAATTGGCAGCAGCAAGCACAGGACCGGGTTAACTGGCGGAACATGGGAGAGGCCTTTGTCCTGCAGCGGACGTAGTCAGGCTGATGATGATGATGATTCCTGTTACCTTTAGTCGTCACGTATATTTCGTGTTCCCTTAGGTACTCGGTCCCATTGCTTATCCATACGCCCAGATATTTGTATTTATCTGTTATCTCTAGCGGGACTTCCTGCATCCTAAGCTCACAACCTTCATTATCATTAAAAATCATGACTGCTGATTTTTTCCTTATTGACTCTGAAATGTAACCTATCTCCCTCATTACCGCAGATGTCCATCAATATCTGCAAATCTTCCTGGTTGTCGCCCATTAGCACTATATCAGCTGCGTAAATCAATGCTGGTAGTGCCTGTTCAATGAATTTTCCTTGTTTGACGAAAGAGAGGTTGAAGCCCAGTCCACTTCCCTCTAATTTGGCCTCTATAATCCTTGTAGGTACATCGTGAATAACAAGGGTGACAGAAGACACCCCTGCCTAAGCCCCCGTTTTACCTCTGCGGGCTTGGATACCTGTTTTTCCCTCTTTATAGCTGCTTTGTTACCTTTATAGATTTAATTTAAAAGATTAGTGACTCCATCTTCCACACCTAGTGTGTCCAGTATTCCCCACAAGTCCTCTTGAACCACGCTACCGTACATTCCCGTGATATCCAAAAATGGTAGCCACAGGGGCCTGATTTCCTTTTCTGCTATTTCGATGCACTGCGTCAGTGAGAACAGACTGTCTTCCAACCTCCTGTGTTTCCGAAACCCATTCTGCAGTTCCTCAGCACCTCCTCATACTATGTCCATGCCTGCAGTCTTTCCTTTATAATCTGCATCGCCAGCCTGTGGTGGTGGTGGTAGTGGTTACAATGAAGAGGAAAAAAAGGCACCTAATTTCTGTCTGCCTTCAGGCGACACGGCGCAGTGCCTTATAGGGGTGGGGGGAAGGAGGGATAAAAAGAATAGAAGGAAAGTAGAAGCAGAAGAAGACAGCCAACGAGAGGAAAAAGAAGGAGATAGGAAAGTGGGGATCCGGTCGAAGCAGTCCAAGGGCGGGGTGCCACAATGCGAGAGCTACACGGCGTCAGGAGACCGCGGAGGGCGAACCAGTCGGCGGGAGCTACGCTGAAGTCGGAGATCGCGAGGGCACAACCGTCCAGCTTGAAATCCTGCGAGCGAATCGCCTGTATACGGTAGTTGTTTACGGTAGTTTGGTAGCTTTGTCCCCCTTTCCTTGATAGATCATGCTTATCCCGGCTTATCCTGCTAGGTTTCCACCCATCGGGGACATCACCATCAATTATTGTTTTGCTCACTGCCTCTCTCAAAGCCTGCTTAGACTTCGGGCCTAATGTCTTTATCAGCCTAATTATTTTTATGTCTTTATGTCTTTTATCAGCATAATTGGAAACTGCTGACGCTTTAAACGGCCCCTACCGGCAATTTATTACTCACAACAAACAAAAATTTGCACGAAATATTAATTAGAGTAAACACAATATCATTTGCAAATTTACGTTCTAATAAATTATTGCAATAACACAGTATTGAGTGGAACCATTGGTTCGAATAGTTGCGGATGTCTCCAGCGTAAGCGCTGTCATCGCAACGTTGTTTTTCTGCTGGAGGTTCAACGAGAGCGGCAGAGCCTCAACAAGGTATTTGCGATTGTTATACAAATTGTTTTGCCGTAACCTCGACGTTTCTAGCGAGAGACGATATCGGAAAACTCAGCACAATCACATTCGGAAAAAGAGTTGTACAGGCTGGCTACTCATCGCCAATACGTCACCTTTTCCCGTTGTCTTGCGGCCGGTGTAAAACCGTGCTTTGCTTTCGCTTTCTTTCCAGTTATGGGCTCGTCTGGAAGCACCAGGAGGGTTACAATCGTTAACGAAAACTCCCCAGATGTCATAAAGATATCGGACTCCGTCGTGAAGAGGCTGAAGGGAGAAAGCGACGCGATTTCATCCACAGTGGCCCGCCAGACTGCTGCCGGTGCGCCGTACGAAATGCGGGCCGCCGCGGGAGACAGCCTCCAGGGCCGAAAGTTGAACCACGACGAGCTGAAGAAAGTGGACGACGTCTGGCGAGAACGTTTGAAGGAGGTGGAGCGCCAGAACCAAGAGTTGTACAAGCTGGCGACCGATAAATTCGCCGGTGCCGTTACGCAAGTGGAGGAGCGATACACGCAACATAAATGCACACCCGTGTGCGAGGGGCACCAGCAGAAAGTGATGGATTGTTATGCGAAGAACCAGCGTGCGCCATTAAATTGTTCCAAGCTCGTCGATGCGTTCACAAAGTGTGTTCACGAGGCGAGGAAAGACATTGTAGCTCAGTAAGATGCAAGTTAGGCGCGTCTGATGTCATCTGGGTGACGTTGAATCCTGCCTATATGAATTGATTCGCCTGTTAGAATAATAAAGCTAACATGATAAGCGTTCTCTTGTTTATGAGCTGGCATATGGAATACGGGCCACCGAGTGCGATTGTGTATTGAGCCACTGGTATGAACATGTAGACCAAGTAGCAGTACACCAAACAAATTGTGTTGGTGTGTGTCCAAGAGTGGCTGAGATGTCAAAATTGCGAAGCCCATAGTGCTTCCCTGGAAGTAAATGACGAAGTTACAATAAGAAGCCTTCTTACTGAAGCTAAGGCCATTTCTTCTTTATTCATTTATTTAAAAAATACAGCAGGCCAACTTCACCCGAGCAGAAAGGGCAGTATATGTTAATAAATACAATGACAACTTGGTATTCACAATCGACAAATATTAGACAAAAGTATACTGTAAATGCAGCCTATCAGTCATTGAAAAAGCTATGATAACTGCTTAGTAATTAATTATACACTCGTCAATAATTAATCAAATCCCACATCATCAAGGAAAGGAACCTCAAGGTTTTCAGGAAATATTTCTTTCAGAGCATGGTGTAATAATCTGGAGACTGAACAAAAGTTTGCATCAGTATTACTGAATCTGGAAGTTAATTACTGTGTGTGTAGTTCACTGACAAAAAATATTTTAGATCTTTTACTTTTTTTCAAAAATTCATTGAAACAAATGGGCTCTAGTGCAACCTGCTTGTTCTGATTCAAGATGGTGGTGTGGAAGAACGGTTACTTTCATGTGACAAGCACTTACATCATGAAATTTCATGGGATAAATTTTTCTTATAGAATACAGATAAAATTTCTTGTTTATCAGTCCACATTGAAAATCTGATATTGTATATTTATGAACAATACATGGTACCCTTATGCTGAATCATTTCAAGCTGATTAATATCTTTTAACATGCTACGGTCTCGAATTTACGATCTAATGCATGTGTTGAGAAGGAGCATGATGTAGTCTTCTATTATAACTGTGCAAATCAATAAAGAGGCTGCAGTTTGACAGCACTACTCAACGTAGGCACTGTTGCAGTTAAAAAATTAGGTGCTCAAGTTTCTTTTTATTAAAAACCCTCCATTATGTCTGCTGATATCTCAGCTTTTAGGCAGGGTCGCGACTGAAAACGCAAAACCTGGGTAAATTTCAAGCCTTCAGTAATATCACAACATTATTCAAGGCACAACTTTTTTCTTTCCTTCAGTCTCCACCAAATGAGATTCTGTGACTGGCTGAGCACACAGAAAAACTGTAATATAGGTTTCCTTAAGTGCTAAGGAACTGTCATGCAATATTTGGTATTGCATTTATCAGGTTCTCTGAAATTCTTTCATTTCCATCCAAAGCAATCGTTATGTCGTTCTTTCAATGAATTTGTAAAAGGACTTTTATTAATCAGCCCTATGAACATAGCCTATTTGCTATGTAATAATGTCCCTCATTGGAGCCCTTGCTCAGACAAGAGCTAACTGAAAGGCACAACTTTTTGCACCATGGGTCACAGCCCTGCCCGACTAAGCTTCTTTGCATTGCATACTGTTTCGCGAGGCACCTACGAGCTACTTGCTGGATCACTGCTGGATTACACTGTCCTTGGTGGCACATGCTCGTGAATTAGTTCCAAGGTTCACCTTGGTCGCTCTACATTACCAATCAGCTTTCATTTGTTTGATTGTACATTTAGGCCCAGTGTAATACCAAAGACACATGCATTATGCCTATATTTTTAGGCAAGTAGGCATCGAAATGAAACATAAGCATTGTCATGCCTGAGGTTCTCAATGCAGCGAGTAAATTAATGGTCTGCAGTGTGCCTTCGAGCTCACTCATCTCCAACCTGTACCATCCGGAGTTATTTTAAAAAAAAGCCTTCTCGAAAATTCTAATTTTAAAGTGATTGATTGGATAGGCACATTACATAAATACCCCAAAGAACACTGAAAAATACAGTAAAAACTCATTGCTAATTCAAGCTCGATGGCGACTACAAATTTGTTCACAATTAGCAGATGTGCGCTAGAATAAACGGACATCACATCATACTGCATGGGCAATACTCAAAGAAGCCACCTCAAGACAATCTCACGAATGATACGCTACTACACGCTTGTGACAGATGATTTTGTAAACTAAGTTCCTGGAGCTTCAACAGCTAACAGAAATATTGGATTAGTCATACGCCAGAAACGAGCACGCATTGCATGCATTCATGTCACCAATGAGCCCCAATGTGGGGATATAAGACACTAGTGCACTCCCAAACACTGTTATTCGCATGCAAAGTTAACAAAATTAAAATTACAAGTGATAAGTAATTTGCATTCACTTGTGCTTCTTTCGTCATGATTGCATTGACATTTTTTGCAGCTTACCCAAGAGCTTCATGGCAGCGTCCAAGTTGTCATCTGCCAACAAATGCTGATATTTTGGTGTTCTGCATTTTTAGTAAATTTGGTTGGGTTTGGTTTTGCAACACACTTTAATCACTGTGGGCCGACGTCTACGAGGAGCGATGAAAAAAAAAGGGCTCCAAGTTCAAATTAACAAGCTTTTACTGTTATCGCTATAACCTACATAAGCATTTAATTCGAGAGGCAGTTTGCTTCACCACACTGTGTGAGTGCATGCATGTGTGAGTGTTAAAATAGCAGGGAGTTTCTTAGATTTCACAACATGCAGTAATAGGTTTTTTGTTTGTTTAAGTGGAATGTTTTTTTTTGCTCTTTTTCTGACTATTCTGTTCAAATGGCGCTGCTAAGCATGATAGAAAGTGAAATTATAGCTTTTTGTTTGTGTATAGCCTCAGAGTGAGACCAATCATATTTGAAGAGCTACAGCAAAGCAGCAGCCACAAATGAATCTTGCAGGAACAAAAGAAGTTTTTTTTTACAGTTGTGATAAAGTACCCATTGCCCATACAAACCAACATTGTGCATTAGAAAGTGTGCAAAAGTATCTGGCTTATGTATTGAAGCTACAGTTCAGTCAATGGATAATGATGAAAAATATCTAAAGAAATCATTATCTTATTGACGTGCGACAAATGTAGGGCTGAATAACTTCAATACTGTACTCTAATTCCATGACTACCAGCACTTTTTGTGCCACGCTGAACTTTAGAGATGCTGAGTTGATAAATTGTGCTATACAATGATGGTAAGCCTCTGTGGATTTGCAACATTAAACTTAATCAATCTTATAGCTATTAGACATTAATAATCCATCTCTCTCTAGTGGTGCAAGAATCTATGGTTGCCTTGCAGTCAATGAACACTGTATGTTTTGTTCAATATGTCAACTGCTTTTAATCGCTGAAAATCTTTCCTGGTTTTCTCATATTCAAACGCATCTGTATATGCGCATCTGTAACAAGTAACCAAAGCTACGTAATATTGTCACAAAGGCACAGGGACGCAGGCACAAAAGCAGCGCGTTTACTTTCGTGACCAAAGGCCAAAAGCACGGAACACCAGAGCACACGCCCACAGAAGCACTTCGTTATGCTCTTCAAAGGCCGCCCAGAGTAGTTGCCAGCCTACCTTGCGTCAATTCCCCCTTTCAAGAGCGACCATCCCAGTCGATTGCTAGAGATGGCCATGAAAAAAGATGGTCACGTCAACGAAAAAAAAAAAAACAACATAAGCTCGCGCTGTTTTGTATAATAAAAAAAAGTTCGAAGTGTTCGCAATTCGCGAGCGTGGTATGGTTTCATCCGTACTACATGGACTACTTCTGGACGTGGACGTCTTCGGTTTAAACTGGTATCGGAGCTTCTGGGAACTACTTCGTAATTCACGTCACTGAGGCAGCGCACAACCTCATAAGGGCCAAAGTAGCGTCGCAATAGCTTCTCTGAAAGCCCACGATGTCGAACTGGTGTCCACACCCATACGTAGTCACCTGGTTGATAGTGGATGTTCCTTCGGCCTTGGTTGTAACAACGAGCGTCGATATCTTGCTGCGTGCGAATGCGGTTCCGTGCAAGCTGGTGGGCTTCCTCGGCTTTCTCAACGAAGTCGTCAACGCTGTCATTTGCGCTGGTGTCCTGGTCTACAGGAAGCATAGCTTCTAGCGGTGTTGTGACGCGAGGCCCATAAACAAGCTCGAATGGTGTTAGGTGGTGTTTGGTTCATGGTCCTCTGACCTTCAGGCAGCAAACCGTGCTGTGGGAGCCCCTGGAGACGACGGCTGGAACATAAGTGCACAGGGGTAAACTCGGCTGAGCTACTCGATGGGCTTGCTTCAGGGGTGCTCTCTGGGGACCGTATCATCTACCGTACCCCGCACCTCCACCAGAAAATGTCACAAAGGCATAGGGACGCAGGCACAAAAGCAGGGCGTTTACTTTCGTGACCAAAGGCCAAAAGCACGAAAACCAGAGCACGCGCCCACAGAAGCACTTCGTTATCCTCCTCAAAGGCTGGCCACAATAGTTGCCAGCCTACCTTTTGTCAATATGATATTAAAACGACACAATAAGGCACTTACTTTCCCAGAGTTTCAGGTTTAGTGCCCTAGCTTAGTTGGCCTCATCAGTAAAGTACGACTTTCAGCAGGACTATCATGAGATTGATTAAATCACGTGTCTCCGTACAATCGGCACAGTGCCAGACTGATATACACGGCCCAACATTCAGCTCATCTCGCGAAAGAGAAAGTATTGCCAAAGCTGAGAATGCTGCCCCCATTATGTGCTACTATCTACAGAATCGGCCCGCTCAAGTCAGCACGCCAATCCTGTAAACAGTGAGGTACATCTAACACATAAATGAAATAATTATGAAAACAAAAAGTTTAAGAGTCTTTTATTTGTTGACATAGGCACTGACATAAATCAGTACACACAACAGTATAAAGCAACTTCTTGAACAGCAAGGGCTCTTTTTGAGTGCAGAATCTTCTAAAAAAAAACAAAACTATCAATAGACATTGGTGAAGAAAGTTACAGTGCAAAAAATGCTTGCTGTTCATCTCTCTCTCTCTCTTTCTTTTTTAGGCAGCTTTAAAACACATGCTGGCCTTGACATCATGCAACTGGAACTAATGCTTCCATTCTTTAGCCCAGATTACAAAAGTGGTAGCAGTACAGAATGCCAACGACAATTTATGGCATCAGACACAATTCAGTAGCAACTTATCCCTTGGGGAACTTGTAACATTTGATGTTCACCTTTTCATTGTTGCCTTATGTGTTCTGCTCCACAATAAACATTCACTAAACTTGGCTTCCAGGAAGGCCAAGTGGCGAGTCAAAATTATTAAACATTAGGTGACATTTTTCACACAGAAAATTGCCTTGTCAGTCAAACAGGCACATTTGATTTGTCTTCTATCAATAAATTGACACAAGCAAAAAATCACAGGGATAGTCCATGGACATAATTTTAGATGCTAAGGACAACTGATAAAAACGTAGCAAAAAAGTGAGGCTGGGGGTAATTCCATCAATACTTTTTCGTATAAATTCTTACTTGATAGAGCTAATGAGGTAGTCTTTTATAACGTAGCAAGTAAAATTTTTTTTATGAAAAGTGAACACTATTATACCACTGCTCATCATTGCAGACCTTCATTAGGCAGATCCCAGGAACAAAACACCGGTTTGGGAAGTTTACTGTATTTCACAGAAAACATGCTTTTAGCACATGCAAGAGCACCTGCTTGCTGTTCTTGCCACAGTGTTAGCATGAGCTTCCGTTTTAAGATATTTGTCACTTGCCTTTAGCACCTCAATAACTTGCAACTAAGGCTGCATTAAGCTTCGTGTATAGCTGCATAAAGACCGTAGATCCGCTGAACACTGCCACCAAAAGTTGCATCAAGATTACTGAACGGCACAGTGCTCTAAAAAAATCTTATTCACAACTTAAATCACTGCTTGCACTTCCTATTTTTATATACTACTACACGAAATAGGGTTGCAAAATATTATCTCTATTTAGTGTTCAACATAAGCATTATAGTGTAAAAAACATCATCAGAAAGCAGCAGCCAAGAAGTTTCTCAGTTGAAGTGATTCAGTCTGCACTGAATTCTTCACAGACTACAGTTAAGAGATCAAGTTGGCATAGCCTTATCATTGTAGTGGTCTAAAAGGAGAAAACAGTGACACAACAAGGAATGTTACTGCCATGATTAAAAAAAAACATATGCATAGAATGAATTCATCTTAGCTGAGTCATTCAAGAAATGGCATTCGAAAAATGCTCTACTATGATAGCTGCTCGAGTTTTCCTAGACCTCTACGAGAAAGCAGCTATGTATTTTATGATATCCCAGCTCCATTGCGTGATGAAGATTAAGAAGGGAATAACAGCCACAAGAATAAATAGTGTTTTCATTTAGTCCGGTGTGTGCATCTTTTTTTGGTGCACAGGTAAAAGGGAATCGAGGCGTATTGATAAATATGTTTCCAATAATGTGACGCTTGTCCTTCATTGGAGTGTGTGTTCACCGGCAGTTGCTTACAAGTTGAAAGCTAAAGCATGTAGATCAACGTAAATACACTACATCTGAGCATGACATCACAGCACCTGAAATCGCAATATGATGCACACAATCTAGCAGCTGTGCGTATAGCTATTCATACATTGTGAAAATACGCTTATGGGTCACAGGTTGGCTTGACACACTCTAGTCCCCTCACTTTCTGTATGTTCAAAACAGTGATGTTGACAGAAAGTGTATGTCGAAGCCTAAAGAAAATGCGCCTTAAAAGTTGCAATACAAACCTGTCTATCAATAAACCGCTATACATTAATATCTTTACAATGGCATCTGGTCACACATAATGCACTGCAGTGCAAGCAAAATGAAGAAAAGGACCAGATATATATGTGCGTATGCAATAGGCAGAAGGGCTAGAGAAACGTCGATACATACAACTAAATCTCAACAAGAGCAAGAAGAATCTGAATACGATCGATCATTGGCATGACGTAGCAGTACAGAGCGGGAGCGCTCCTCGGCCTGCCAGTGTGATGGCGTCATCATGGGCTTGCTGTTCTTTAGCTTGTGGGCAAGGGTCATGAAGATGGCCTCTATATGATCTGACTCACTCTCATCCATGGCTGAAGTCTCAAAGAGTGGCATGTTGTGCATATCAGCAAACTTCTGAGCCATGTTGGTGCTCACCGCAGCCTGCGAAATGACCAGAAAGTAGTGCACTAAGAAAAACAGTGAGTCGTGTCTTTAACACTTTCCTGACCACACCTGCATAGCTTTGATCACTTCTAAGATATGGAAGTGTAGACTTGCTTTCAAGTCTCAACCTATTTCCCGAGTTTGCTACACTAATCTTGTAAACAGCTTTCAAACTACCATTTTCGATTTCTATGAAGGCATTCTTGATCGTGATTGGCACTTAGGTGCATTCAGAACTGGCAGTGTGTCAGTGTTGGAGATGGACAAGGCCACGGACAAGCACCAGAAATGCAAGGAGCACTGCCACATAATGACACATATATAGAGCACAAAATGTGCTGTGAAACAGCTGCATTGGATATTTTTTGCAAAACCCACTGCTTTGCCCAGTAATGCATCAAGTGTGAAAGCTGAGTTGATTTATGATTGCTCAAGAAGTTTTTGAGATAGAACATTTCACACACAGTAACATTTAAATTGTTCCTTCTTCTCTCTTTCTTTATGAGGTGAAGGCATGCCTTTATCCAGCACAAGGCAATTAAAAAATTAGTATTCGATAAAATGATATCACAACATTATTCAAGGCACAACTTTTTTTCTTTTCTTGCCTGAAGGAATGTTTATTTAGCTTCATTTTGATGAACAACTTAGTTTTTAAACTCAACAGGAACAAAGCTCTGACCAAAGTAAGCATAAAATAGGCATCTTTCATATAATCATCAAGAAGGAACCTTCTTAATTATGATGCAGATAACCATGGCTGTAATACCTGTCACAAGCTGAAATATAGAATGACAAACACGGACAGCTTGCGAATTGAGAATACCAATGCTTGTTGTAAAACAAAGCCCTATACACACCATCCTGAGCAGTTCTCACCACTGTCTAATACATGTCAGTCTGCAGAAATTTCAAGTGCTGATGTTAGCCTTGAAACATATCTAATCTGCCTCCTCCTAAAGGTGTCCCTGGCACATGGACCGTGACACAGTGGGGGACACGAGTTTATTTATTACTCATGTGGAAGGTTGTGGGGAGGAAAAGGCAACACTGTGTTGCTTCTTGTACAGTGCATCGGCGTACAGGTTGAGACGATGGTGTGGAAGGTGCTGGCATTGCATTACCTAAATATATGATTCATTTACTTCTTTCTGATGTTACATTCAATGCCATGAGTGGGATGCTTGTACATGCAAGGGAACATGAACTGCTTTATTGCCTATAGGCCATCTTTAGTGACCGAATAATTTTTTAAATTCTTTATTGTTTGTGTCCTTCATCATTGGCTCACATGATTGCACACTTACTATCGCATTGATCAATCATTTATAATAACAACGATGAAATGCGAAGAGACAAAAGCAAAATAATTTTTACAAAATAAGACCCAATGTTCTACAGTCCAATCACGTTGTAGTGTCTTGCACCTTTGAAGATAAAAACAACAACAAATGCAAGCATTCGCGCCTATAGCTGTGCATCTGCTAATGACTGCAGTATAACCTCGTTATAACCAAGTTGCGTAAAACAGTAAAATATCTTTGCTACATCTTAAATCTATCATTAATCCACTTACAATGCAAAATATATAAGGGAAAGCATATAAGGAAGTACATGCAATATTACAGGCTGTTGTCTGTTTCCTTGGATACACAATTCTCAGCTAGCTGAGCAAGCAATTTGAAAAGTGACCAATACCAAACTACAAATGTGCTTAGCACTAATGTCAATACGAAACTCTGCCACAGGCCTGATTGGACCAGACTGAAATGTTGGCCAAAATGCATGCGCATGTACAATGTGGTGTTTTTATGTTGTTCTTGCAAAGTGTTTGACACCTCTGCTACTGAACTACATATCTCAGGCTTCAAAGCAAAAAACAAATGATTGCTTCCTTAAAACTGTTATCGTATCTCCCAAACAGTGCCCGTGTCGTGGGCACCCTTAGTCCCTGATGCGTTCTTGTGCCGTTTTCAATGGTACTTATTCATACCAACAAGCGCAGATAGATAATTTAGGTGTTTCAGCATAAAAGTATGATGACAACAAAATGACAGGACAAGTACTCACTGTAGGTGCTCGTTCTTTCATTTTCTCATCTCCATCAAAAATGTTTTTTGTGCCAATTCATTTTTCTATCCTTTTGCAATGCCAGCTAACCACCCCTATGAAGCTTGTATTTGGCATTTTTGGTTTTGTTAGTACCAATGCAAACTGTATCAAAGGTAAGATGGCACTTTTTACTTCACTATGGCAATACCGCGCTTCAACAAAAAGCACTCTATAGACACAATTAGTATATCCAGCATGAGCACTGTGGTGCGAAGAAACTCGTAGCCTACCTTGTCCTTGCAATCGCACTTATTACCAACAAGGATTCGGGGAATCTCCGAGGTGAGCTGGTGCTCGTCACATTCCTCGACCCATAGGGGCAGGCTCTGGTAGGATGCCATTCTCGTGACATCATAGACGAACACCACAGCGTGCACATTGCGGTAGTAGTGCTGCACCATGCTTTTGCGAAACCGCTCCTGGCCAGCTGTGTCCCATAGCTGAAGCTGCATTCAAACAGCGAATGCAAATGTGCACAGAAGTCTCGCTATATAAAATTTCACTTCTGCGTAGCAACACCAAGGAAGTTAATGCTAACGTGGGCAATTTTCGCAGGCGACATATCATCGTACACATTTGCTGGGTTGAAATATCAAATGGCACAGACATTTGCTAACAACAATTGAAATTACGAGGCATCGCACGAGATGTAGGAACGTTTAATAAAACAAACAGCAGCACATTAGGGTACAGCGACCACACATTTGATTGCGGGTTCTTAATGTTTAAGGACATCATGCACATGCAAAAAGCCATAAAATTGGCAACTGTCAGGTTTTGTAGCATGCATAAAGGCCGAAAAGAGCTAGCGCAGCGTGTGAAGTATTTGTAATCGAAGTCACAATGCTAGCCAACCAAAATATGAAAATTCACACGGGGCACTTTCGATCGCGGTCCAACCCGATCTATATCGAACTTGTCTGTGGTAAAGTTCTCTGATCAAGCAGCGGGAAGGTGTAAGTCCCGATCGAAATTTCCGTGCGTGCTTTGGGGTACTGTCATTCTTTGGCCAGAGCAGCTAGTCCCAGTACCAGGTGAGAGCTGGTTTAAATAAAATAAGAGCAAAATGATCAGCCTGCCGCGTATGTGTGCTAGATATAAATATTGCAAACGGCAATCATATGAGCAGACAAACACAAACAGCAGCATTGTTCGTACGTATTAGGAACTCTTGACAACACACAAGTATTTTCGCGCACGAGAGGCATTCTGAGAGCGAGGAAAACGCAAACACCGAGGAAGCGGAAAAATCATGGCACCGAAAAATTGCGCAGCCGCGCATACATTGCAGGAAGTATTTAATGTGTGCGTACCTTAATCTGTTCACCATCCACTTCGACTGTCCTTTCGCGAAAGTCGACTCCAATAGTAGCCTCCGTTTTGGCAGGAAACTTTCCGCAACAAAAACGGTATGTCAGACATGTCTTTCCGACATTGGTGTCTCCGATGACGATTATCTTGAAAATGCGCTTCTGCTTCTCCACGCTCACTCTGTTCGGAGATCCTGCGGGCGATTTCTCTTCCATGCTCCGGCCGTTGAAGTCCTTACGTAACCAGGTAGCTCGGCGTTTTCCCTGTCGCTCCGGTGTTCGCACCAAAACAAACGCAGCTGCTCAGACGCGCCCCGACACATCAATTTTAGCGAGAATATGCGCTATGCAGCTGGCCGGTGCGAAGCACGAGCGATCCACAAAATAACAATAGCTGCTGTCGTCCGCTCAGGTCAGGGAAACACACAAGCGTAAGACGTGTCAAACGGCACCTTTGTCACAAGAGCATCGGTTTCGATATCCATCGCGAGGCAATTGAGACGCCATGTTTCATTACGGTCTGACTGATGATGATTAACAATGAGACGATCATAATAATTTTTAACTGCTTCGACGCAATGCAAAGCAAAGTGAAACCAATATATAACAATAAAAATGTACGAGTGAATAAATTTATTGTAACATATCAGCAAAGCGGGTTCGAGGATACTATGGCAATGCCGTGCATCCGCCATTCACGCATTTTACCACGCGGTTCTGACACGAGTGTTATCGGAAGGAGTTCTCAGTGAAATTCCCCGGTTCCTCTCTTGGCTCCGGGATGTCTCCCAGCCAACCGCTACCACCAAAAGAGAATGCCCTATTTAAAAGAATATTGGTGAGTATTGACTCGTTTTGCCCAGCAGTGCGCGCTTGAACAACAGTCTAAGCCTACTTACACAATCCCAGTGCACGGCACTTCCGCGCGATTTATGGTTTTTGCGGTGCATTACTCCGCTTAAGCTGTAGGAAAGCCAAGCGTCGAACTGAACACCCAAAATCTGCGCCGGTTTTAGTGTGACTGCACTGTTTGCAACTTGAAATTCGAAGAGTCGTCTCCGTTCAACCGGCGTCATCCGATAGCTGTGATCGAACTGAAATTCAAATAATTGGTCGCACTCTTTTCCTGTTTTTCTCGTCTCCTGTTGAATAAAAACGTGTGATCGTTGGCTGTTTCTTTCAGAAATGCTACGAACATAAACAATACAAGAATGGGCTAAAATTTGCTAAGCAGATTTTAACCAACCCGAAGTTCGCGGACCATGGAGGTGGGTGTGCAATTCCTTTTAAAGCAAGGGCGCGTATTCTTTTCGGAATAGCTGCCTTGTTGAGTAGCCAAGTTGTGCTAATCTTGTCGACTAATTTAAGATAGTACTCTTATTTGCTTCCGTTTTGCGTATGGTTTTCTTTAGAGAACAAAAAAATCGACCTGATTGCTGTTTCTCTGCAAGTGTTATCAGCTAGGGGTTACGTTCCCAGCTACGTTTTTTTCCAACTTGAAGTGGGATAGCTCAACGCAGTAGAGACATAACATCATTTTTTAATGTTTAGATTGACGTTTTGAACGACTTATTGCGCGATGCATGCCGCTGCCGGTCCTAAGGGTGTGTCGGTGTAGGATGTACGGTAACCGTTATTCCATGGTATTTTCGTTCCATCAGAAACGTTGGCTATGAAAGGGCTGACCCTGAACTGCCTAGGAAGGAAAGACGAAGCTTATGAATATGTTCGCAAAGGGCTCCGGAACGACCTCAAGAGTCATGTGTGTATCCTTTGGTGCGAGTCGCGGGCGCCGGTTCGCTGCATGGCGGTGAAACGAAACTTGAGGGGCTGTTGTCATGCATTGTTCAAATGACTTGATGGCCGAACAAAAATTTTAACTTAGTCTGCGCAATCGCTAGTTTTCTTAACGAGCATTGATTGCTGAATGAGTGCAATGTATTGTACATTTTGGGATGGTTAAACGGTGTGCTTCTAAACGAGCCTTCGTGCTCGATCATCAGTGTATTGCGAATGTTTACTATTAGCATTAGTGGCCTGAAAGGATAGCAGATTAGTACCAGTTGCAAGGCTGACCATTTAAGGGCCATTGACGAACTTTGGTCATAGCACTCCCTTCTCCTTTTTATATATATATGCCCGCATCTGTTACAGCTACATCACTTTGTTTGTGAACATGGAAGTAGTGGCACAAAGCAAGCATTTCATAGCAAAGTAAACTGCATTTCGAAAATGGACGAGGATAAATCATAGTGTTTTTTTTTTTGCTGTATAGAACTTAATTGGAAAGTTATATCAAAATTGTGTAATTCCTCTCTTGATGTCTGCCTAGGTCATGCACTCCTGAAGCCAGCGCATGACAATTATGTAGGTGCAGCAGGGTTATGCAGATCAAATGAGTTTCATTTATGCTGTGGGAAGAATATGTGCCTATAAAGTATTATTAAGGCACGTGGAACAGATGGAGTATGCCGCCAGAATATTCGCAGCTATATTCAGACTAAAAGATAACTTACAAACTTTGCAGTTATTTTCTGCATCAGCTGAGCTGCACCACTGTAGCACCAGTGAAGGTTCGTATAGCTTTGTGGTTCCTCTAACCTGTCTAATGTGAGCTTGAATGCTTTTTATGCCGTTTCTCTGTCAGGTGCGGTTGTGGAATGCGTCTTGTCAGCAGCTAAAAGAAGAGTGGCAGTATAAGGATTTGGATGCTGGAACTGATGCACAATATAGATGAGATTGGCAATCATGCACATGGTCACAGCACTGTCTGAATTGAACTCATTGGTGCAGTCAGATTGTAGAACTTGCTTAAAGCTGAATCTGTTAGGAGGTGAACTTGAATCTGTGCTCAACTATCATAAGATGGTCCAGAAACTCTGAATAACTTATCTGCTGATTACATGCTTTTGCCGTGATTTGGCCTAGCCGACCCATGCCTGTATTCGTCTGTGGGCTGTATTGGTGGTCGAGCCATCATGGGAATGCCATATAAAAGGCTACAAAGGCTGGTTCTTGACAACCGGTGTTTGAAAAATGGTTTTTGACTACCACTGATTGGAAAATCCGCAAACACGGTGGATGTGGCATTGTTCAGTGTGAATAACATTGCAAACCGTTCGCGGCAGCGGTGGTATCGTTTTGATTGGAGTACGGTGCAAAGCGTGGACGTGGGTACAAATTGAAGAGCCTTAAGTGAGCAAAACTGATTTGGAGGCCTTCTCAGTGGAGTCCCTCATAGTTCATGTGCCACTTTGGAGAGTTCAACCCCATGATATCACTTATCAAGCATCGGGCAGTGTTATCTAAACTGACACTAACTGTACAAAGCAACTCGGGCATTGGTAACAGATTTCCTAACTGGCAGTCGAAGGAGCCTCAGCTGTGCAGACTGTTTATGAGCTCATTGTTTTACTCGCCATGGTAGGCTAGTCGCTGTGCAGTTCGCAGCACGAGTGTCACTTTAACTGCCACATTCTTGTGGCTGTAAAATGCCAAATGTATATGTACATTAGGAGAAAGATAAAGAACTTAATGTTGCAAAATTAAAATAAAAAAACAGGGGAGGGGTTATTAACTTTTAAGAGCAGTGTTGTTTGTCATTCTGCTTAGCTTTACAACTAGAGTTACGCGTAAAGTTGTGCATATAGCAAAATTTTGGGTGCAAAAGGAATTTGAATATTTTTCTAATCCTTTGACGTGAAATTACTGAATAAATGTTCCAAAAGATCCCTAAGCATATATTCACGAGATAAAAACATGAAAGTGTTTCTTTTGACCAGTTTAATGAAGTGCTGGAGGAGTGTGCTTCCTAGTTGTCTTTAAAGGAGTGAGGTGACTTGGAGGCCAAATTGTGTTATGTTACATGAGTTGATACAACCAAAGTGCACAGTTAAAGACTCTTTTTACACATCAGAGGAAACGGCACTTTTTTCTCGACTTCTCCTACTTCAACTTCTGTGAAGGCGGTAGTTTAACAAGTGCAGCAGAAAAGGGCATATCTTTTCGATTCGGGAGTTCCTCATTTGCTAAACGTCTTTCTCTCTCCTTCTCCATCTCTGCAATAGTTTCTGCGGCAGTTGTTGGTGCCAATGCCATGCTCAGAGGACAAATGAATAAGTCTCTGTATATTGCAAAGAATTGTTAAGTTTCCTGTGATCGTATTTTCAGCAGTTAGTAGTCATTGTTTCTCTCCAGTTCTTCTTGTATCATTACAACCCCATTCTTTGGATTTGAACACATTTATACAAGGATATGGCAAATGGACCAGCTGAAGTTTCTGAAAAGTAGAGGTGTGTCGTTGTGATGCTCCAGCCAATTGGCATTTGATAAACGGTACTCACTGGCAACAACTGAGTGCTTTAGGCCTCCTACATTCAAAACATTGTTGAACACTTTGCCTGCCTTGCCACATTGACACGGCTGGTGACTACACAGCAGCACCTACACTTTTATAGAAAACCAGCAGTGCAGGATCATCAAAGATTACTGGCAGGACGAAAACAGCCACACTGGGATTTTTTATGCGTATTCAAGCCACCTATTAGCACAACTAGTGCAACTTAATTCCATTTATTGAAAGTCTTGCCCTTTGTTACAACCAAGAACAGGTACTTAACAGCAGGTACGTTATCATCTTAAGCAAAACTTTGCATTTTAACATCGAAGTCTAGGAAACACTACCTCCAGCAGCAACAATACGCACATGGATCTCCTTACCACCGCCACAATTGCCAGTGTTGACAAACTTCACAGCATACCCCCGCCCCCCCTCTCTCTCTGATTTTAGTGTAGGTATGAATTGCCTTCATTGAGTTTTGTGGGGACAATTTTTTTTGTATAATGACTATAGTTGTTGATGGTCGTGAAAGGGTTGAGAGGATCACTGAATGAAAGGAACTGTCAGCAGAATGAATTTCACTTTTTATGGAGGTGAGTTTTGTTTGCCCTTTCGCTGATCAGCAACATAGCGGCATCCTATAGTTTTAAAAGATCTTGTAAGTGCACAAAGGCATTTATATTTAAAGCTTTTTACAACTTGGTGTGCAATTACATCCGATGAAGTACTATATAAGCACATGCCACGCTTTGCTCTTTTACGCTGCACTCCTGCTAGTCTGTGCATAGTGATCAAGCTGCCTGTGTGTGACTGCCGTCAACCTTTCAAGAAGCCAAAGTTCACTAGGTGAATGAGGTTTACGCTCATCATTTAAAAATGTTACTTTTATTTTTTTTTTTATTAATTTTAAGTGAATTATTTATTTTCTATAAGTCAAACTCTAGAAATAGTTAAATTCCAAAGTAAACCAATAGCTAACATAATTCTAAAAAATATTCAGACTTTCAATATGCACGCACTCCAATTTAAAGCAAGTGGGTGTCTATTAGTATGCAGTTTTACATTCATTTGCAGTAAACTTATAATTCTGCTTGTATGCCCAACTTTATCCTTTGTTAATGTCTGTATAACATGAGTGTGATTAGGTTCATGTCATGCAACATCCAAATCAAGATAAAAGTAGCTCACACGTATTCTGTTTTTGTGAGCTAGTGTCTTGGCCCCATCTCTTGTGTTCCTTGACATGAGACCCTTTGAAGGCTGGCACGTGTATGGCTTACTACAGAGGTCTGACCGGAAATATGATGAAGCCATCAAGTGCTACAGGAATGCTCTCAAGTGGGACAAAGTAAGTTATCCTTACTGCTAATGTGGTGGTGCACGCCTTTCTGGGCAACTCTTGATATCAAAGCCTGGTAGCTGGTTCAGTAATCATGTCATAGTTGTCACTTGTAAATCCATATGGTGCATGTATGAAGGAGGGGTATCAATTTAATGGTGGGTATCATAAGATGGATTCACAGTTCCTGTAGAATTGGTAAGTCTTTTGGTGCAGTTCTAATAGTGGAGGATTTAGTTCTGTGGACTTGCCCTGTGTCCTTGAGTTTCATTGGCTTCTCTGTAATGTAACACAGTGTTCGCTTCATTTAAAAAATATTGCTTTAGTTGAGAAATCAGGTTAATGTGAAAACATGCTTCTTTTTTTAGAAAAAATAGAAATATGATGAATAAGACCCTGGTCCACTCTTGGCAACAGTATTTTTATTTAGGATATTGCCATAATGATTGAGCTAGCTGCCGTTCTCCTTGCAGCAAGTTTTCATAGTTTCGTTTTCTAGCCCCGCCGTGGTGGTCTAGTGGCTAAGGTACTCGGCTGCTGACCTGCTGGTCTCGGGACCGAATCCCAGCTGCGGTTGCTGCATTTTCGATGGGGGCGAAAATGCTGTAGGCCCGTGTGCTCAGATTTGTGTGCACGTTAAGAACCCCAGGTGGTCGAAGTTTCTGGAGTCCTCTACTATGGCGTCTCTCATAATCATATGCTGGTTTTGGGACGTTAAACCCCCCTTGTATAAACCTTCCTGCAATGGCTACTGTTGGCACAAGATTATCGATTCAGCACTCTGCATGGTTGCAAGTGCTCAAGGTTTCCTCAGCTACTTGTGGCTACTTTATACACATCACACACCCATTTTCATTCTTGAAGCTCAATGTGCTAGGCAGTGTCGATGGCCAGCTGACGGAAGAACACTGTTGCACTCAAGGACAACCCAGCCGAGTGCTTTAACAGTCAACAGAGGTCCCACTGATCTATGTGACGGAATTCTTCTTGTGAAGCGCACTGTTCATCGACATCTCTTTAATACACCGTCCCTCACTTCTCCCAACAATGCAGTACCTTCCCAGCTGCCGAAGCACAATTTTGTGCAGATTTGGAGCACCTGCCTTTGGTGTGTTCTCAGGGACGACTACTTCAGAGGATTTCGGTCATACCACAGTTTCCAGTTGTCGAACGCTGTGCCATACCCCCTTGCCTAGTCTGGCCCTCTGTTTCTTTTCTGCCTGCTGCAGACACAGCGGCAGTAGTCGGACTGATTGCCGCTATCTGGCTTGCTCACTATGTTCACTCGCAGGCAAATATGTTATGGATTCACGTTTTATGCACGACACTCTGCTCTGAAAGTCTGTGCAGCTGGTTCTCATAGGCTGTCTTTGCTGCGGCCTCCGTCGCATTAAAAGACAATCATTCCATCTCTCCTTGGAAAGCTTTCACTGTTGTGTAATGGTGTGCTCCCACAGCAGGCCTGCCTCTATTTTACTGGCGCCTCTCCGAAAACTCCTGCATCTCTAAAGACAGGCACAGTTTATTGAGGTAGTAGGCAGTACCTGGCACTTCCACCATACAGTGGTCACATCACATCACAGGGGCCATAATACCACGACCTCGAGCGTAGTACCCACCTTAAATGAGGCTGCTTTTCCTCTTGGCTCTTTTGAACATGATGAGAAATTGTCTGTGTTCATTGTCACTCTAATATCCACTTATTTCATTATTGCTTTGAGGTATATGTATTAATTGACCTGTGTGCTCAATTTTATGTATGGTTCCATCGCGATTCATTTCATGGGGTGGGAACATAGCCAGAGAAGCCTCATTTTCCTTCTACATTATCAACTGTGTCATTGGGGGAGCATTATTGTTTTCGAATATGCTGTAATCCTCTTTTTAGTGTAACAAAATCGTCGACGTCTGAATGATTTTGCAAGGTATTGGTATGACTTTAAATTAAGCAGCAACTTCCTTGCACCCGTATGATTGACTGTCAGGTTGATTCTATAACTCATGTTGCTTTTATGCGCTCTTTTTTTTTTTTTCACAGGATAATATACAGATTCTTCGCGATTTGTCACTGCTTCAAATCCAAATGCGTGATTTGGAAGGATATAGGGTAAGCAGTTATTTTCTGTGCAGAAGTGAGTTGTATGGTTCTAGGTGAGTTCAGAATGCATTTATGTTATTGCAACATCTTGTGTTAAAAAGAGAATTCATAGGTTTCTGTGAAGCAACTGTGCAAAAAGGTATGTTTGCCTTCACTAAGCAATAGCTTTGGCATAGTGCACACATGCACTATTGTGTGCGACATGTAAGTGTAACATTGCTCAAAGGACTGCGTTCTGCATTACTGGCGGCAGCTTCTCTTCACACTGTTGTTTGGAATCTGATGTGTATAACGTGTGAGCGGACCTCTAATGGAAACCATGTAGTTGCGCATTGCTTTGACAAGTGTCTTCATTGCATCTCTCTAGTGAGTTGCAAATGGTGAGCATATGCAAGGTGGAGAACAAATGATTAAGGCATGATGGGAACGGAAGCTTGCCATCACAATGTTTTGTTGTGGCGAGTGTCTACAGCTGTACTATTATTGCAAAAATTATAAATTCTTGCTGTTGTTTCACTGATGGCATCTCTTGAGTAGCTTGTGTTAGCAGAAACTGGAAGTGCATGGCAGACTTGCTTTATCTTGTCTGTGATAGCATTCCTATGAACAACAGCAACATGTAATTGGGAATTCTCTTTCAGGACACTAGGTACCAATTATTCATGTTGCGGCCGACTCAGAGGGCATCGTGGATTGGATTCTCGATGTCCTATCACTTGCTTAAAGATTATGATATGGCGCTCAAGATATTGGAAGAGTTTAGGAAAACACAAACGGTAAGTGTAATTCTGTCATGCATTGTTATTGGCTTTGATACTTTAACTGCGGGATTGGAGTGCTCTGTGCTATGTAGCTGTCTCATGGGTTTACCTAAAAGGGTGGTGCCATCAAATTTCAAGGCTATAACAAGCCTGTTGTGGCTTTCCTCTGTATGAGAGGGCGTTCCAAACGAAGGTTTGGACACGGCAACATTTGGAATATATTTTAATTCGCTTCCAATGTGTACCTAATTACTCATTGCATCGATGGAGACCCATCGCTAGCGTGCCAACACTGATGTAGCTCTGTAGGAGAGGTAATGAAAGTTACTCCTCCTACAGGGCTACATCAGTGGAGGAGGAGCAATGAGAGCTGCCCCTCCTAGTGTCAATAATATTCTTGTTAAACCTTTTTGTCCTTTCTCCCAAGAGTCTTTCAAGGGTGTCAAATTCGTGGATAAAGTTTATTCCTAGGGGTTTTTCTGCTAGTGGGTTATATGCTTCAAAATGTGGCATAGCGCTAACAAATTGACAAGGAAAAGATGACAGGACGAGTGCCTATCCTGTGTTCTCATCAATGTGTTAGCGCTGTGCCACCTAGTTGATGAGCTAAAGGTTGGTGGGGATTACACTGGTGAAAGCAGCATGCCCAGATTGCACTATATGCATGAGTCCCTCTTGTAGTATTTCAGCAGCGCAGCTCAAGTGCTCATGCATGGGGCGGCAGTGCACTGTGCTCTACCAAACACCAGCCTTTGAGGTTGAAGGCACCTTGATGGTTCTACAAGATTAGGCACAAGCCTGCTGTGACTGCCTATGAGTACTGAGCACAGTGATCCACAGTCGGGGTTGATAGCTCGATAGCTCCTGGACACCTACCGGGACCTGTGGGAGACCCAGTAACTTTTTGTCAAGATTTGTTTTGGCAGTATTCACTGTTGAGGCATAGAGGAACTCTATAAGTATAAGCTGTCCTGTGTCTTTCTGAAGAAGTCCAAAATCAAAGATGCTTGTGGTTTATAGTTTGTGGCTTGTGTAACAATACCTAATGAAAGGACACGCCTAGATGGCATTGCACTGTTAAATACCTTTTCTTCTTTTTCTGCTGCAGAAACGTGGGTACGACTATGAACACAGCGAACTATTGCTCTATCAGAACATGGTGATGCGAGAGGCTGGTGAACTGGACGAGGCACTTGGTCACCTCGCACACAACGAGGAGCAGATCTGCGACAAACTGTCTGTGCTCGAGACGAGAGGTAGGTGCTTCATGTGTTAGTGTTGCAGCTTTGTGATCTATTTTGGGCCTAATTGTTGTCTGAGGTAGGAACTGTCGTGCTTCGGAACAAATGCCAGCACACATTTCATAGAGTGAGCTAGTTAATGCGTTCAAAATGAGCACTATTGCTTTCGAAACACTCTTGTACATGACAGTAACATTCCAGGAAAGGAGGGACACTGTGTATATCATGTATAAGTGCGTTTTGATCAAACGTGCAATACTTGTATATATTTATATGCTGACTTGAAATATGCAATTAAATTTTCAGTGCGTCAAACAATTCTTCTAGATACTATTAAAGTTCGCATGGGCTACTTACAGTTAATCTCCCTGAAATGATGGTTATTGTGAAAGAATTGCCGAAGCTTCTAGACTGATTAGTGTCAAAGTTATAGTCTGTGAACTAGTAGTGAGAACCTCTAGCACTTTGGACGAATGAATTTTTTATGCTGTCTGCCATGAATTTGGTCATTTTTTTTAAGCCTGCTGCTCACTGTAATTGATTACCTTCCTGCTAGTGAAGTTATGGTTTAACATAAAGGTACTCGCTATAGTACTTTCAACAAAACGTACTCGCTGTGGTCAGGAATGGAATCATGGGGGGGGGACACACAGAGAAACTTATTGTCATATCAGTTGGGGTTACAATGGACAATGCAAGGATCTGGTGGAGCAAAAATGAATGTCCTACATTAACCTGGAACAAAGGAACATTTGGCTTCACAGAGAAGTGTCTTTCTTTAAAGTCCTCTTAGGAGTTTCAGGAATACAGTCGAGCCCACATATAACAGCCCCACTTAAAACGAACTTTCGCTTAAAACGAACAATATCCGCGTGACCGTCAAAATATACATTAGTTCGATGGCACAAAATCGCACTTACAACGAACATCTCCGGGCGCTGCTGATCGGTTACAGCGAATGGAGTCAGCGGTCTGCCGACTTCCCGGGAAACCAATTTCGACCATCGATCAGGCATCGGCGAGGTGCCCATACATTCTTATTGTTAAACGCCAACCCTGCCTCCGTGCCCCTCTAGTTGCCGCTCTCCCCGACCGCTTTTTGTTACGCATCCCTCCGTCCTTTGGCCTCCCCCGCTACCCTGAGTACCCCGCATCGCCAAACGAGGCCCGTGTTTTCGCACTGCCACCGATCTTTCGAAGACCGGTCAGCCATCAACCCTGTTTTTGATCGCTGGTACTGTCGTTGGCGTCGCCGTCCTGGAGTGACCAGACCACTTGCCAACATCGTCGGCCACCGACTATATCCGATAGTCTGCGTCTAGTGCACGCGCGTACGCTACCCCTCTGACTGTGATAATTTGCGATTAGTTTCGTGTTTAGGACTGGTTTTCGCTCACCTCGCACCCGTCTGAGCATGCCTTCCGCGCGCATGTGGAATTGCGAAAATGACTGTTAATTTGCGCGGAACAAATCGCGAAATATCGAAGTTCGTGAGGCCACGCGAACCCGTTGGCGCAACGAAATGATTTTTTGAAAACCGCCGCCGATTCTTCGAACACCGCCGCCCGCACTGATTCAGGCAACCATGCACTCTTTCCAAGTTTTTCTACGTGCGAGTTTCGCGGACCTTTCAAGCAAGCTACGCAACCTGCCTCCTTCCCGTGTGTTATGGTTTTCAAGGTCGCCCTCCCGCCGCATCCTCCCCCCTCTTTTTCGCAACTCCTTGCCCTTCTCTCGCAAGTCTGCTCACCTCTCTTGTTCACAACCCCTTCGCCCGTCTCCGCCGCTCCATGACGCCCGCCACGCTGGCTTGAATTAGTTTCGTTTTCCGACTGGAAACGGGCCCAGAGCTGTTCCACGCGCTCTGGCATGTGTGTCGCGTGTGCGGGTCTTGCTCGCTCTTGGTGTGCGTGTGTGGTCATGATGGCCAACGGGAGGACTAGCACGCTTTTTCATGCCGCTCAACAAAACGTCGAAACTGTGACCGCTTGGCTTGAGCGTAATCAGCGCGTTAGGTGCCGCGTTGCGGAGTGCTTGCTCATAGCTGTTGACCACCTGGCAGCCAACTTGCTGCTTCGGGAATCCCTATATTCAGCTGTGGAGATGGTGAATATTTCGTGGGCAGCGGTGACGACTACATGCGTGCGAAACTGTTTTCGCAAGGCCGACTTCGTTGACGTCGGCCTGATGCCGAACCTGAAGCTTCTGAACTGCGGCGGCAATTTGTGGCCACGCGTCGTGGACACCAACCTGGGAGAGCGGGTGGGACATCTGTTGCGATGGTTTAAGTTACGGCCGATGATGATGCCGACACTGCGGAACCGGGCACGGATTGGGGCATTGTAAATGAAGTACGTGGCGAGAGCGATTTAGAGGAATCGGATTGCAAGAACGACGAAACTTTGGAGCCAGTGCCTCATGCAGCTTATGCCACGGGCCTCGGCGAACGAGCACCCTGCTGTTTTAAATGAACTAGAGACCGCCCTTATCGCTTCTGCTCTTCGAAACACGTTCATCGTGGACTTTTTGGGGCAAAAAAAGTTTGTGTTTTCACTCGCAACTTTTTTTAAAAGCTGTGTTTCATTTACTACGAACTTCAAGATACAGCGAACAGATGCCGTGTCACGCTCAGGTTCGTTATAAGCGGGCTCGACTGTAGCTAACATGAAAGCATTGGGCATATATAACTGCTCTGATTGTTTCTGTAAGTAATGAAGAGCCTTCATGGTGGGAAAAACCCTGATTCCATACGTTCTCCAGAAAAGGACAAAAGTTGCCAGATGCATACGTGCTCACAGCCAGGCTAGTTGCGAAACTTGACTGACCATGGCATGTGACTTCAGCACTGCCTCTTTTATGAGGCGTGCATTGTTCACGAGCAGCATGCCACAGCCCTGGCATGTGAGTCTAAAGAAATAAACAAGAAAGAGCCAGGAGAGAAAGGGGGTGGAGGCAGGGCTTGTGGTGTCGCGATGACACACTCCCTCTCTTCCCGCACTCAAGTAGCAATGAATCAGAAATTGGTGTTTGTCGGGTGCGTGTGCTTTTTACTGTTAGTTTGCCATGCTGCATTTACGAAGTACGGTAGAAACTGCGAACTGTGCTTTGTGAAGGGTCATGGCAGCTGGCATGTTTTAATGCTGTTTTCTTTCGGTGTCTTATTCAGCAAACCTGCTGATGCAGGTGGGTCAGTATCCAGCGGCCGAATCGATATACAGGGAGCTCTTAAACAGGAATCCTGAGAACCACGAGTACTATCATGGCTTATTGAAAGCGCTACGGCAACGTAAGTCTTCTTTTTGCCACTCGTCTCTAGTGGCGCTCCAATGGTTCCGGTAGCAATACAGTATAACCTCATTATAACAGACTGCCATTGTGAAAAGCATTTTGGTCTGTTGTAAGAGAGTATGCGAAATCCATACTGATACAACACACTTCTTTTTGGAAACACTGAATGGGTTTGTTATAACAGCAGAGAACTACGTGTCATACAATCTCAATGGGGCATGAAAAAAACATTTTTTTTTAATAACACCTTCAGTTTCTGTTGCGGCTTTTCTATCTGATTTTACAATATCCTCACTGAAAACTACACTCGCCGACCGATTTTTCGGACTCCAAAAATTCGGACTTGTTCGATATTTCAGACTTCAAAAGTGCACCGTCAGGGTTCCCATAGGACTAATGCATTTTTTGACTGATTTTTCGGACGAATTCGCCCCCTAAAGTTGGATTTTTCAGACTAAATCGCTTGTTTTGAGCCGCCCGACGAACCTGTATGAATGCCGGCTTGACTAAGCTTAGTGGCTCAATTTTAAAATGGCTTTCCTGCCTCCAAGATTGGCAAGCAAATGTCATTTTTGAAGTTTCGGGGGCCGTGTCTGCTTTAGAAAACATGGCACGGGACCATTTTTTCATCTTGGGTCAGCCGTAGTGGTCAGCACTGTCGTCATTGCACCGTACAGGGAGGAGGAGGAGCTGTGCAGTAATGGAGTGAATGTGCCTGCCACAATAACATTAGGGAGTTTCAGATTAGCGCACCGCGAGCCCTTGTGGTGCGGTCACTGCTACTGCGCATGCGTCGTAACGCGAGTCGCCGTTCGCGGCCTGCGAAGTGTTGTGTGTAGCTTCCGTGCATTTGAGTTTGTGGGCAGGGCGAATGTCCCTAGACCTTTCCTTAGGGGTAGCAAATGCTATTCTAGAACTCGTAATGCGTCCGCTATACCCGCAACGCCTGCAGAGCCTGCAAACTTTATTCTAAAACTCCCTTATTTAAAGACTTCGCTCGTGCGGACGATGACAATTTCGTGCGCGGAGCCCACAGATAAAGAAATCTTTCGCCAGGTTGTGCCGCAGCCGGAGAGCGGTTCAGATGATGACAATGATCACCCGCAGCTGTCGGCAGTGGAGATTGCCACCGCGGTGACGCTTTTGTCGAGCATTTACAGTGACGATGTCACCTTAACACAAATATGGGCAAACCAAATTGCTTCCAGGTGTAGTATGAGGCAAGGCACAATCATAGACTTTTTAAGCCTGTCTGATGCTATAAAGTTAATATTTCTGACAAAAACGGTCTGTGACTGTTGAATTTTTCGGACTTTTTTTCGGTCCCCGCCAGGTCCGAAAAAATCGGTCGGCGAATGTATGTAGAAGTGCTATAAAAAGCTTTTTGAGCCTGCTGAGGTGTTGAAAATCATTGTGGAAGTCACAAAAAACATAGTGTTTTTCACAAATCTATAGCTTCGCCATGACAAATCTGCCCATCACTATTTTAGGCTCATAACCAAGTGATCATAACCAAGTGATGGCATAAATCAAGTGATCGTCTGGCAACAGAGAGTGTTGCATGCTTTTTGGGCATCAGAATCGACATCGCCTCTTTGGGCTCATAAAGTTTCCTAATGTACACTAGAGGGAACGCTGGCGCTAGTGTCTATGGGAGCTGCAACGCACGGCGCTTCAGCGAGCATGGGAATGATGGGTAGTGCACACATTTGTCTAATCTTCGTACTTCTAGCCTGCCTTTGGCTCCATGTGTGTTCGTGTGGTTTGTAGCTATTTTCTCACGAAACAAAAATCGGCATACGTTTAGCGATTGTGTTTCACCACCTTATTCTTTTAGACTTACATTCCTAAATCAGGTCACGAAGTTCAAAAGGGTTGAATCTTTCTTTCAAAACAAAACGAAACACAGCAATAAACGAAGCCAGTACGATTCGCCGCCCACAAGTACGAAGACTAGGCATATGTGTGTACTACCCATCATTCCAATGGTCACTGAACAATTGCAGTAACAGAGTGCCTTCTAGTTTAATTTTAGGAAACTATGTTTGGGCCGACGCGTTCTCTGCCGACGCCATTTTTATTTTCTTGTTCATTCAGTGTTCGTAGCGAGTGGCGATCTTACTCTGCGACCAGCCATGAATACCGGGACGCGGCGCCAGTTCGCCGCCGCATTTAAAAGAAAAGCTATTCAATTTGCGGAAGCGAATGGCAACATAGTGGCACAGCAGCAGTTTGGAGCGTCTGAGAAAAGAGTCGGGTGCTGGCGCAACCAAAAATCCAAACTGTCGGTGTGTAATTGGAGGAAGACATTGTTTCGCGGTCGCCGAGCTGTGCACCCAGAACTTGAGGACAAAGTGGCGGATTTCGTTCGCGAGTACCGTGCCAGATCCCTGCTAGTGAATGCAGAGCTCATTCGCTCAAAAGCCGTCGAGCTCGCCCGTAAAGCCGGTCTGTCAAAGAAAGACTGCAAGGGATCCATTTATTGGGTCCGTCGCTTCATGCGAGGCAAGGAATTTGCCCTTCGACGGCGCACGTTGATACGCCAGAAGCTGCCGGAGATGTACGAGGACTAATTGATAGAGTTTCAACTGTAGTGAACAGCCTCCGGCCGCAGCATGGCTACATGCTAGGCCAGATCGGCAATGCCAACGAAACGCTGGTGTGGTTCGACATGCTGTCGTCCACGACTGTTTGTGAAAGCGGGGCAAAAGAGGTGAAGCTTTTGTCGACCGGAAGCGAGCATTCCCACTTCATCGTTATGCTTTCCTGTTTGGCCGAAGGCAGACAGTTGCCTGCCCTTCATCATCTTCAAGCCGAAGATGATGCCGAAGGAGGCCTTCCCGCGAGATGTCATCGTCCGCGTCACGAGAAAGGGTATATGGACGAGGCCCTAATGCACGAGTGGATCCGCACAGTGTGGAACCAGCAGTCCGGAGCCCTCCTGCAGCACTGGAACATGCTTGTGTTGGAGGCATTTGACGGCATCAGTGAAGAAGAGCCTTCGCGACGGACAGACGGATCTTGTCATTCCGGGAGGGATGACGTCATCACTGAAACCGCTGGACGTTGTCCTTAATAAACCTTTCAAAGACCGTGTGCGTATGGCTGGCGACAACCCGCAGACCCCGACAGGCCGGCTGCGCAAGCCACTTCTCACGACAGTTTCTTGTTGGGTCACCGAGGCATGGAGGTCTTTGCCTGAAGTGATGGTGGTGCTTGCATTCAAGAAGTGCTACATCAGCAACGCTCTCGACAGCACTGAGGACGACATGCTATGGGAGGCGGCTAGTGATAAGCAGTCGTCGTTGGAGAGCTCTGGCAGCTCCGAGGACTGAATAAAGTGAATCCGTGAACAAATCCCGTGTTTTTCTTATTTTTTGCTGGTCAAGGTAAAGCGGTCGACCTATATTTCGCCTCAACCTATATTCCACATTATACAGTAGTCTGTTTCTTTAGGGCATGAAGCTTTTGCAAAAAGCATTACAGTCGTTAATTCATCTCCTGCCTGAGAACTGCTTTTTCTTCCTTCTTCTCTCTCTATTAAGGGGGGATGCTACACCTTCCAAAAACTCTTTTATTTTTGCGAGTACCTCAGTCAAATTTGGAGAGCCTATGTAGATTTTACTGCTGATTTCAAAAATCTAATTCTTTTTTTGCTGTGACAATTAGTTTTAAAGATATAATGAACTGCGACTTTTTCAATTAAGGCCTAATTAGCTAATTAACTGTAACTTGGATATTGATGTGCAACCTATAGAACCAATTCGGTATGTTCACAGTGTGCAATAAAGTATAAATCATTGTTCTGGGCTATTTCGAAGCAAAGTTGTGGGATGTTGAATATGACATGAAAAATTTCCCCATCTACACTTGAAACAAAAGATCCATTTAGAGAATTTTCTCCAAAAATTATTACAATAAAACTTACTTTACGACACATCCCCTGCATTTATCTTCGAAACAAAAAAGAAATCGTAATGATAACCCAGATAGAACAAGAGATATTGCTCCGGCATAATGGGAAGCACATGAAAATTGTCGTTTTGAGAAATCGAGAAAAAACGTGGGCACACATTTTTATTGCAGAAGATGCAACAAGACAACCTCAAAACGCACCAGAAGCATAGTCTGAATGCATTCTGTGCTCATGCCTCCTCTTCACTAGCTTCCAAAGTTCCAATGAGGCTGTTCTTTTCTTGTTGGAGACAATGCTGCGACGGTGGTCTTTTTCTCTCGCTCTCCTGGCACCAGTACTTGTCGCATTCATGTCCATTTCACCTAAGATTGCCGTTGCAGAATTCAAATTGCCCGTGTTGAAGCGCAGCACTGCTTCTGCAACAGCTGCTTCAACAGCGAACAGGGACGCATGGTGCTCCTTGGGGGCCAAACTCCAGATTACCGAATGTAGGCTCTCATTGGAGTTCTGCGTTTTGCCGCATTCGCACCTCTGAAGCAGGGCTCTTTCCGAAAGCCGGGTATAAACCGGTAGTAATGCCTCTGCCACGTCTTTCGGTAGATTGTAGGCATGCCTGGGGTCGGGCTCACCCTTTGCTTTTGCGGCATTGTGCCGACACCATGAAGTTTCACCAGCTGGGCACAGACTGTGGTCCGAGCATTCATCAGTGGAGGTGACGTGGCGGTATTTGGCCATCACAGCCTTTTGCATCTCGCCCACGTCACCTTCATGCGATTTCAGAGCCTGGCCATAATATGTGCTCAGCCTGGTGATCAGCTCACCTGTGAGCCTGCCTTTCCCACCAAGGCCTCTTTTCCCATCGCACTTTTGTTTCTGCACCAGGTTTCTCAATGCGGTGCCCATCCGTTTCTGTACATGATTAATACAGTCTTCCTTCTGCAAGTCAATGTAACCATACACCTTGGCGTCTTGTATAGCGCAAAATGTCCTAGAGTCTCCATCAGACAGCATAGTTGTGTAGCGCAGGCCATGGCGTTCAAGCGACCTCTGAAATAGAATTAGAGCCGCCTCCACTTCCATTTGCCCCGCTTTGCTGTTCGTATTTTTTTGGCATTTGTGGTTAGCCTTCCATTCTTGATAGCCCTCACTACTAGGCTTTGGGCCCACCTCGCAGCCTAGGCAAAAGTTGGAAAGAACGACGTAGTCCAACACGTAGCCACTAAATAATTCGATTACTGTGCCCACGCCGATGTGGGAAGAATGGCCTCGCGTCTTCCACGTGCCGTCGTAGCTAACGGCAATATTGCCCCGGTGGCCGAAGCACAAGTCATCATAAATTGTTCTAACCTTTTCCGCACATTCGCTCATAGCGGACTCAGCCGCTCGCGTTGCAGCGGGTGCCAGCGTGTTCTTCAAATGCCGCTGAAACGTCTTGTGGTGCATACCGCGGTGTGAGATGCCCATTGTTGCGAAAATATCGTTCATTTTCGTTTGGCCGTTGCCGGTAGCCACCATCGCCCTCGAAGCGAGAAGATTTACTTCAAACGGATTGCACGTTTTCGTGCCGTTCGCGCGGGGCAAAGTCCATTCATTCGCGATCTCGCCGCACCTTTCGCACTGCACTAGCACTTTCACGTCAAGTCCGTAGTCCCGATCCCCTCTGACGATCGTAGCCGGTCCGTGGCAGGCTTTGCAACACAAGGCACCCATTATCGCGTTTAGGATATCTAGATGCATAAGCAGACAAGGAGCAGCGTGGTCCGAGTCCTGTGCGGTTGCCTCGCTACAACTCGCGGTGAAAAAGTCAATTTTCCGTGCAGTTGCTGGCGCCGATGAAAGCCGGTCGAGCGTCGCTTTCTCCCGGGCATGATTTTCTTCAACTTCGGCGTTTGTCACCACCTTGGCGTCGATTCATAGTCGTCCGGAGTTCGCTTCACCGTCATCGTCGTCGGAGGCAACGCGCTCGGTCGCACCATCGCTGAACGGCCGCGGAGCGTCGACACATCGTTCGTCGGAGTCAACCAAGGGCTCTGATGACTTCGTAGACTTTCTCCCACGACCTTTGCGTTTCCTGCGACCAAATGCGTGCACGGTCCGATACTTTTTTGCGTTTCCAGGCATGGCGATACGATCAGAAGCTTCAGAGTGCTCTGCCGATTTCGAGGCGTCACAGCGGTAACCATTTCAAAATGGCGTCGGGTCGCGTATGCAGGCGCAAGCCGCGAGCTTCCAGCCAACCGGAAAGCGCCATTTCAGTCACGTGCGCCGTTTAGCCAATGGCAGTGAGCGCGGCTCTTCGTCTTTGAGGCCCCGTTTTTCGAGCCGGGGAAACGCTTAATGTTGCTTACTGAATAAAAAAAAACAGCTGAAAACGCGTTCCTTCAAACAAGACCAAAATGGCGCCGATAGCGCGTAGTTCCCGCGTATCGTAGAGCCGAAACCTGCGCTATTCGCCCTCAATTTAAAGGGCAGGACGCCCGTTTTCGGTTTTTTAAAGTTGAATAACGATAAAAGTTGATGGTATTCGGCTATGAAATTTTGTAAATAGGTGCGCAATGATGTCGGGAACGCGAAAAGAAGGTCCGCGAAAACTCGATTTTTTGGCTGATTTTCAGTCCCGAAGTGCCGCGTCCCCCCTTAAGCATGCCAGTAAATTTTGAAATGTTTCCACAGCATGTACTTCGAAATCAGGTACAGTCACTGACTCATTTTTCGGACACCAAAAATTTGGACTAGTTTGATATTTTGGAATTCATAAATGCACTGTCAAGATTTGCATGGCAGTAGCTCATCAACATTAGGCAATCATCTTGTATCAGCCACCCGCCAGTTACAATTGTGGGAAAAACAAATTTGGGAAAAGAAGTGTCACGGCTGAAGGGGATAATGAGCACATCAGATATGGTACGATAACCCCGGAATTTGAAACTACGAAGGTGCGCGTGGGCAGTGGTTGAAAACAATTATATAAACAAATATGTGTGTGTGTGTGCTCTTTTTCAGAATAAAGCCGTCAGTTGACAGTAGCGTTCGTGTTGTTCCCTCTCTTTGTCCGTGTGTCAGTGTGCGCTAAAAATAAGTTATGATGCAGTTATGTCTGCAGAGAAAATTGAAGGGAATAAAGACAAAAAGACATAAAAAGTACAGGCATGAAATAGAGATGAAAAATAAACAGAGTAACGGTTGCTGAATATTTTAGCGACTGCTCAAAAAATTGAGCGAAACAGATCTTTCTCTCAATAGTTTTTTTGTTTCTCCTAGCTTTTTTTTTTTGCTTAGAAAAAAAAACTGCGAAACAAAAAATTATTGAGAGAAAGATCTAAAGAAAAAGTAAGAGCAGGAGAAATATAGAAAGACCAATAGAGAGACAAAAAAGTATATACAAAAGAAATACAGGAAGCAGAGAGAAAAAAAATTGAGAGAAACAAGTAAGGCTACCCAGCGCCACTCTTCCATCAAGCTTGGCACCAGTAGCAACAAGCTGCCATAATTTAGAGTGTAAATAGGCACATTGTTAATGGGAATAAATATGTGTTAACATGCAACATCCATGAGGTAGCTTGCCTGCATACGCGGCACCAAGTTGAAAAAACAAGTGGGTGTTATGTTTCTGTTAGCGGCAAGTAATGTGGCGCATTTTTTTCCCATTGTCTCTTTGTTTTGTGCAGAGGGTGTCGAAGATGAACTCAAGCTGTTCGAGGAATGCCAGGACACATTCCCAAGAGCACAGACACCTCGAAGATTACCACTTAATTTTGCCACAGGTGGGCTTTCTTGACTGGCTACGAGAGCATCCTTAGGTCCCTGCTTGCAATCATGTTTTAGAATCCATGTTTCATTTTCAACTTGACCTGTTGTGCTTGCAGGTGAACAGTTTCGTGTGTTAGTGGACAAATACATGCGGAAAGCACTTCACAAAGGTGTACCTCCACTCTTCACAGACCTTCGGCCTCTCTACACCAGTCCTGAAAGAGTTGAGTACTTGCGACTCTTTTTGTTTCAGTAGCTTTTCTTGACTTTGACAAAGTGCTTTTGTGCAAGGTGCTTGGGGGCACATGCAAATTGTTCAGAGGTTCGTGGCAACTGCCCATGTTTGTCTAATTGTAAAGTTTGGCAATGAAAGACTGCAAGGCATCCTATGCTGTCTTCTTTTGCTTTCCTTTTTTCTTGTTCTCAGTTTGTGCCACAATTATTTCGTTACCGCATGTTTACCATTTTTGTTGCCTCTTTCAACTTGTGTTTTAGTGCTTCAATATAAGCGCTACCGTCAAAACTGAATGCTAAAAATGTTCTGGAGAACAAATCAATATGTCAAAACATTTGCTTTCTTTTTCAGGTGAAAATTATTGAGCAGTTGCTGACTTGTTACATTAGTTCTCTAAAGAAGTACGAGGTCTTCTCTGAAAAAGGTAAATGCTCTTTTTGGACTGCAGCTAGAATGCTTGGGATGAGGGTGAAAACCAGTGTGGCTTCAATCGATTGTTCTGTTTGTGCACCTTTCAGAAAAGGACTCTGAAGAAAAAGAACCTGCCACAGCGCTCTTATGGACTTACTACTATGCAGCACAGCACTACGACTACCTGGGCTGCACTGCCAAAGCTTTAGATCTAATAAATGCTGCCATTGAGCACACGCCAACACTCATTGAACTCTTTGTCGCCAAGGCTAGGATATACAAGGTGAGCACATTAATCTCTTCACTGCCTGAAGTGTTGCATGTGGGAGTAAATTAGTCTGATGCAGCCTAGGAAAAATATGAGCAGCCCCAGAGAGATGTGGGGCTTCTAAACAACCAAAATTTGGCAATGTTTAGTGGCAGCTATTGTACCATGCATGCTGTGTTTTGACATCTGTCACAGAGGCTGGATGCTCCACGTTACTTATGCCAAACCATTTGTGCGAGCTGTGGTAGTAATAAATAAAATGTCATGGTGCATTCACTAAGGCTGGACTTTCACTAATCTTGCTGGTTTGACTTGGCAAGATTAGTGTTTTTATCTTGTTTATACCTTAAAATTTCTGCCTTTTTAATGTCCTGTGCTCTGCAATATGTTTGACACTGCTTGTGCTGGAGTTAACAGTTTCATGTATTACAGCTCAGGTGTTCTTTTGCTTGACAGCATGCTGGGGATATCCATGAAGCCTTGAGGTATCTAGATGAAGCCCAAGCTCTGGACACGGCGGATCGCTACATCAACTCGAAATGTGCGAAATACATGTTGCGGGGAAACCTCATCAAGGAGGCAGAGGACATGTGTGCAAAGTTCACTAGGGTGAGTTCGAAGAGCTTCACATAAACATAAATGCGCAATGATGCCAAAGTTTCTATCTCACTTCGGCATTAATGGGAATTTGCTGGCCCATATGTAGTATTGGCATGCACCTTCATTTCCTGCTGTTTGTTAGGTTGTGCTTCTTCAGAGTGTGAAACTTAGTGTGCCAGTGGAAAGTTGCAGTGTTTCATTGACTACATGATGAAATTCACAGCTCTAGTTTCACATGCCGTTGCCTTACTAAGTTCTGGAGTAAAAAGACCGACAGGGGCTCAGACTGCAGAAACTTGACCCAACAGCTTTGCAAACATCTTCAAGTATATGTGGTGTAATATTTCTACATAACAATGCTAAGTAGCAAAATGCCCAACTCTGACCAGTGCTTATTGACTGTACGAGTGCACCAGTCATGCCGTTGTGCAAATCGTGCTACAAAATACATAAAATTCTTCCTACAAAATGCACTCAAACCTCGATATAACGAATTGATATATAACAAAGTAAGTGACCGATGGCTTTGTCATAAATAGGTCACAAACAATCATTTATAACGAATTTTGGGATATAACGTTTTGCATCAGCTATTACTTCGTTGTAATGAGGCTTGAGTGTAGGGTAAACCTGCGCACATCCTGTGTTGAAGGAAATACTCCAGCTTCTAGAAATGAACTTTTCGAGTTATATTGCTGGGGCTTCGTATACCAAATTAGTGGCTCATGCTGCACCTGGAGCTGTGCGAAGCTTAGGTATAGTGAAGCTTTGATCCTGTGTTGCCTAAAATGCTAGAAGAAGAACGTTCGATCGTATTAGTCAGCTGATTGATTTAGAAAATGCTGAAGTAAAAAACGACAGAGGTAGCCAGAAAAAACAAAGACTGAGGTAGTGGCTGTAAAGTGCGAAATAGCCACTAGGAAACAGATTTCAGGATACATGAAATATATTTGTAAAATTCATGAATAAGTTTTTGGATTTTGGCTTTGAGAATCCTTCAACTTTTAGTATGAATACTGCTAGAATTATTTGGGGTCACACTATTTCTCTTTTATATTCCGTGAACATTGAGTTTGCTTGGGCTGCTTTTTGAATACTTAATTTGTGACCTAGGTACCCTGTTTTCAGAAGGTGTTCATATTTTGCAGGATTTTATAATGTGATGAAACGAAGTCCAAGCATCAAGTGAAGTAAAATGCCTACTCACTGCTAATTTTCTCACTAATTGTCTTTAGGCATGCAACATTTTGGTGTTGTTCTGTCTCTGAGGTCATGCAGTCTGCATTCCTCAGATGTGGTTATTCAATTGTGTTCTGACGGATAAAATATTGTTTGTCTTGGCACTTTCACATGTGTTAATGATTGCACAGTGCGTTCAATAAAATGTTCATTTCATTTTCGCAAGCTACTTTTTTCACACTGTGTCAGCTCTCTGGCTCGGTGTAGTAACAGTAGCGATATCAATGTATGGACATAAGTCTTCAGCGATGAGCCTTCTATAAGGCAGTGGCCCGTCTACTGCCTCTGTCTTTTCCAGCTGTCGCACATGGGCCCTTGTGCCTTCATTTCTGGCTATAGATACCATATTTACTCCGTTCTAACCCGAGGGCTGACATTTCAATGCGTTCAGGAAGAACAAAAAATTTATTCGATATTTGATTGTAACTTGTCAACTTTAGGTAGCAAAAAATCTGGGGGGGGGGGGTACTTATTACATTGGATACTTATTGCATAATTATTACATTACATTGGATAATTATTACATTATTACTTATTACAATACCTTAATGCTGTGCTAGTTTTGTCATCTTTGTAATGTAGGCTTGTGGGAATGTTCAAATGCTTCGAATATTCAAACGAATAGTATAGTATTCGAATTCGCTTGGATTCGATCAAATATTTCAAACTATTCGACAGGAACGAATAGGTGTAAACTGCATGTAACCGTCTGTAAAAGTGTTCTCACTTCTGTATAGGGGTGCTAAGTCATGAAAGCACCTATCCGAAACCCCACTCCAAATTTAAATGGGCCCTGCAAAACTTTGAGCATGGTCAGGAAACACTGCCGATCGATAGTCGAGGCTTCTGAAAACACGCGAGCTAAATATTATAGCGCAGCACGTGACCTGTACTTCACTATAAATTCTTTAAGTCAGATGAAAATTGCACTCTTCTCTTGGCAAATGATGCCACAATGTCAAAAATCTTGCTAGTCACACCCATTGTACCAGCCATTGACTGATTTGAGCATGGGGCGTTCGGCCGTTACTGGGGCCGCTGCGGGTGGCCGTGACATGTCCACGCATACATGCGCAATCACTCTGAAAAGCCGCGTATTCAAAGAAAAAAAAAAAAGAGAAAAAGAGTGCTCAAGGTCACAACACGCACGTAGTGTATTTTATTTTCTTGTGCATGCCATCTCGCCCGGCTTTGCTTCAAGCGCTTTCGTCGGGACGAGAGGAGAGAGTGCAATTGCAGCATGTGGCAAATCTTTGCGACTCCACTCATTCTGGACAGATTCTAAAAATTTTTGCGGCAGTTAATTAATTCATAATGCAATAAGCGTCTTTAGTGAATCCATTCCATGGCTACTTGAAAAAACTGTTGTTGCAGGGTCCTTTTGAATTAACATATTATTCTCAAATCGATTGATAATTTTCTAAGCTTGAAAGCTTGTTTTGCAGACTTATACACTCTAACTGCAATGGATAATGTTACGTATCTTACAGGTAATAACTTGCATCCTACTGAAAGTCAAATTATGCTACTTCTCAAAGTTTTTCCGGCTTTCTTTGAATGGAAGAAAAGAAGAAGGCTCTTGCATAGAGGCCATGTTTAAAAAAAATGTATATTGTGCAGGTTGGTTAGGTCATAATAAATATGCCAATTTTTCCTTATACATCATATATTCTATTCGAGTTTTATTCAAAATTATCCCACCAAAATCACTATTCGCTTCGAACCCAAAATTCACTATTCGCACAAGCCTACTGTAATGACAAAAATGTGAAAGCACAGACCATGTTTTGATGGCATGGTAACTGGTGAGGTTGATCTGTGTTATTCAGTATCATCTGCAAAGTCTAATATTAATTGTGCCACGCAACTGACATGAAATGGCAAGCATCACGACATCCACATCAAGTTGGTTAATGTAAACAACTGCCTATGTCATGTGTTTGTGTTGGATGCTATGCTACCTGCATATGTTCTCTCTGGCGTGTCAGGGCCGTGCTCCAGTGCACACGATGCTGGATGCAGCGCATTCATCACTGTCTTCTATGCTCACATGGGTAGCTGTGTTTACAAAGAGGACAAAAATAAAACCATGCTTCCACCTCAGCACTTTATTGCAATGAGCCCAGCACAATATAGAAGTTCATAGATACTCACATTTGTTCTTGTAGAAAAAAGAGTTAACAAGTACAGTGGAACTTCCATTACACGCCCCCAGTCTCACGATTTTTTTTTTTTAGGCGGATTGGTTTGGTTTCGGCGAAATCTTCATAGAGATATTGTATTATAAGAACCTTGGTTATAAGACGCAGTTTTCGGCCGACCCTGCATCTTACGACGACTTTCCTATACCGTTCGAAATTAAAAAAACACGTTTACCAGCATCGAACGTTGACCGAATACTCCCGAATGAACTTGTGTTCCCCTAGGTTGATGATTAGAGAAGTAGAGATAGAGACAGGATGTCTTCTTAAAACGAACAATTAATTCTCTTGGCAGTTCATACCCTTCTGCATACATCTCGATTGCAAGCGCAGGGTCGTGACCTAGAGAAGCTCTGTCCAGAGTAACTTCAACTGGCCGAAAAGCTCATCTCTGAGATCCTGATAGTATTTTTATGTTTTCCGCTTGTGGAAACTTCCTGGTCGACGTACAGCTGACCGTCTGCCTTTGTTTTTGGCACTTGCAGTCACAAGCTTGAGCACGCAAAAAGATGCGATGCAGCTCTTTTCACCGTGCAAAATAAACTGTCTTTTGACTTCAGTGTTGATGATAACATCACTAGTCGCACTACGAAAAACAATGAATTACAATGTGCATAGCTCAGTCGAGCATGAAGGCGCTCTACACAACGTTGTGATCCCGTGGTCCATTGCCATTATGTGATGGCGATGACACTGTGTTTGGGGGTAGGCTGTTGGCAACGCAGCTTTGGTTTCGTTATCACGTGTAGGCAATTTTCTGACTCAATTTATCGTGAGAAAGATGCGCGTTGGATTTGATTTTTTAATGTTCACAATAAAGATTTGCTACCGCCTTTGTCAACTAAGTAGTGCTGCCACTGGCAAGAACAATTTAATGTACCTTTTTTGGAAAAGCACAAAGTCGTGTCATAGGCGTATTCAGAAAGTCTGTGCCCCCCCCCTCCCCTCTTTTTTTGTGTGTGTGTGCAAGGCTGAGGGACACTGCTTTGCATTCTTAGTTTTTTTACTATATGACACCCCGATTATATGACCATTTCGTGTAATCTCCTTAAAGTCGAATAATCGGGGTTCCACTGTAATTGTCTCCTTGTTTTGTGGGTGCAATCACTTGTCTGTGTGGCATAGTTGCACTGCCTAATCATACAAACAAAAGCAGCCTGGTTTGACTTATTGTATGCATTTAACCGGTAATGCCAGCGATGGGGCTGCGCTGCTGTCTAAATTGCTGGTTCATGACTACTGCATCCCCATTCCCGCAAGTGTCACCACCAGTTACTGCTTCTGTTAAAGGAAAGCGGGATTATAGATGTGCGTCTTTTGAAGCAGGCTCGATAAGCTATGGTACATTGGTTTTGACATGAAGTGGCTGCACCGGAAGGGAAAGTTTGCCTGTAGTCTCTATCACCAATGCATGTAGTACAGTTCTTATCTGGCATTCTTACTTTTGCATTGTAAACATGCAAAATTATATTGTTTTATTTTAAGGTTGCAATCCATCTGTACTTATTCCATGGTTGCTTTCGTCATGTGCAGGAAGGTGTCTCTGCAGTCGAGAACTTGAATGAGATGCAGTGCATGTGGTTCCAGACCGAATGTGCCATGGCGTACCAGCGGCTAGGGAAATGGGGTGAGGCTCTTAAAAAGTGCCACGAAGTGGACAGGGTGAGTAGTTGTTCGTTGGGAATGTGTGGCCTTACATTGTGTGCGTGTGTGATGCTAGATGTGGAAGACGTGGCCTGGCTCGTGCACCATACATTTATCCTAAAGCATGCACCCTTCTTCCTCCTGGGCTTCTCCTACTATGACTTGATGTGTCGCACGATTCCTCCTGTCCCTGAAAAATTTCATGAACATCAATTACAAAAAACGTTCATGAATATCCAAGTCCACTCTTTAACCTCGCCAAAACTTAACACAGGATTTAGTAGTTTGGTGATGTCCAGCGACGCGCTGGTGGGTGAGGTTGACAGTTCCACATCACATGACATAGGCTTCTTTGGCGCTTGGATGCTGATGAAATCACTGCTTGAGCTTTTGTGAAAAACGAGCATGATTAGGATAACTTGTAGCATCGGCAGCTTGTATGTCGAAGACGTTGGATCCTGCGTTGTCGCCGACACACACAATGTGCTTCCAGTTTGCGTGTGTGATCGTCGGGGCTAATGGAACAATGTCCATGTTCTCGCGTTGTGGAAATGGTGGCTTCCAATCTTTTATGTTGTTTTCTATTGTTTTCTCTCAAATGTTTTAATCCTAGGCTCAGCCTTGGACACTGGGGCAAAAATGTTGAATTAGTCTTTTCTTTAGTGGTCGTTGTTAACGACACTCTTTAAGCTGCAAGTATGCTTGCGATGTAGCTTTAGTTCTTCATTGTTCTTGTTGGTGTAGCCGTTGTAGCTGTTGGAATACTCCTAGTTGCTTTTTTTTGGCATTGCTGATGTTGCGGAATCTGACAAGAAACATGAGCCTGCTTTTTTTTGCAGGTTTATGTGACCAGTAAATAGATTGTACACTTTGGGGTGTCGTAATTCTTGTCAGGCAATGAAGATAGTGCGCCAGAATTGACAAAGATCCTCTGAGCCCCTCACAACGCCCTTCTTAATGGATGCTTCTGGCACACGACAGCACTTGAGAGTTGATGCTTCCGAGTTTCCTGCGTTGGTTGGACTCTCATCTGAATGGGCACTGGACGGCGACTCCACAACAGGCGTAGTTCGGTCGGATTTTACTTGGTAATGCCTCTCCGTCTGCTCAACTAAGAAGCTGTGCTGTCCTCACACATTAATCTGTATGGAAGAGTTGAGGCTTGCTCTAGCACCTTTAGAGTTCCTCAGCTCTATCCCGACCACAGTGAGCTTGTGAGATGAGGGGTGGGTGGTCGGAGCAAGAGAAATGCCACATGACGCAAAACCAGGTGGTGGGCTCAGTGTGCGAGTCGAAGAGTAGAGTCCATAGGGTGGTTCAGTAACGAGAGTCTTATGGTTAAATGATGACATAGGAAAAGCCCACTTTTACACAGGAAAATCCAGTGGAACACTGACTCTTGGAGCTGAGTGCCTTTGAGTGAGTGGATGTTTTGATTTGTCTTATGAGAATGGCCAACCCATTCGGGGTGTTCCAGTGCGTGAGGACTGCATGTGATTGGGAAAACTGACTTCAGTTGTCTTCAGATGGCAGGTTGCTAGCAAGTCTTCATCGTAATCTTTAAATCGGACTATCATTTTTTTCTTTGATTCTTTTCCATGACTCGTTGTTTTGAAGCATGCAGGTCAGGTAAAACTTGAATGCCCCATCAGCAATGCATTCGTTGAATTTGGCGACCATGTCCAGTTCTGACCAGGGTGCAGCGGTAGGGTGGAGCTCGAATCGGCCGAACCAGTCGTGTACAGGTCCATCGCCTGCTGATCTGGTGTACTTGGAGATGCCAAGGTCAGCCGATGGTGCTGTCATGATGCCGGTAATTGCATACACCTGGGATCGTCTTCTGCGGTCAATATCCAGTTGAGGCATCTTGCCGGTGGCTTCGTGAATGACGTGAGGCTGATGAGCGCTGGCCAGGCCTCCATCCTGTCGACTTGTGTGACTCTAGATGTGCGAGACATGGCCTGGCTCATACACGATACTTTTATTTCAAAGCATGCACACTTCTTCCTCCTTGGCTTCTGCTACCGTGGCTTGTTGTGTCACATGTGTGTGATCTGTGTGGGCTATTGGGCACAAGCTAGATATGTTTGATGATCCAGGCAACACGCTATTGTGGCTTTGACACTGTGCTGTTGAACATGAAGTTCGGGTTTTGGTTTCTTGTAGCTATTGGCTATGCCAATGCCTGCAAGAGACCAAAGCCCTTTCGATGTCAAAATGTAACAATCCAAACAGTCTGTTTTGTGTGTGTTAAAGATACCAGATTCTTTCAAAGTTCGCCGTCATCTCTCATAGCTGTGACATAACTTTCACGCATGCTCACAATATATTTGTTCATAAATTTTGATAAGAACAACATTTGCCTTGAATAAATGGAATTTTTATGACTAACTCATCTGCACGAATGTTGGAATCACCTTTGAAATTGGGGTTTCCACTTTTTCATCTCCAAACCATTAGCCCTCTTAACCCCGTTTACAGTTGTCCTTAGAAGAGCTTTTACACATTGCAACTTGTCCTCGTTTACGTTGTGCAGCACTTCTCGGAGATAATGGAAGACCAGTTCGACTTTCACACGTACTGTATGCGGAAGATGACATTGCGTGCTTACGTGAGTCTCCTAAGGCTGGAGGACGTGCTCAGGGCCCATCCTTTCTACTTCAAGGCTGCAAGAGTAGCCATCCAGGTTGGTCAAACGTCGTGTACTCGACTACGTTGAGTTCGTCAACTTGCGAATTCTGCCATCAACTAGTGTAGTCTGCCCAACTTTTAGTGCGTTATACAGTCGGCATCCGATTTTCCGGACCCTCAAGGGACCGCGAGAACGTCTGGAAAGGGAAATCTGGCAGTCCGGAAAAACGAATGCAAGTGAAAACACACTTTTAATATAGTAAAACCTCATTATAACAAAGCGGGATACAACAAACTAATGAATATAACGAAACAATTGTAATTCCTCTTCGAATTCCCGTACACGCTCATGTATATAAAAAGCTCATTTCAACGATGTGAAAATTTTCTCACAATAGATATAAGGAACCATTCTTTGTCCACAACGAGCATTTACTGATCATTTTGGTATACGTCAATTCAATATCTTACAGCATGCGACAGTTTACGTCTCATCACTGCTGCGGTAATTAAAAACTCACACCTTGCGCTCCCCGGTACTCGCCTGCCAACACCTTGGTTGCTGCGAGTCTCCCTGCCTCTCCGTTCCTCAGAAACTAATGGACTCGCCTGCGCAGCAACTCGTGTGCGCGTCAGCCGGCCTCCCCTCTCCTGTAGAACTCGTTGACACGCCCGCGCATCTGACCTCCTCAAAGTGGTATAGGAGTTCAGACCTCCTTCTCCCTCTCAGTTCTTCTCCGAGACGGCAGATATTGTAGCATTGTTTCTTGTCGTTCGCTGTAAAAGAGCGACACCACCTTTATCAGTTTCCGCCCCTAGACACGATATGTACAATGATAGTGGCCAACGTAAGTGCAATAATATAACAGTCGAGCAGAAGTCAGCAATGTTGAAAGCCCTTGAGTCTCGCATCAAGAAAAAAAAATAGTGGCCTAAGATTTCGGTGATGTCGCCAGTGAGTGTGCCGCGGGTAACCAGGCCCAGACGTCCTGGGATGCTCTCCTTGATGCTGGCGTTGTCTCTGACTGCGACACTTTCTGCACCAACATCATCGATTCTATTGCTGGTGCGGTGACAACCGAAGAGTTGATGCAGAAATTGTGCGCATGGTGACAGGGGTGCATGGCAACGGTGACGAATGTGTCGACATACTAGAGCCCCATGTTGATGAACCCGACGCCCGCGCAAGTGCTGGATGCGACAGACCTGCCGTGCCGCTCTAATGGTGCCTACAATGACGGCGAGGACGAACTCCAAATAACTGCTGCAGCTGGAAAAGCAGTCATTCGCGTGAGGAAGCGTCGACAAAAGTCTATTAAGGACAATTTTTCCATCTGCCATTTTTTCAAAATGTGATTTTATGACTCTGTTTAATCTTGAGGCCTCAATATCTTGGCAGCTATGGCAGCTAGAACACTAATTCTTTTTGCTATAGAAGCCTGTATGTGTGTGGAATGCACGTATAGGAATGGAATTTAGAAAACAAGCCTTTTCAAATAATTATGTATCAAATTTGTAAAAGCATGCCAACTGCTTTTTCGGAGTGTAAAATTCAATCTGCCATAAAATAACTAAAAAAGCCAAATAAAATAAAAAAATGAAAGAAAAAAAATGATGAAACTGCACAAGCCTGTGCAGTTTCATCAAGATCACCGAAGAAATAAAGAAAAAGTGTCTAAAAGGAGTCTGCCCCCTTAAGTATTACTGTGCTGATGGGAATACTACCACACATATCACAAGCTCTAAAGATCCATCATTCCTACTTGAAATCTGGGACGTTCAAGTTTTCAACTTAACCGGCAACACGAACGTATGTGTATGAGAACACAAGAAAAGTACCACCAAAATGGAGCAAATGTGATTGTGTAGAATGTCTGGGCAAATAGATTTTCCTAATCCGGAAGTGCGCTTATCTGCTATGCAGTTTGTTCTACTAATGGCAGCTAGTCTCTTACCTGAGTCCTTCAGTACCTTTACTGGACATGAAGCTCCAGTGAAAACGTGATATAGAGACAGGAGCAATCACTAGGGGTGCCCTCACTCATATCAGGCCAACCGCGACACTGCAATTGTACGGCACGCGCTGGAGCTGTTAAATGTTAAATGTAGCCATGATGGTTGAATACGTCTTCAGAGGGATTTTACTTTCAAGGAAATTCGAAATTTAGCGTCCACTGAGGCCTTGAAGTTAGAAAATTGGCGACATACATGCTGATTCTAATGTAAGATATGCTACCGCTATAAAAGCTTACTTATGCTGTCTTTTCCCTGTCCCTCTTTGCTGTTTTCATCATCAAGGCTAAAGCAACTTACACTGCAGCACATTTATGCTATGTACGACGGTGTGGCACACGTATATACTGATGGATCTACCACGTCGCGTACCTCTGCCGCAGCCTTTGTCATCCCGCAGATGAAGATAGCTCGACGTTTCAAGATAGATTACAAGACCACATCAACAGCCGCGGAACTTGTTGCTATTCGGGAGGCAATACGTTTCATGTCGACAGAACCCGCTCGTAAATGGGCGATACTGTGCGATGCCAAAGCTGCTCTTCAAACCATCGATGGCTTCATGAGACAAGGTCCATATCATACTTTATCGATTAATCCCGGCTGCGGCGGCTGCATTTCCGATGGAGGTGGAAATGTTGTAGGCCCGTGTGCTCAGATTTGGGTGCACGTTAAAGAACACGAGGTGGTCTAAATTTCCGGAGCCCTCCACTACGGCGTCTCTCATAATCATATAGTGGTTTTGGGACGTTAAACCCCACATATCAATCAATACTTTATCGATTGAAATAGCAGAGCGTCTTGGCATTGCTACAAAAAATGGACATGATGTAACATTTCAATGGATACCTGCTCATTGTGGCATAATGGGCAATGAAGCGGCGGACGCTGAAGCTAAGAGAGCTTTAAATAGTGCCCGGAAGTGTGCATCGCATTTTCTCGACAAGACACTAACATCCTACTTCGACGCGTAATGTGCAACTCCAGCTTGTGCTATGACATTGAAAATGTTAACTCTGCTGTCTTTGTAGAGACGCGGATAATAAACAAGCCCCTGTTTGTGCAACTAGGACCTCGTTTCCACTTGAAGCACCACCAGTACCGCCATCGGCAAGGGCGAATATGTATTATAAGGAAGTCTGCTTCCGGATTAGGAAAATCTTTTTTTCTTTTTCGGTGGGACAGTTGTAACCGACTGTAGTGTACTCTATATCAGTGTATAAGACAAAATGTTGAATTTTGCAGGTTTATCTTCAACTTCACGACCACCCTGTTGCGGAAACAGAGGCAGCAGAAGAGATCAACACAGGTGAGTCAGCTGCCCTGTGTTGTTTGCTTTTCAGTACCCAGACTGCTGTTGGTCAAGCTAATATTTGTTAGCTGTAGTAGCGCTTCTAAGTTCGTAGTGCGCCACTTGTCAAATAAGGCTTGCACATTCCCAACGAGCTTGTTTGGAATGTGTAAAAATATAATAATAAAAAAATTCTAGCCTGCTTACTGGCCCTTTTAGAGAGCAGGAAAGCATTTGAGAACGCAATAAAAACGACAAAAACAGGTGCGAAAAGGTTTTCAAATAGCAGTATAAATGTTGTATTCATTGTTTATTTACGCCACCTGAGAAGAAGAGTTTAAAAACACCATGGGGTGAGGCACTGGGCAGCAGACATGCTTCACTCCATCTCTCTGCTGGTTGTTTTTTGTTTAAGGATAGGGAAAGATTTTTGACCTTGAAATGATACTGAATTAGGATACTAGTCTTGTGTGTTTGATAGATGTTAATTACCATAATTACTCACATGATAGGCACACTTCTCCTTTTTCAAAAAATCGCATTAATTCACTGATAATTTTTTAGGCCACCTAGCTGAAATTTGTGCACTGAATGGTACCCATCGTTTGACGTCACAGGCTCGCACACCTCATCCAAGATTGCAATGGAATCGTAAACCACCATTAGAGTATTACGAGCTCCAACCATGCCCCCTTTTCCTATTAGTAGAGCCACAACAAAGAGCTACATTTATTGCGTACAAAACTGCAATTTCGATCGCCCGCGAGGTCCCATTATTAAGCGTCGAAACCAACAAAACCAACCAATACTGATTAGGCTTAGCCTTGGTACGACCGTGGTTTGCAGGCACAGAAGGTCTGGGATGAAGTTGTCGAGGCAGGAGGAAGAGAGACTTCAAGAGGGTTTTTTTTACATTATATACAAGGTGAGCTCTCGTAAATGAGCTCTTTCTTGCATGGCGAGCTCTCGAATCTGGCGTTCCTCTACATGGCGCTCATCAACATAGTCTATAGGGCTGCAAGGAATTCTAGTGGAACGCTCTGACAATCTTAACTCCGTTTCCACCACCACGGAACCCTCACATGCTGCTTTCACCGCGAGCTCTTTTTCCTCGGAACGGGTTAGAATCTCAACCATGTCCTTGGAGGTACTAGCCTTCTGTGATTGGACAGTACTATCTGCACGTGTTCCCTGATCTAGGGATCTGGGGAGCACATACCCTTTAAAATGAGCCACCTGGCTCATTTGAGGAAGCGCCATGTAGAGAAATGCCAGATTCGAGAGCTCACCATGTAAAAAAGAGCTCGTCATGTACGAGAGCTCACCATATACATAATGTAAATAAACCCTTTTCAAGTCTCTCTTCCTCCTGTCTCGACAACTTCATCCCGGACCTCCGGTGCCTGCGAACCCCAGTCGCAACAGCCTACGGTTAGGCCTGTTGTTGCAAGGTTTGTACAAGATAACATGGAAAATTTGGCATGGAAAAGATAGCACTCAAATACTGATCCAAGAGCAGCTAGCTCACAGGATAGAATGTTTAGGTTAGCAGTCAAGAAATCAACAGTTACAAAAACCTTGCAAGCTTGTGCAAATTCACGTAGTGGCAGGAAAAGTGAAAGGTCACGTCGGAAAGCCAGGAATCTTAAATTTGTGGATGAAGTAGCAAATGAGATAACTTGGACGCTTTTCCCGACAGGAGACTCAAAGTCCACTTGACGCGATAACACGTTTCATGCAGAGCGTGCACGGCTTGCTAGTGGCCAGAGCTGCGCCGGTGCAAAGGTAGTCCGACACCCAGGCAACCGCCCTTTTTCACTCATCGAGCCTGCACAGCACGCTTTTCTTTTTCCTCGTGCTCCAGACAACATAAGAAGGCGTTGAATTGCAACCGTGTAAATATGGTACAGAACTACTAGCCAAGGCCAAGTTCCTGCTATGCGTGGAATAAAAAAAACCAAAAAAACCAACTCGTTTCTCTTGACCGAAAAATGGGGGTGTGCCTATTATGCAAGTATGGTACAAGGGTAAAGAAGCCTTATTTTTTGTATTATGGTGGGCAAGGACTAGTCTAGTTCGAATACAAATACATGATTGTGCTGATTGCTGTTCCTTTAAAGGGACTCTTTATGTTCTTGGGTCGATAATTTTTTATAATATTTATAATTTTTTAAATTATTTTTTAATGGGTACTCAGGGGATAGCTGCCTAACGATGTGACTGCAAGTTATTTAGCTTTCCTGAAAATGTTGAAACCCGATATAACACATCCTGACTATGCTTAAAATGCACTCTTTGGATGCCTAAAAATCCGGCGTGTAATGATCACAAGCTCTGCAAGTGCTGATGAAGTCCTTGATTAAAATGCTTCTATGAGCATTATGTGCCTGTACGGGTGAGCAACAGCTCAAACCGCCTTTTCCATTTCCTGCCTCTGGGTAGCTAGGGTCCGGCTGTGCTCCAAGACGGCCTCCCAGTGTTGCTTTGCTTGGGCAGCACTCTGTTCACAGCTACCTAAAACTCGTGAGAGTGGCTTTAGATATGGCTGTATTGGTAGTGACAAACACAACTTTGGCCTCAGCACCCATTGGTTTCCATTAGTCAAGACCAGCAACGGGGGAATTTTCTTCTGGCACAGTATTTTACCTTCAACCCAATCTGGCTTTTTCAAAAACTGCCGGATGAGCCCTCTCTCCTCTACTGTGAAGGGACGCAATTTGGTCAATGTCTCTTGGCTTTGGGGAAATTCGTATCCCCATCTCCTGATTGAGGAGATCGAGAGGGCAGAGAAGCTCTCGTCCAAAGATGGCTCTTGCAGGTGTCATTCCTGTAGCAGTGTGTATCATAATGTGTTGCCGATACAGAAATCTTGCAAGTCAACACTGTATCGACTTTTCAGCATCCCTCAGGAATGCTGTTCTCAGCTCTGTCACATAGCGATCTGCCTGGCCGTTTGTTGCTTAGTGGTAAGCTCGTGATGTTGCAGCCTATGTGCCTTTCGATGCATGGAACTGTTTCAACTCGTTAGAAGTAAACACTTTTCTGTTATTGGAAATGACCTTTCAGGGAATGCGTAACGTTGCAAAGAGGCTTCATAGCATATTGATGACAGCCGCGGATGTTACTTGCATCACATGCCCGAGTAATGGACCCACGAAGTCGGCTTGCACCATGTGTCATGGTGTCTGAGGATGGTCCCAGGTGGAAATAGGAGCTTTGGGTTGGCTGTTCTGTGTCGAATGGCATTCACAGCACTGCTGCACAGTTTTCTTGATCACCTTGTCAATTCCTGGCCACCGTGTGTATTTTCTTGCGCACTTCTTCATGGATGCCATACCTCAGTGATCAACGTGCAGTATTGTCGGAACATGGGATCGCGCTGAGCTCGGTATGATCACTTGTAATCCAAGTGTGAGGCACTTGCAGTGAAATGCTAGTGCAGTCACTCATCATCTGTGAGGAGCAAACTCGTCACCTGCTAGTTTCTCCCATGTGGCGTCCTGCACGGCCTGTACAACCTCTAAGGGATGCTGTCATGTTGTGCCAGGCGTGCTATATCTGTAGCAGTAAACAGAGGTCTCGACAAAGCTTCGAACAATAGTACATCACCTGGCACGGCATTGTTGCCTTTGATCTGTGTGCTCAGATGAGGAAACCAGTTTCGTCCAAAGAGGTTACAACCTGCTCCCTTGATGACAATAAGTGGTAATGTCAAGGTCTTGTTCCTATGCGTCACATCCACCATTGCACATCCAAAAACTCGAATAAACTGTCCAGAGCATGTGCATAGAAGAATGGCTTCCTCCGCCTCCCCCAATATGAGCGCGTGTTTATGGACCAGCATGCGAGCCGATATGCGCGCTCATGGTTGCTACGGTTATATATGTCACTGATGTTATGAGATTAAAGTTAGTTGTGAGTGATGCCCTTTCTGTACTCAATATTTCTTCTTTGATGGTACACACGTTTCGTATTTCAGTATGTCAAAGGCTTACTTTGACCTATTCATTTCGAAGACAGCAAACGGAACTATCACGCAGCATTGCGTCAAGAGGGAGCAATGTCGGATTTTCTACACCGTCTGCACTTGTTCCAAAATTGTAATCTGCTGCTAACTTTTTGAGCACTATGACATAATCACTGACCGTTTCGTCGGGTTGTTGATCGCGTCATTGGAAGCTTGCCCTGCAGAAGACTTCAGGTGTCTGTGATTCAAAGTGAGTCTTGAGCATTTTGACTACGTCTTCGTAGCCCATTTAGCAGGGCTGCTTGGGTCGAACGAGGGCACAGACGACATTGTCTGTTCCCCCGCGTAGTGTCAGCAGATGAGTGCGTTTCTTGGAAGCATTCGTAATGTCGTTTGCCTTGAAAAAGAATTGTAACCTCCCAGGCCAGGATCTCTAGAAACGAGAGCTGCTGCTGAATTCGTATAGCCAACCAAAGTAAGGCGTCGGCATGCTGTTTTCTTGACGTCAGTAGAGTGCCAATGAGTGAAGTCTTCCTCGTTGCCGATTGTTAGTTCTTTACAGCCACTTTTGTAGCCCACGATTTATTTAACTCAAGAAAATGTGAATAAGTTAGCTAGGCGTGGCTCGGGCATTGGAGCCACTACTAGCCAGCATTCAATGTAAGACTCGCGCTCATGCCACAGTGCCTGTGCATTCACACTTACACTTCGTTGTTATCGTCTTCAGGTGACATGTCAGTTAGAGTGGCGGTTCCTAGTCTTTCTACCATCAGGTCTAATGCAGCTCCTGGTCCTCTTAAACGGGACTGGAGTTTGATCCAGGACATCTGGCTTACCAGAACAAAAGCCTCCTACTTTGGACAGCATGCGGATGTCCTACCACAGTGTTCTGCGTTTTTACTGCTTGAGGAAGGGCACAGGCACTGTGGAACTGCTAGATAGGCAGATTGTAGGTGGCTGCTGGAGTATGCCCATCTTGGTGGTACTGTTGGGGGGCTTGGATGTGACTTTTTTTTTCCCCACTATCTAATATTTTATGCAAATTTGCCTT